CATGCTGGGACATCAGCCACCGAAAAAGAAACAACGATGGATGACACATTATATTCTCGATTTAATGAGCAAACGAAGAATGTACAAAAATAATGACTTGGAGAAGTACAAACAAATGCAACAGAAGATCAGAGAAGCAATCCGACAGGCAAAAGAAAAGTGGATGGAAGAACAATGCGCCGAGATTGAAGAACTAATTTAAAAACATGACAATTTTACTCTGCACAAGAAGCTCAAAGAAGCTGGTAACATCTACAGACCAGCCCCAACAGCTACCTTGTATGCGGACAACAACCAACCAATCCTAAATAAACAAGAAAAAATGGACACCTGGACAAACTATATACACAAGCTCTATGGCGCCGCGAGAACACCTGCAGAAAAAGACCAACAGATGTCGAAAGACGCTCTACACATTTTAACATCAGAAGTAGAACATGCGATCAAAACAGCTAAGTCAGGCAAAGCGTGCGGGCCCGACAACATCCATGTAGAATTGCTCAAACTATTAGACAGCAACAACATACGACAACTGACTAATTGGTACAATCAAATATACAATGGCAATAAAATTCCATCCGACTGGCTACAATCCATCTTTGTGGCCATACCAAAGAAAGCAACAAGCCGGAAATGCGAGGACTACAGACTGATAAGCTTGATGAGCCACGTGCTGAAAGTCTTCCTGAAGGTGATCCAACAGCGCATACGCTCCACATGCGAAAATGCATTGAAGAACACACAGTTTAGCTTCTGCAAAGGACTAGGCACAAGAGAAGCAATCTTCTGTCTACAGATACTACTACAGCGATGCTACGAACATCAGAAAGAAGTGTACATCTGCTTCATAGATTACGAGAAAGCCTTTGACTCAGTCGACCACGACCGACTAGCAGCTCTATTAAAACAACTGGGACTAGATAAAAACGACATCAACTTCATCATTGCTCTTTATTGGAAGCAAACAGCCCAACTCCGATATGACAACGAATTGACAGACCCAACACCAATACAAAAAGGTGTACGACAGGGCTGCCCACTTTCACCCAGTCTTTTCAACATCTACTCGGAGCAGATTTTTGATCGAACACTAGCAGATAAAAACATTGGTATTAAAGTCAATGGACAATACATCAACAACATCAGGTATGCCGACGACACTGCACTGCTGGCCGATTCAGAACAAGACCTACAACACAAATCTTGGACGAGGTTGCCACAGAGAGTCAAATATGGAGCTTACGAATTAATAAAAAGAAAACAAAGATTATGAAGGTCAGCCGAACTACAAGCGAAATAACAATCAAGCTGGGTAGCGAAAAATTGGAACAAGTACACCGATTTAAATACCTTGGTGTAATCATTGACGATCAGTTGAACCATGAAGTCGAAATCAAGAGCAGAATTGAACAAGCAAGGCAAGCAATTATTAAATGGAAAACACTCCTTGCAGACCGCAACTTGAGTACATCACTGAAACTGCGCACACTGAAATGCTACATCTGGTCAATTTTGCTGTACGGAGTAGAGACGTGGACACTGACAACAACAGCAACAAAAAGGCTCGAAGCTTTCGAGATGTGGCTGTATCGAAGAATGCTGAAAATCCCATGGACAGCCAAAACCACCAATACACAAGTTCTGCAAGATATGGGCACTGACAGGCAACTGCTGAAGACCATCATTAGCAGGAAGTGGTACTACCTAGGCCACATTGCCCGAAACGACCACAAATACCAGCTATTAAAGCAAATCCTGGAAGGAAAAATCGAAGGGAAAAAACGACCAGGACGGCCAAAAACGACATGGCTCAGTAACATCAAAACATGGCTACAATTAACAACAGCACAAACTCTACACGCCGTGCTAGACCGGGACCAATATCATCGTGAAGTCGCACACGCCGTTAGGCAGCACTAAAGAAGAAGAAGACACCCTTAATGGAACATCTTCGCCTGTTAGAAACATTTAGGCTGGCCTGCCTACCTGGTTAAACCCATCATGGGTTTAACCAGGCTGGAATGTGTGAGGAGCTCACAAATCCTTGAAAGATATAGACAAAGTCCCATCGGTGAGCTCCTCCGGCAGGCGAGGCTGGGTTGGCTGGGTCATGTAGCCCGCATGCCCAGCCACCGCATGCTCAAACAGCTTCTGTTCAGCCGGATCGAGAGGACTAAACGGGCGCGGCACGGGCTAGAGAAGAGATGGAGTGATGTGGTGCAGGAGTATGTGGAGCTGAGTGGACTTGCCGATGACTGGTACCAGCGGTGTCAGGATAGGCTTCTTTGGAGGAGGCTCGTGAAGGACGCTGCTGGGCAGTTGGAAGCAGTCGCCCTCCAACAGCAACGGAGGGCGGAGGAGCGACGCTCACAACAACGAGCGGAGCGCCGGGTGGCTAAAGCACAGCAAGTTGGCACAGTAGGGAGCACAGGTGGTGCATCAGCCAGTCATCTCAGTCAGACGACCCGTGGCACCTGGGTCTGCCGCGTGACCTCCTGCCAGCGGGCGTTCGACACTTCACGTGGCCTCAGCGTGCACCTAGCCTGGCACAGGCGTCGTGGTGACGTCACCGCCACTTAGTGGCGAATGACGGTTGTTGTTGTATCAGTGTGTGTCAGTGTGTGTGTCAGTGTGTGTGTCAGTGTGTGTGTCAGTGTGTGTGTCAGTGTGTGTGTCAGTGTATATGCAGCAGTCAGGAAGCGGTAGAGCAGCGGTTAGCGCGCCGCGCTACGAACCCGGCAACACGAGTTTCATTCCCGCGATGACTGGAACTGGTCATGGGCCTCCCCTAGGTCAACTCAACCTGAAATGAGAAGGGAGAAAGAGGCGGCTGGGGATGGTGTTGGCCACCCGACCCTCTCGTGTGCTGTGCCGGCCTTCACAGGTGCTCGCTACCAGCACTTGCTCCTACAGTCTGTTAAGGCTACACGGGGGATCTTTGTCTTCGTTCACAGGGCAGAGTTGTTTGGGTTGGCACCCCGCAGAGTCTCTCAAATGCCTCCGTGCACAGCACCCCCCGTGATGAGGGGGGCTGTGTGTTTGTCCCATTTAAATGGCCGGACAGGCGCGGCGATGCTTGTAATAGAAAAGTCCCAGGAATTAGAAAACTATTCCTGGATTTGAACTCAACCATTAATGAAGGTCCTTTAAGCTCGTGATTATCTGCATGTTATCGATTTAGTAAGCTCACCTTACAACCATCGAATTGTATGTCGAGGAAGGGTCGACGCTGTTTCGATTAATTGCATCGCTATCTGCGGTGCAGCAGGTCGCCGGGTAGTAACGCAGCGCGCTAACCACGACACTACCGCTCCCCACAAACTAAGACAAAGATCCCCCGTATAGCCTTAACAGAGTGTAGGACCGCTCTCCACACACATATCCGCAAACCCACAACACATCCACACGCCCACATGCGCACATCCGTACGCACACATCCATACACGCACACACCTGCACATATCAATAACAATAACAACAACCGTCGTTCACCACTAAGTGGCGGCGACGTCACCACGGCGCATGTGCCATGCTAGGTGCACTTTGAAAGTATATACCCACACGCATACATCCAGGCACATACACACATCCACACGCACACACATCCCCCACAGACGTGCACACACATCCACACGAACAGATCCACACACACGCACACACATCCCCCCCACAAACACACACGTGCACACACATCCACACGCACACACATCCCCCACAGACGTGCACACACATCCACACGAACAGATCCACACACACGCACACACATCCCCCCCACAAACACACACGTGCACACACATCCACACGAACAGATCCACACACACGCACACACATCCCCCCCACAAACACACACGTGCACACACATCCACACGCCCACACGCATCTCTCGTATGAATGTGAGCGCATCACTGCGCGAGATATTTGTGTTTATATTCCACACAGCACTCGCGAACGGGGAGAGCAAGCGGAATATATATTTGTGTTTGAACACTTACTCACACACGCACGCACGCATCTACTCAGTCACGAAGACAAAGATACCCCGTATTGCGTCAACAGGCTGTTGGGGAAAGTGCGGTTTGCGAGCACCTATGAAAGCCGGCAGAGCACACGAGGGGGTGGGTGGCCAACACCACGTGGCCCTCGTAGCGATATTTACCAAACAACGCATCCACACCCCCACCACACACACCGCACCCCCACCACACACACCACGCCACAACGACAGCAGTCACCACTGCAGACTTGTAACAACCCCTCCCCCCACCCCGTCACTCACAACGCGCTCCTCACACACAACGCGCTCATCACTCATTTTCAACAAAACAAAAACACCGGCTCCAAATACACGCTGTTCAATGCCCGTATCGTGAGCTAAATAATCGATGTTGATCCATGCTTCATTGCACCGACAGTGATCAATGATGCCATGGATACCCTGTAGACCGCTGCGGCGCGTGCTGTTAGCGAGCACCTATTAAGGCCGTCAGGTACGGCCGCATGTGTCTCCCAAAGTGCTGATATTTACACACCACACCAAGTGCTCATTTGAGGCTGAGTTAACCTAGCGGAGGACCAGGACCGGTTCAGATATCTCTCGCCACTGAGGTTATCTCATGAAGATTAAATCGCAGGATCGTGAGAGATAGTGACGGCGTCGGCGAGGTGTTCATCCAGCAGTGGATTGCTCATGGCTCGTGATAATAATGATAGGCGTGACCCGGACTCGAACCCACGTGTCACGGTTTGTAGCGGAGTGCGCTACGCACGCCTCTCCTCGACATCAAACACGCGCGCACGGACAGCCAGCAGCCTCAGCCATTGTGCATTGACTCTCCGCCTACAGAACGGATTGTTCCAATCCAATCCTCTCCCTGCCTCTCCTCCCCTCTCTCCATTCCCTCTCCCTGCCTGCCCTCCCTCTCCCCGGCTCTCGTCCCCACTCTCTCCCACCCCCTCGCTCGCCTTGGTTCGCTCCTCATTCCATTAAACCCGTGCACGCATCGACGCACTCGGTCCCCGTCGCCTGCAGAGAGCCGGGAGAGCGCGCCAGGGCGGTAGAGAGCCGGGGAGAGAGCCCTGGAGAGAGTGTGCCTGCCGAGGAGGAGGGGGCCATCAGTACTGCCAGTACTGTAACCTCAGCGGTGAGTCCTCCACACCCCCCACCCCTCACCAGCCACTACAGCCCCCAACCACCAGACCCCCCCCCCCCCACACAGCTCGCCTTCTTCCTCCCCCACCCCCACCCCCTTGTGTCTCGTCTGTGCTCCCCCGCACGGGTCTGGGCGGTGTCCGGGTGTGGGCACGAGACGGTGAGACCGTTAGCGAGAGGGGGGAGTGGTGAGGTAGAGAGGGGGGGGGAGCGGTGAGGTAGAGAGGGGGGGGAGTGGTGAGGTAGAGAGGGGGGGGGAGTGGTGAGGTAGAGAGGGGGGGGGTGGTGAGGTAGCGAGAGGGGGGAGTGGTGAGGTAGAGAGGGGGGGGAGCGGTGAGGTAGAGAGGGGGGGGGAGTGGTGAGGTAGAGAGGGGGGGGGAGTGGTGAGGTAGAGAGGGGGGGAGTGGTGAGGTAGGGAGGGGGGGAGTGGTGAGGCAGGGAGGGGGGGGGAGAGTGGTGAGGTAGAGAGAGGGGGGGTGGTGAGGTAGGGAGGGGGGGGGTGGTGAGGTAGGGAGGGGGGGGGGTGAGGCAGGGAGGGGGGGGGAGTGGTGAGGCAGGGAGGGGGGAGGAGTGGTGAGGTAGGGAGGGGGGGAGTGGTGAGGTAGGGAGGGGGGGGGAGTGGTGAGGCAGAGAGGGGGGGGGGGGAGTGGTGAGGTAGGGAGGGGGGGGGAGTGGTGAGGCAGGGAGGGGGGGGGAGTGGTGAGGTAGGGAGGGGGGGGGGGAGTGGTGAGGTAGGGAGGGAGGGGAGTGGTGAGGCAAGGAGGGGGGGGGGAGTGGTGAGGTAGGAAGGGGGGGATTGTTTTTTGTTTGGGCTGCGTGTTTAGGAATGGGCGCTGCTCGTTGTTGTTGTTGTTGTGGTGGTTGTTGTTGGTAGGTGGTGGTGGATGGATCTTGATGATGTTTGTGATAGTGATGGTTGTGATTGTGATGATATCTCTGCTGATAGCCGTGGTGGTGGTAACGGTGGTAACCGGTTCAGACTCAATGACCGGTTCCGGTAGCCAGGAGCCGGAAATCTCTTCCTGTGGAATGTGTCGTCGTGAACGAACTGATTCGTCGTCTTTCCATTGGCAACAGTGGCGGTTGTGGTGGTTGTGGTGATGGTCGAAATTGTGGTAGTGGGATGGTTGAGGTGGTGGTGGTGTAGTGTGAAGGTTGATTGTGTTGTGTTGGTATAGAGCGGTGGTGGTGGTGGTTGTGTCGGTGTAGAGTTGTGATGGTTGTGGTGATGGTCGAGATTGTGGTAGTGGTGGTGGTTGTGGTGGTGATGGTCGAAATTGTGGTAGTGGTGGTGGTTGTGTTGGTGTAGAGTGGTGGTTGTGTTGGTGTAGAGTGGTGGTGGTGGTGGTAGTTGTGGTGGTGGTTGTGTTGGTTGTGTCTCGACTTGGCAGGGCTCTGACGAGCTCCTCCCCGTGACCTGGATTAGGGAGATTACAGCCTCGATCAGCCAGCACTACCCACCTCTCAGCCCTCTCAGCCTTCTCAGCCTTCTCACCCCTCTCAGCCCCTCACCCCTCTCACCCCCTCACCCACCTCACCCCTCTCAGCCCTCTCACCCAGCACCCACCTCACCCCTCTCAGCCCCTCACCCCTCTCACCCCTCTCAGCCCTCTCACCCCTCTCACCCCCTCACCCACCTCACCCCTCTCAGCCCTCTCACCCCTCTCACTCCCTCTCAGCCTTCTCACCCCTCTCAGCCCCGTCACCCCTCTCACCCCTCTCAGGCCCCTCACCCCTCTCACCCCCCTCCCCACCTCACCCCTCTCAGCCCTCCTCACCCCTCTCACCCCTCGCACCAGCACCCACCTCACCCCTCTCACCCCTCTCACCCCTCTCACCAGCACCCACCTCACCCCTCTCAGCCCTCTCACCCCTCTCACCAGCACCCACCTCACCCCCTCTCACCCCTCTCACCAGCACCCACCTCACCCCTCTCACCCTCTCACCCCTCTCACCAGCACCCACCTCACCCTCTCAGCCCTCTCACCCAGCACCCACCTCACCCCCTCTCACCACTCTCACCAGCACCCACCTCACCCCTCTCACCCCTCTCAGCCCTTTCAGCCCCTCTCACCCCTGTCACCCCTCTCATCCAGCACCCACCTCACCCTTCTCACCCCTCTCAGCCCTCTCACCCCTGTCACCCCGCACCCACGTCTCCCCTCTCACCCCTCTCACCCCTCTCACCCCTCTCACCCCTGTCACCCCTCTCATCCAGCACCCACCTCACCCTTCTCACCCCTCTCAGCCCTCTCACCCCTGTCACCCCCGCACCCACCTCACCCCTCTCACCCCTCTCACCCCTGTCACCCCTCTCATCCAGCACCCACCTCACCCTTCTCACCCCTCTCAGCCCTCTCACCCCTGTCACCCCGCACCCACCTCACCCCTCTCACCCCTCTCACCCCTCTCACCCCTCTCATCCAGCACCCACCTCACCCCTCTCACCCCTCTCAGCCCTCTCACCCCTGTCACCCCGCACCCACCTCACCCCCTCACCCACCTCACCCCTCTCAGCCCTCTCACCCCTCTCAGCCCCTCACCCCGCTCCCACCTCACCCCCTCACCCACCTCACCCCTCTCACCCCTCTCACCCCTCTCACCCCCCTCACCCCCCGCACCCACCTCACCCCTCTCACCCCTTATAGCCCTCTCAAGCCTCTCACCCCGCACCCACCTCACCCCCTCACCCACCTCACCCCTCTCAGCCCTCTCACCCCCTCGCCTCACCCCCCCCTCCTCCACCCCCGCGGAGTGCGCGCACAGCTGTGCACGCGCACGTGGTCTCGCGTTCACGTGTACGCGTGTGTGTGTTAACACGCGTGTGTGTGTTAACACGCGTGTGTGTGTTAACACGCGTGTGTGTGTTAACACGCGTGTGTGTGTGTTAACACGCGTGTGTGTATGTGTGTTAACACGCGTGTGTGTGTTAACTACGCGTGTGTGTATGTGCGTTAACACGCGTGTGTGTGTTAACACGCGTGTGTGTATGTGTGTTAACACGCGTGTGTGTGTTAACACGCGTGTGTGTATGTGTGTTAACACGCGTGTGTGTGTTAACACGCGTGTGTGTATGTGTGTTAACACGCGTGTGTGTGTTAACACGCGTGTGTGTATGTGTGTTAACGCGTGTGTATGTGTGTTAACGCGCGTGTATGTGTATGTTTGTTAACGCGCGTGTGTGTGTGTGTGTTAACACGCGTGTGTGTGTTAACACGCGTGTGTGTGTTAACACGCGCGTGTGTATGTGTGTTAACGCGCGTGTATGTGTGTTAACGCGCGTGTATGTGTATGTTTGTTAACGCGCGTGTGTGTGTGTGTGTGTTAACACGCGTGTGTGTTAACACGCGTGTGTGTGTTAACACGCATGTGTGTATGTGTGTTAACGCGCGTGTATGTGTGTTAACACGCGTGTGTGTGTGTTAACACGCGTGTGTGTGTTAACACGCGTGTGTGTGTTAACACGCGTGTGTGTATGTGTGTTAACGCGCGTGTGTGTGTGTGTGTTAACACGCGTTTGTGTGTGTTAACACGCGTGTGTGTGTTAACACGCGTGTGTATGTGTGTTAATGCGTGTGTATGTGTATTAACGCGCGTGTATGTGTGTTAACACGCGTGTGTATGTGTGTTAATGCGTGTGTATGTGTATTAACGCGCGTGTGTGTGTTAACGCGCGTGTGTGTGTGTTAAAGCGCGTGAGTATGTGTTAACACGCGCGTGTATGTGTGTTAACGCGTGTGTATGTGTGTTACCGCAAGTGTATGTGTTAACGCGCGTGTGTGCGTGTGTGTTAACGCGCGTGTGTGTTAACACGCGTGTGTGTTAACACCTGTGTATGCGTGTGTGCGTGTGTTTTCGTGTATGTATGGGGAGCGATAGTGCATTGGTTAGCGCACTGCGCTACGAAACCCGTGACCCGATTTCGAATCCCGCTCACGGCCAACACCAGTGATGATTATCTGAACCGGTCCCGCGCCTCCCCTAGATCGACTCGGCCTTAAATGAGTACCTGGTGTAGTGTGTAATCATCAGCGCTGGGGAGACAAAGACGGCCGGGCGTGGGGTTGGCCACCCATCCTCCCGTGTGCCGTGCCGGCCTTCATCAGAGCTGCTCGCTATAGCGGCATTTCACTAAAGAGTCTGTGAAGGCTCGAGTGGGAATCTTTGTCTTTTGTGCCGATGGCTATCTGTGTGTATGTCATTGTATATCTCTGTGCATTTGTGTGCATTTGTGTGAGTGTATTTGTGTGTATCCGTGTGCATTTTTGTATGCACCTCCGATTAGCACGGTTGGCTATGTATCTCCTCGTGTATCGTGCCAGTTTTCATAGATACCCGCCAAAAGCACTTAGTCTGTTAAGGCTATACGGGGAAATTTGTCTTTCTCTTGGTCGTGTAGTGGTACTGCTCCTGCTGCTGCACTTGGTAATGATTCTGCTGCGTCTGCTGCTGTTGATGATGATGATGGTGTTGATGATGATGGTGTTGATTATGGTGTTGATGATGGTGTTGATGATGATGATGGTGTTGATGATGATGGTGGTGTTGATGATGATGGTGGTGTTGATGGTGGTGTTGATAACTGTGTTGTTGTGGAGACGATTTTGCTGCTGATTACTGCTGATGATGTGTATGTGGGATGCTGCTGCTGCTGATGATGATGATGATGCCATTGCCGATAATGATATTGATGGTGATTATGTTGGTGATAGTATAATGTAGCGGTGATGCTGATGATGAGGATACTACTGCTTCTGGTGACGTAGTTGCTGCTAATGATGACGATGCTGATGATGACACTATTGTATGTTGAACTTCTTTCGCACCGTACGATGACGATGTTGCTGTTGATACTGTTTACGATGATGATGTATTACTCAGTTGGGATCAGACATAGCAACTGTGGCCCTCTGACTGGCGCACTAATCCACGTGTCCAGGTCAGTGAATGAGTCGCGCTGTGCCCAACTGGGACATCTGCCACTGGGGGTGCCCTGGTTGAGATGAGAGGTGTCCCCGCTCTGATACGCCCCGGTGGATCGGAGGGCGGCTTGATACAAATACATCATTGTCATTGTGATGTTGATGTTGCTGCTGCTGCTGATGATGATCATGATGAATCAACTGCTAATGATATTGCCAATGCTGCTGCAGAAGCTGATGATGATGATGCTGATAACGGTGATGCTGCTGCTGATGCTATTGATGTTGCTACTGCAACAACTAATGCTGATCGTGAAATACGATGCTGCTGATGATGCTGATGATTCTCAAGATATTGATTTTGCTGCTGCAGAAGCTGATAATGATGCTGCTGATGATTATGATGTTGCTGCTGCTGATGATGATATTGCTTCTGCTGCAACAGATGATGATAACGATGCTATTGTTGATGCTGCTGCTGTTGATGATATACATATTACATCTGCTGCAGCGTCTGAGAATTGTGTTGAAGCTGCTGCTCATTAGCAGCTGCTGCTGCTGACGATGCTTCTGCTGCTGCAGTATCTGATGATTATGATGAAGCTGCTGCTGATGGCATTGTTGATGCTGTTGCAACAGCAGCAGATGATAATGTGATAACGATGCTGCTGCTCATGCTGCTGTTGATGATATGCTACTGCTGTAGAAACTGATAATGATAACGATGCTGCTGATGATGCTGATGCTAACCATGATGCTACTGCTGAAGATGATTATGTTAATTGTTCATCAGCGGGTGAAAAGGTGTGTCTCCTGCTTTCCGCATCAAGAGGACGTTGTGGGATTACGAGTGACGGATTAGGTGGATGAGAGCTCACGCCATTCACCGGCGCGGTGACCCCTTCTAGTGTCCATGGCCTGCATGGTGCCTGCACTCGTCCTTGATGATGCGGTTGTCAGCATCAGAAGCGTGATTTAGACTGTAGGAGGAATCCGATGAGCGATAAAGATCTTTTTCACAGATGTCCAGTAATTGGTGTGGGTGATGTCGATGATGATGATGTTGTTGATGTTGCTACCATTGTTAAAGTTGAAGTCATCATCTCTCTCGTTGTTGATGTTTTCTTGATAATGTTTTGTTTGTGATGTCCTTTGTTGATAATCTTGACGTTGTGATTGCTGTTGTTCACGCTGTTTATTCCCTTGTTGATGTTGTTGTTGTCGGTTACGTTGTTGTTGTTGTTGTTGTGTTGTTATTGTGTTGTGGCATGGGGGCAAAGGGGGACAGAGCCCCGCCCCACCCTCCACATTCCCCTCTCCCGACCCCTCTCCTCGCCCTCGTTTAGATGATGGGCCAGGCCAGAAGTCTGTACCACCTATGGTAGTTCACCTTCAATTGTACACAATCGTGTCTACCGCTCATCGGAGTCAATTACTTGGCACCCCCACTCGCATCACGTGGTTATCTCATCATTCATTGGCCACACGAATAAACTGGAACCTGCCCAGCCCTGCCACCCCAGGTGGAACCGACAGGTGACGTAGCGCGTCCTGCTTGGCTCATGGGCTAATCGGGCAGGGGCTATGGTGGAGGGGGTATTAGTTAGTGGGATATCGAATGTGCAATTGCACCTGGGTCGGGGGGGTCCAGGCCGCGGGCTACGAGGAGCTGGGGGCCGCGGGCTACGAGGAGGGGGGGAGTAGAGATGGGACCGGTGGTGAGCCCATGGCATTCCCAGTAACAGGGCCCAAGCCCACCACGCGACATCGCTGCTTTGTACATCTCTACACATTCGCCGAGCGCTGCCTTCGCCGTGTAGCTCATTGATTGCTCGTTTGATTGCAGTAGCGCCGCCGACAATTTGAGCGCAGGAGTCGCATGGGCATCGTGATGACGCGTCCCCCCATCGTGCTCGCCCTCAAGTCGGAAGCGACCGCACGGGGGCGACCATGAGCGACTCCCCGTTGCCTCTCGAGGGGGGTCCCGCCGCCTCGCCGAGCCCCCCGCGCTCCCCACGTAGCCCCAGCGGTGGCGCGTCCCCCCTCTCGGGGGGTTCCGCCGCTTCCTCCTCCTTCTACCGCGCGCGCTTCGAGGAGCTCTGCAGCGCCTTCGCTGCGGCGGCGGAGGCGACGGCGGGAGCAGCAGCAGCAGCAGGAGGAGCAGCAGCAGGAGGAGGAGCAGCAGGAGGAGCAGCAGCAGCAGGAGGAGGAGGAGAGCGCAGCGGGCCGACTCCGCGACTCTCCGCGGAGCGCGCGGTATCTTCCTGCTCATCCTCCCCGGGCCCCCTACGTCTCTCCGCCGACACCGCCGCTTCGGGGTCCGGCTTGTGGCCGCCGTCGGGTCGCGGCAGGCGGTTGCGAGACGCACGCAGCAGCAGCAGCACCGCAGCCACCGCCACCATCACCACGAAGTCCTTACACCGGGAGCGCGCCGGCACCAGCGCCTCGTCCTCCTGCTCCGTGGTGAGCATCAGCTACGTGGAGAGGAGCCGCGCCGTCGTCACCCCTCTCGGAGGGCCTAGGAGCTCGGCCGTCTCCTCCCCGGACTCCGCCGCAGTTTCCGTCGTCTCCCTGGGGTCGCCCCCTCCCCCTGCGAGTCCCGAGGGACGCGGGGGGCCGTGGGGGGTCCGCGGGGAGGAGCGCCTCGCCTCCTTCACGGCGCGAGTCTCGCGCCTGCCCCGGCCCGCGTCGCTGCGCGCGGGGAGCGGAGCGGAGCAGGAGGAGGGGGAGGAGCGCGCGACCCGGGGGGGGGTCAGGCGACCTGACAGCGGCGCCCTGGGCAGCAGCCCGGCACGGTCCGACTCGGCCACGGTAAGGGCGACGGTGATCGGCAAGACCCCGTTGCTTTGGCGTCGGGGTAGCGGGTTCGGAGATGGCGCTTGAGGTATTGTTAGGGATCGGGATAAGGTAACAGCTGGCGTTAATAATGCGAGGGTTAGGCTCTGGTTATTGCCCCCCACGCCCACGTCCCCACCACCCACCTCTCTTTAAGATGTGGTTCCTAGTTCGATAAAATGTTTCCAGTAACAGAGAACAAGTCGTCCGGATTCGGTCCCAGGGACAGCGCTCTCCACTCGAGTCGCAGTTCTTCCCGACCACGTGACGAACTCGGCTGCGCGTGCCGCCTGCTCACCGGCGCAGCGCCGCTGTCAGGGGACATTCACCGTCAGGGAAAGTGGAACAGAGGTGCTGGTGTACAGAGGTTTTAGCGGAGGAGTGTTTAGGCGAAGTCACCGATGATGATGACGACGATGTGTATAGCGCCGTAACGTGGCAAGCCATCGTAAGGGCGCTGGACAAACGGCAATGGCATGTTAGCCATGAGTCCAGAGATGTGGTGTCTATTGTGAATATTGAAAAGGTGAGTTCTGAGTGGGGTTTGAGTGACGGCACACGACAGCGTGGTTAACATAGGTCCCCGAGCGTAGCGAGTTGATCGGTCATCTGTGACTGCACACACACAACAAAATCCATTGCATTAATTTGGTTCTGCACTTAATTTGTTCAAATGTCAGCTCAGAGCTCGAATGCAGTAAATGTGACAGCGGTGTGGGATGAGCATTGCTCGTTGTCGCGGGGTGGTCGGCGTGGGAGTGCTGCCCGATGCTGCGTGGCCACAGACGTCGCTTGATTGGGTCTCAGAGGTCGCTCTCCGTGAGCCGCTTCAGGGGCCGCTCCCTAACGCGAGGGGCTTTCACTGGTCTGCGAGAGAAGCGAATTCACTCTTCGTCTAGTGATGTGAAACTTTGTGCTGTGCTTGCAAATTCTCACGCGACGCACGTGCTTTTTGCCCGGATTGCTCGTTGCTTCAACTCCCGTACTTCATTTGTTTCGCTTTTGTAATATTTGTGACCCACGCCCCTCTTGCAAATAAGAGATGTCTGTACGTGACTGAGTGGGTGCATCTATTTGCATAGATCGTGTGGCGAGTGGTGGGCGCAGCGGTTCGCGTGCAGCGCTCCGAACCCGGCGACCCGAGTTCGGTTCCCGGTCACGGCCACCACCAGTGACGATTATCTGAACCGGTCATCGGCCTCCCCTAGATCGATTCAGCCTCAAATGAGTAGTTGGTGCGGTGTGTAGTAAACATCGCCAAAGGCGGCCGGGCGTGGTGCTGGCCACCCACCCCTCAATTGTCGTTTCGGTCTTCATAGGTACTAGCAAACAGCACTTGCCCCTACAGTCTGTGAATACTATACGGGGGGTCGTTGTCGTTGCATGTACAGTATTTGCGAACGTAATGCATGGGTTATGCACTTAGCAGGCACACTGCACTAGGAACCCGGCAGACTCAAGTTGGATTCCTGCTCACGGCTAATGCCATGCAGTGACGAATTTCCGAACCATTCCTGAGCCTCCCCGAGATGGACTCAACTTGAAATGTCAAGATCATCATTTGAGGTTACATTGGTCACGGTTGTTTGTTTTCGACACACTGTGTGGAGCTGTATGTTGACATAACAAATTGTTGTTTGTATAATTGTTAGTAAGTGCGTGTGTATATGTGTACACATGTTGCCATAGATGCTCGCGAACAGCGCTTGCCCCAAAAGTCTGTTAGAGTTATACGGGGGATCTTTGTCTTGTATTTGTACGCTGTTGGAAGCGTTCGTCGTAATTAGCGGATGACACTGAGCTCGAATCTTCGGCCACGGATAACGGGGGCGCATATCTGAACCGGTCCCTGAGCCCCTGCTATGTCGACTCGGCCTCAACTGGGTATACTTCCTCGTGCAACGAAACTTTCGTTTCACTTTCTTCAATTCTATTGAAGCCGACACGCGGGGTCTTTATATATTGTATGAATGTATATGCCTGTGATTTGCGCAGCGTGTATTAACCGTGCAACTCGGTATGTGAGTGCGTGTATGTTTACGTGTCCTGTGCACGTATCAGGTAGAGACCTCGTGTATGTGCGTACGTACGTGGTCTATCGCGTGCGTCCTGTAGGTATGCGCACGCGAGACAAACACAGACGCCACGGCGCGTCGCTCTCCACCACCTCCACATTCACACGCCGAGTGAACACGGGGACCCCAGAACAGGGTTGGGGGGGGGGGGCATGGAGCTATCGGGGTCACCGATGGGAGACACGGGGACGCAGAGACAGAAGGATCACTTGAGTGGGAAATACTGGGGGGGTGGAGGTGGGGGAAGTATTGGCTCTGAGGATACGAGGACTTAGGGGGTCTCTGGGAAGAAAGGAGAGGGGGGGGGGCAGGGGTGTCCTGTGCGTGCGGGTGGAGAGTGGAGGGTGGAGGGAGGGAGACAGGCGGACGACCCGACGCCAAGAGGCTGCAGGATCCGGCTTGTGAGAGGGAGGCTGCCGCTGCCACCGGGGTGGGGGTGGGGGAGGGGGTCGGGGTTGGGGAGGGGGTCGGGGTGGCGACGGCGACGTGAGGATGTGGAGGGGGAGCGGGAGGAGGAGGAGGTGAGGGTGGAAAGGGGACGAGGTAGAAGCGGTCGAGCCGTCTCTGTTGGGCGGGCAGCAGCGTCTCTCGCCTGACCGCTCGCTCGCTCACGCACTTCGTTCGCCTGTTTGTGGTTACCCTGCTGCCGCACCTGGAGTCCAACTGGGGTCGTCGTCGTTGTTGTTGTTGTTGTCAGGAGCCAAGGTAAGTTGGACGGCACTCCTGGGAGACATCGGTCGATTGTTAGAACAGCGGGTGTACGGCGCACACACAGACATATGCACACGTACACAGACGCACGAACACACACACTATCGACACACACCACAGACACAGATACAAACACACAAATACACATTTGTTACCTGCCGCCTTAACAGACTGTTAGGGCTAATACTGGTGGCGAGCACTCGTTGAGGACGAGAGGGGTCGGTGGCCAGCACCACCTCCGGCCGCCTTTGTCTCTCGAGTGGCGATGTTTCCACATCGCACCAGACACTCATTTGAGGCGAGGTCGACCTAAGGGAGGCCCAAGACTGATTCAAATATTAGCCACTCGTATTGGTCGTGAGCGTGTGTTCACCTCTTTCTGTAAATGTATCACTGTGAAGTGTGTTGTGTGCAATGTGCCCGTGTGTGTGTGTGCACGCCAGCGTGTATTTGTATTTTTGAGACGCGAGCAGAACTTGCATTTCTGGTTCTCTCGAGATAGAATAGGATTCGTGGGATATTGTGTACGTGTGTGTTGTGTCATTAATGAGAAATCAGAATAATATAAAATAATGTACAGCTCCTTTGTCAATCCGCTGCTGCATGGATTAAGGCCGTCCTACGCACCATGTCGATCGTAAGAGTAGTTTGACCATACTTCACCACTCTGGTGAGTGCGGGTTGTGTGTGTGTATGTATACACACTTGTGTCGTGGAGAGCGGTGGTGTAATGGTTAGCGCTCTTCGCAACGAACACAGTGACCAGAGTTCGATTCCTACTGACGATCAATAACCGTGGCGAATATTTGAACCGGTCTTGGGCCTCACCCCCTAGCCTAGGTCGACTCAGCCTTAAATGAGTACCTGGTGCAGCGTGTAACATCAGCACTGGGGAGAGAAAGACGGCTGGTCGTGGCGTTGGCCATCCACCTCGTGTGCCGTGCCGGCCTTCGTAGGCGCTCGCTAGCAGCACTTGCCCCAACAGTCTGTTCGAGGCTAAAAAGGGGATCTTAGTTTTTTTATCCTATGTATGTGCGTATATGAGCAGGTGGGACAGTGGTTAGCGCACAGAGCTAGTGTACTAACCCGGCCACATGAGTTATATTACCATCAATAGCGCGTGCTATCTGAACCGGTCCTGGACCGCCTGCTCTTGGTCGACTCAGCCTAAAATGAGTGTGGAGTGCGGTGTGTTGACATCAGCATGGGGGGGAGGCAAAGGCGGCAGGATGTGGTGTTGGCCACACAACCACCTCCTGCGCCGTGTCAGAACGTGTCCGGACAGTCGACAAAGACACACGCTAGTGTTTCATAAAACACGGAATATGTTTTATAAAACACGGAATATGTTTCATAAAACACGGAATGTTTTATAAATTGGCTCCTGAATCTGTGGGCGGTGGCACTGAACAAGCGTTCCCCGCTTGTCGCAGAGGCTCGCGGTTCGAATCCGGAATGCCGCCCTGGTTATTACTGAGGGTAAATCTTAACTTAAAGCTTTCGTGACTGCAGGAATTCATATTTTTTGGGTCTTTCGGTAAAGTCGGGGTGTCTGAATGAATGGCGCCACGCGACGCGTGCTGCACTCCCAGGGGACGTTACAGATCCCCCGACGTCGTTCGAATCGAGTCGGCCGTTGCGTGCCGACACCGTGGGCCACATTTGCCAAATTCGAAAACATCGCACCGCAAATCGCTCAGTTGGGATGATTACACACGGAGCAACATCGCCCTGTCCTGTGGAACTTCTGCCGACTGTCTGTGTGACAAAGCAGCACCTTCCTTCTCGATAGCCCGCAGCTATAGGAACGACACCGCCACGGTAGCCAATGCGGCTAACTTTATATCAACTACCTGCTGTCAACTCCTTGTTATCAACTACACGTGTATCGTAGATACATCCATGGGTGGCATGGGGCTCTAGGAAGAGCCACGGATGCCACAGGCCTCGGCTGCACACACGTTGCTGTAAAGGTCACCATGAAGGAAGCGCGATGGCGAGGAGTGAGTGACTGAGCGAGTGGTGGCATGAATGACATTGTCCGTGATGAAACATCAAGTTCAAGTTCATTTATTAGGTATAGCCCTGTGAGCCATTCGGCTCTTGAATCGGGTGCAACCGCAACAAACAAAAAACAAAAACATGAACAAAAACATCTTAAAGTGAATATGAGACTGAGTGCAAACAGAAAATCCAAGAAAAGACAGTAAAATATTGCAGAAAAAGTACCGTACCCAAAAATGTGCAAAAATCCCAGTGGGATGCAAATCAAACAACAACAACAATCACAAGACAACATGAGGACCGAGGCCGGCTGGGAGGCATGGTGGGAGCCGCACGCGCGTGATTCATGGAAGCTGATTCGTCGGGGTTCTTTAAGGGACGCCTGCGTGAGCGATTCCAGAATGTAACCACGGCACGAGCCAGATGGACCAAGTGGGCCCCCATCTCTCGCTTGTAATGTTGCTGATGCCCTTATAAATAACCTCTTGACCTTTAATACTTCCCAAGCCACCCCAAAGATCTGGCTTGGGGGGCGGGGAGGGCAGCGCGCGGGTCAAGTGGGAGAGGAGGTGGGCGGTCGCTGCGATTCATTGGGAAGGAGGCCGCGAGGGAGGGGGGGGCAGAGACCCCCACACCTGTAGATTCATCAACACCGTCAGCTGATCAAGTTTCACGCGCACATCGCGGTTAAACCCGTTCCTCGACTCGAGGCAATCCGAGCCGTTCCATAAACATTTGGGAGGTAGGGGGGGGGCAATTATCTCTCTCGTGGGCGGAAATAATGACGAGGCGTTCGCGACACAGCGGGCCTGGGACTGTGGGGGGTGGAGAGGAGGGAGGGGTGGGGAGGGAGGTGGTGGCGCGTGGGGAGTCGAGCATTGGACAATTAGACGAATATTGATGGTTTGATAAGGAGATGGAGAGAGATAGAGAATGATAATCACGGTAATTTACAGTCCCGTGCCAATCTACTGCGGGCTGAAGGCCTCCTCGTGCTGTGCGGCCCGTGGGGGGCTGGGGTGACCCAACTTCCACACGCGACACCACCGCCCCCCACTGTGCACACAGCGACAAAGCCGCCCTGCACAGCCTTCACGGGCTGCTGAGGCTCGACGCGAGCGCCCGTGAAGGCAGGGGCCGCACACGAGGTAGGCGAGGCCCAGGAGTGGTTCAAATAATCCCTACTGTGATTGGTCGTGAGCTGGAATCGAACTCGGGTCGACGGGTCGTAGTGCAGTGCTCACCGCTAGACGACCGCTCCTCGCACACAAATACACAGACACACGCGTGAACACACAACCCGACACATTATACATATCCCATATCGGAAATCGAACTCATGCCTGGGATGGTGGGGGGGGATTGTACAACGCGCGAACCACTCAGTCCAATAAAGCCGGACATTCGGATCCTGCAACCTCCCACCTGCCCGCACCTCTTGCCCCCCCCCCCCCCCCCGTGCAGCAGACGGAGCGATTCTCGCCGCCGCCGCCGCCGCACTCCGATCCGTCTCCCCGCGCGTCGCGACTCGCCCAGGCCAGACACGACTTCTTCTTCGGCAGCTCCCAGCCGGAGACGCACGGTACGGGCCGCACGGCCAGGCAGGGCAGCGTGGGGCAGGGCAGCGTGGGTCAGGGCAGCGTGGGGCAGGGCAGCGTGGGGCAGGGCAGGGATGTGTCAGGCTCGCGGTGCACCCGGGACACATACCCAGGGCCCTGGACTCCGGAGGGCTCAATGGAAAGCGCCGTGACATTTTGACTGTGTTGGTATTCACCGTCGCGCTGCTGCTGTTCGGCGATTCCCGTGGTGGAACCAACGTCGCCTGTACACGCAGCAGTCGCCTCCTCCACCTCCTCCCGTCCCTCTCTCAAAGCCTCGCCTCTTCTCCAGTGCCCATTCTCTCCCTCTTCACTCCCCTCGCCCCTCCACTCCTTCCCGCCCCTATATCCCGTTCGTGATCCCTCATTATCCCGCTCTCTCTGTCACTTGTTCCTTAATCCTGGTAACACGCGCCTGCCATCTACATCATCCCATTCGGTCATCGTTCAGTAAGCCATGTCAAGCGCCTTGAGTGAAGAAGGGGCTCTATATAAATATACAATTAGATTGGATTATACCACGCGTCCGTTGTCTGACACGATGTCCGACGTTTCACCCAACGTGTTGGGACCTTATTTAGGAAGTTAAGTGAGTTTCCCCGTTAAGCTCCATCAGCACCGTGGACCGAAACGTCGGACAACTTGACGAACAAAACGCGGTGCAACCCGGAAATGCACGCGTCTAGAAGAGGTGTGCGTTACGGTTCGCATTTTGATTCTGCAGGCAAGTATGAGTGTCATTTTAATGTGAACAATGTAAACAATGCTGCCATTGTTGGGAGTGTGTGGCAGCGAGGGTTGGGCCGCTTGTAATGATGTGTCCCGTTGTATACTGTGCAGCGTGAGCATTGTTCATGCAAACTGCATCTCGCAATCGCCGAGGAAGCACAGACAAAGCTGAAAGGCTGCAACCAGGCGAGCCGGCACTACCCACAATTGCCCAAGTTCTGCGGCCCTCTATATATTACGACGTTTCCAGCCAATTAGTGAGTATTCATGCATGTGGGAGGAAACCGGAGCACCCGGACCAACAGCCACGTGTGTGAGAGGGGCGAGACTCGATCCCCGTGCAGAAGGGACAGATGGAGATGAGTCGGCACGTTGCTGTACCGCCATCTCCTGGCGAGCCAGGGTATGGCGCCTTCCTGAGGTTCCCGCCAACCCTCGCTGCTGCCTCCACAGCGCGAGATTACGGCGTGCGGGGCAGGGTCCGGAGGAGGGGGTGAGGCCTCTATAGAGACGAGCTTCTGTGTTTCGCAGTTCACTTTGACTCGCACTTTCATTTCCCGTTTTAACCTCAATAGATCCATTCCCCTCCACGGCAGGTTCCGCTCCGTGACTGATTTTTAACCAATAGAGGGCCCCCTTTGCACCACAGAGACATAGCCATGGCACGGCATTTGAATTGAATGAAGCAAAATTAAGGTAAAACAACCTAACTTATCTTGATTCAAAATTTCTAATTAAAGCTTTCGTGACTGCAGGAAGAACCAAGAATATTATCTTGATTCGTTTCGTGTAGTCATCAGTGACCACTCGGTTTAATCACAAGCCAGCCTATGTGTGTGTATATGCGTCTTTGCGTAAGTCTATGGGTTTCCGTGTCAGTCCACGGTTTATCTGTTGTAAGTGTGTGTGTCTACGTATATGTCGATGTCTATACGAGTGTCTAAGGGTCTCTATCATAGTCATTGGTGACCTGGCCAAGACCACCAACTCGCTAATCTTGAGGACTGGGCTCAATCACAGTAGATCAGCTGCCTATGACCTCTGACCTCTGAGTCTCACCCAGCCTCACCTCTCCAAACACTGAGCTCTCTCCATCCTCTCGACCTCTCCTCTCTCTCGAACGACGCAAATTCGTTGTCGCATTCCTCAGCCTCTCCTCCGGGTCGTCATGGTGACGTTGCCATGGCGACAGCGCGGGTGATGGACGGAGGAGGAGCCAGAGCCAACCGCAGCAACAACAACCGCAACAGCGGCGGTAGCAGCAGCAGCGGCGGCAGCGGCAGCAGCAGTGACGACGACGACGATGGTGGAAACCACAGAGCCCTGGCAGCAGCGGCAGGATCCAGAATCCCCAGCAACGGAGTCGGGAACCCGGCGAGGAACCCGGACAAAATAAAACCGAGCAAAACTTTCCCTGCCGCCACCGCCGCCAGCGGGGGCCAGAGGAAGGCGCGGAGTGAGGTGACGAGGGCGCGGATGGGGCGGAGCGGCGGTGACGACGAGGATGAAGATGACGACGATGATGATGATGATTCGTTCGTGGAGCAAGCACTCTTTAACGGCGGAGGACCGGGGTACGTAGCACAGACCGGGGTACGTAGCGTGGACAGGGGTACGTAGAGAGGACAGGGGTATGTAGCATGGACATGGATGGGTAGCGTGGACAGGGGTATGTAGTGTGGACAGGGGTACGTAGCGTGGACAGGGGTACGTAGCACGGACCGGGGTACGTAGAGGACAGGGGTATGTAGTGTGGACTGGGGTACGTAGCATGGACTGGGGTACGTAGAGAGGACAGGGGTATGTAGTGGGGACATGGATGGGTAGCATGGACAGGGGTACGTAGCGTGGACATGGATGGGTAGCAAGGGCTTCAGTCAAACTCCTTGAGCATTCCATAAATGTTTGTTTTTAAATCTGCATTCCTGAGAAAGTCAAACATCAGGTGAGGGAGAGGAAATCGTGTCTATAATCGTAGTAGTAATAATAATAATTACCTCTATCCAGGAGAGCCACGCTGAGTGGCAGGGTTCATATTTGTAAGATGTCCCCAGACAATGACTGATGAGTTTATGTTATATACGTGGGGAGGACACCGGAGCACCACACATTGCCCGCAGGGGCAATGCTGGATCCTCGTACAGATGGAAACAGATGGGTTTCCAATTGTGATGTGGCATTCATGTCACGAGAGGGGTACATTCCCATGAAGGCGATTCTTGGAGCGAGCAGTGCATCACCGTGTGTGAGAGGAGAACAACCCTGACTGGTTATATTGGCAGGGCTTTTCGGAAAGTTTCTTGAATAAGAGTTGAGCCGTTTAAATGTCACCCAGCTGCCGTTTACCCGATCGATCAGCGCGAAATCACGTGACAGGATCTTGAGGTCAACACGTGTTATTGTCTCGGGACCCCTCTTCACCCTCCAGGGATTGGGGGCTTGGCAAGGTGGGGCAGGGTTCCACGGGCTTCAGATCCAAGGGGGGTGCACAGGAGGGAGGGGGCATCCTCAAAAGGACCTCAGATTCGGACCGAGGACGTCCCGTGGCAGTTTCCAACAGCGACGTTTCGGCTGACGCTGCCGCCCTCTCACCTGCGTAACCCTCCCCGCCCCCCCCCCCCCCCAGGCTGCCGCCGCGCGGCGAGGCCGCTCGCCCTACGGCGGCGGCGGCGGCGTTCACTGCCGCCGCGTCCCCGGGCCGCGCAAGCCTCGCCTCGCTGCAGGACGCCTTCAGCCGCGACTTCGAGGAGATCGTGGAGGCGCAGCGGCACCGCGCCGCCTCGTGCCTCAGCCTCAGCTCCCTCGACAGCTTCGCGTCGCCGCCATCCACGCGCCGCGCCGCGGCCTTCCCCCGCGCGGGTCCCGCGGGCGCCGCGGCTTGGGCGGCCCCCGTGCCGCCGGCTACGAGCGGCCACGGCTCGCGGGCGGGGGCCTCGGCGGCGGCGGCGGGGAGCGGCGATGGCGGGGCGGCCGCGTGTAACGGGGCGTACGGCGACGGAGGAGCGGAGGGGGCGTCCCGAGGAGTGGCCAAGCGCGGGGCCGGGAGCACGCCCTGCAGGTGCTGTGGGGGCCATCGGGGGGGGGGGGGCAGGGGACGATTGGTAGATTCGTTCGGTGTTGATTGCTACCGAATGTTTAAGTGCGCGATGCGCGCGTCGAGTGCATGCGTGAGAGCAAGAGTCGATGGGTTGAGTCGTTTGTGTTGTTGTTGTGGTGGTGGTGGTGGTACGGGTTTGTTCATGCCCGTGCCCTTGTCTATGTCGCTGTGTTTACACGTGCGCATTTGTGCGTGTGTGTGTGTATCTGTGTGTGTGTGTATCTGTGTGTGTGTGTATCTGTGTGTGGGGCATGCGTGCAAGTGTGTGTGCCCACGTGTCTGTGTATCTATCTAAGGGGAGGGATAGCGTAGTGGTTAGCGCGCTGCGCTTCGAACCTGGAGACCCGAATTCGATTCCCGCTCACGGACAACACCAGTGACGTTTATCTGAACTGGTCTTGGGCCCTCCCCTAGGTTGACTCTGCCTCAAATGAGTACCTGGTGCGGTGTGTTAACATCGCCACTGGGGAGACAAAGGCGGTCGGGCGTGGTGCTGTGCACCCACCCCCTCGTGTACCGTGCCAACCTTCACAGGTGCTCGCTAACAGCACTTGCCCCAAGAGTCTGTGAAGGCTATACGGGAGATCTTTGTCCTTGTGTATCTGTGCGATGTGTTTGAGTTGGGGGCGGTGGTACATTGGGTTAGCTCACTGCATTACAAATCAAGTGACTTCAGTTCGATTACAGCCGAGATTAACATCACAATGGCAAGTGGTATTTTAACTTATCCCGCCCCCCGACCCCTCTACGTCGACTCAGCCTTACACTCAGCAGCAGATGCGGTGTGTAAATGCCAGGACTCACGGTGACAAAGACGACCGGGCGTGCTGCAAGGCTTACACCACGTGGTAGCATTGTTCCGGCCTTAATGGATACGGCTTCACTTTCAGCACTTGCCTCGACAATCGCTTTAGGCTATACGGGGGAGTTTTGTCCTTGGAAATAGAATTTGGGTTGCTTCCTGGAATCCCACAAAGCCTTCGGGGGACACTGCAGTAGCTGCACCTCGCGACGAATGCTCTCAATTTAAACATAGAAACAAGTGGCACCCCTCCATCAATCCAAATAACAACATCACTCAACACATTTTCGTCACTCGCACTGTGGCCTTAAAAAGAACAAGTATATAATCGGCGACGTTTCGGGCAACGACCCTTCCTCACAGCGCATCAAGAGGCCACAGAGGTCGAGTTTCATGTGCAATGCTTAAGGACCATTGCCCAGCACGTCGCCTGTTGTATTCTTGTCTTGTTAAGGCCCGGGGGTCCTTGGAGGATGTCTTGAGTGTGTGTTTTTATTTGTGCTTGTGCACCACTGCCCAACGCAGCAGCAGCAGCAGCAACGTCACAAGATAATCTCGTTATCGACCCAGCACTGGATGATGAAGGCCTTCCCACGCCGTGCCCATCCCGGGGCGGTTGTTGTTTGGCCATACTTCACCGCGCTCCTCGGTGTGGAGGAGGTCCCCAGAGATGGTTCAGATATCGCTCGCCACTGATGTTAGCCGTGGCGTATAACAGAGCCCGGGTCACGGGGTTCCCAGCACATTGCGCTGACCACTGCGCTGGGACCTGGGGACGGCTCTGAGTCCGTCAGCCATTCGTCCTTCTCGACCAATGTTGTATAACAGCGTTTGTTGAAGCAAGCCAAACCCTGCACCGGCTTCGGCTTTCTGGGCCTCGTCAGCAGAGTCCGGCCTCTTAAACAAATGCTGCTGCTGCGTTGTCTGGTGTTGGGGTCTAGAGCCGTCCACGAGCGGGTGAGTGAGGGTCGATGATTCCAGCGTGGTCAAGTACGATCAACACAATTACCCTCGAGACACACACAGACATTCAACACAGTCGTTTGAGGCGATACTGTGGCCTTTAAAGGAAACACAATAGGCGACGTTCGGGAAATGGCCCTGATTCATGGCACATGGGAATGTCTTCTGCCCGCGGTGGATTTCGTGCTTGATGAAGGGATGTGAAGGGATGTAGCTCTCAAGCGACGGGAACACCGTCGCATCACCGCATGCTGCGCTGTCTCGTTTGTCCGGACTCTGTCTTCTGACTCCAAACCCCGCGGGGGGGGGGGGGGGGCCGCCAGCGGGGAGCGACGCTTCAGCATCACTCGCTCTGATCTCTCAACAACACCTCCCACGCTCCCCACCACGCCAGCTGCCGTGCATCATCATCATCCTCTGTATTATCGTCAACGTCGTAATTTATATATCATCATTCTCACTGTCATTATAGTCATCGTCGTCGTCTGCAAACGATTACGTGTGGACCACCCACATGCACACACACACACACTTTGATGCACACGCACACACGATCAAACGCGCACACACACAGACACCCTCCCACCCACTCACCCACACACGCATATTCCCAGACCCCCACACACACTCTCGTATACATATGTAAACAAATGTAGACAAACGTCCACGCATCCTCACACACTCGCACATATGCAGACCCCCACACACATCGCCCAATCAAAGGCAAGGATCCCCATCCCCTATCGCCTTTAACACACCGTTGAGGCAGGTACTGTGAGCAGCAAGAACTCTGAAGGTCGCGACACCACGCGAGACAGGGTAGGTGGCCAGGACCATGCCCGACCGCCTTTGTCTCCTCACAATGCTGATGTTTACACACCGCAAGTGGGTACTCATTTATGGCTGAGTCGCCCTAGGGGGAAGTCTCAGACCGGTTCAAATATTTGTCACCGATGTTGGCTGTGAGCTGCAAACGGACTCAGGTCGCTGGTTCGTAGCGCAGTGCGCTAACCACTATACCACCGCTCCACACATGCGTACACACACACACACATCTTTTTACCCACACACACCCACCCGCACACACCCGCACACACACACACAAGTCACCCAGCCACTCGCACACTTCACCCACACACACCCATCCACCCTTAACCCACGAACACTTCCCCCCCCCCCCCCCCCCCCCCCGTAGTCCTGGCAAGCTGCGCGACCTCCACGCGATTCTGGAGCGGGTCGAGGGAGGCGAAGGCGCGGCCGAGCTGGAGGCCCCGGGGGTGCTGGCGAACGGCGCCGGGGGGGGCGAGGGGGGGGGCACCGGGGGCCTGGGGGGCCCCGAGGGCTCGCGCGGGTCGCCCACCCAGGCCGCACGGCGCCTCGCAGCCAAACTCTTCCACCTGGAAGGAGTGCGGCGCTCCGACGTCGCCAAACACCTGGGCAAGAAGTGAGTGCGGCGCGGAGGGGCGCGGGGCTCAGCCCTCCACTCACCGTTCTCTTGCGAGGGTTGGTCCCGATGCGAGGGTTGGTCCCGATGTGAGCGTTGATTCCGATGCGATTGTGGATTCTGAGTTTCACTCTTCAGAGAGCACTCGCTTGCACGTGAGGATGTGTCGCCGATTGCGCACATGCTACAGTACGCGTGTGCCCGTGTCTCGGTGCGCGCGTGCCCCTCAGCAACGAGTCGTCTCGTCTCGTGGCCGAGGAGTATTTGCGGTTCTTTGACTTCACGGGACTCACTCTGGACCAAGCGCTGAGGTGAGTGCAGTAGTCACAACAACAACAACAACATTGCCATTTTGTTGGGAAACTTCTGCTGAGTCTCAAGACTATTTTTCAGGAGGGTACTGCTTCCTTCTCACTCCTCCCTTACTGCTGCCTCTCTCCCTCCCTTGCTCCCTCGCTTCTTCCATCCCCCACACCCCTCCCCATGCTCTCTCCCCCCCACGCATTCTCCCCTCTCCCCTCTCCCTCTGTCTCTCCCTCGTTCCCTATCTCGCCCCCCCCCCTCTTTCCTCCCTCCGTCCGTCACGAACTCCCTTCTCCTCCGTCTCCTCCTTCCCCCCTCCCCCCCTCCTCCCCTCGTCTTTCACTCCACCGCTCCCTCCCTGCTTCACTCCTTCCCTCTCTCCCTGCTCCCTAGGCGCTTCCTCAAGGCGTTCGCGCTGATGGGGGAGACGCAGGAGAGGGAGCGCATCCTGGCGCATTTCTCCCGGCGCTACCACGCGTGCCACCCAACCACGGTGCCATCCGAGGGTACGCGACCCCCCCCCCCCCCACCACGGCCAGGCAGCTACGATGTTAGCGAGCACCTATTACTCATTCAGTGACGACGCAACTCCCCCCCCTCCTGTAGCGACATCCCTGGACTGTGCATTCCTGTCGGAAGCTTTATTTAGCAGAAATAAAGTCACTGAACGTTATCGTTCAGATTGCTACTGCTGGGCTCTGGTGACGTCATTGCAGTGCTGAATTAAAACGTGCGTCTGCATAAAAAGTACGCACGTTGATGTGAAGGAAAAGCACCATCTGGATTCGTCAATAACACTGCGGCTTTAAAAATAATAAAAAGAGGCGATGTTTTGGTCATAGAACCATATGTATATATATACCAGAGCAATGTGCCTTCTGCATAACATATGTCCAATGAAGAAGGATCCTTGCCCGAAACGTCGCCTATGATATGTTCCTGTTAAGGCCACACACAGTTTTAAGTATGTGAGAATTTTTGCCCGTACCAAAATGATGAAAACATCATCGGCTCTACAACTATCACAAGGTATGTCTGTATAAACTACACATGCTTGTGGTGAAACATGCAAACAAACATGCTTTGATAATAATAATGCACACATTGTCTTTGGAACGGATTGGCCTCCACCAGGGACAGCCTCCTTAATGGCCTTGTCTCGTCACCAGTATTAGAGCACAGGACACCAAAGGCGAACATCACAAAGGCAATGCAAACATCAATATCCTTAACACCTCCTGTATTGTTATTGACGAACATCTTGAGTTGTTGTTGTTGTTGACAGTGCTTGTGCACCACTACCAACGCAGCAGCAGCAGCATCACCACCCAGCAGTTTGTTACAATTCGGGTCGTGCTGCCGCCGTTTTGGAGTCTGGTCGGATTTCTTCATCGCTCGTAAACAAATTGGCGGTGGCGGTGGCTTGGGAAGCACGTCATCCAGCAGTGGGTTGGCCATGGCTAATGATGAACTTGCTGTCTCGACAGACGGTGTGCACACGCTCACGTGTGCCCTCATGCTGCTCAACACGGACCTGCACGGACGAGTAAGTACACAGGTGTACACACACACATAGTGGGTAGGTGGCCAGAACCACGCCCGGACGCCTTTGTCTTCCCGAGTGGCGATGTTTACACATCATACCAGGTACTCTTGTGAGGCTGAGTCGACCTTGGGGAGGCCCAGGACTGGTTCAGATTTTAGCCACTGTTGTTGGTTGTGAGCGGGGATCGAACTCGGGTCACCGGGTTTGTAGCACAGTGCGCGAACCACTTCGTCACGTGTGCAGATGGAGGTGTATCTACAAACACCCCAACACGTGTACAACACATGCACAACACACGTACACACACCTGTGCACATTCTCATACGTGAAAACATTCATACACATGTTTGCATAGAAACGTGTGGACACACTTGTCTACATACACATGCAGACACAGCACATACATGCACATGCAGACACCAACAATTGCACACATGTGAACTCGCACACACATACACGATCGTTTCTTCGCTTGGACACACGCACACCTCCACGCCTTGTGTGCCCTGAGTGGGGCCGATGTCTCCTCGCACTAACCATGTCTCTCTGTCTCACCTCTCTCACCTTTCCTCACCGCACCCGCGCCCGTTACTCCCTCACCCAGGCGGTGAGTGCCCTCCCTCCTTCCCCCTCGTGACCTGTACACATTGCTCAGGGCAATCCAAAGCCATCAGTAAGCTCAGGTCTGCGGTTAGAATCAGGGTCAGGTATGTAGAAAGGATATGCATGACATTTGTGGTTATAGGTCAGAGTCAGATGTGTGGTTTTGTAAGGGCTAGGTCTGTGGTCAGGGTCATGCCTAGATGTATGTTTAACATCAAGGTTGAGTTTGTGGGTCCGCTCAGGGTTAGTTTCTTGGTTTGTTGTCAGGGTTAGTTAGGTGGTATTGTTTCTGGACAGGGACTCAGGACCAGCGATGTGGTTATGGGAATACGTTTAGTAAGGGGTAGGATCATGGTGAGATCGCATGGCTAGGCTCAGGACTTGGGTCTCTGCGTGGTTTTTCAGTTGCAGTGCGCGACTCAACAGCATTATATTATCATTCTGAACGACGGTGCTGTAGCCGCAAGCAGCACTGAACTTAATTAATTAGCCGTATCCAATTAATTATGAGCGTTAATTATGAGCAATTCTCGTTGAGGGATGCGGTGAGTGAGCCGTACTCTCTAGAAATAGGGCGCCGAGAGGCTAGGACTAGCTCTATCCCTAACCACTCTAGCCCATCAGACACTAGCACTAGTTGTATCAGTAACCAGTGTAGCCAATCAGACGCTAGCTCGATATCCTGACCAAATTATCCAACCAGATGCTACCAGTATCCACAGTTAATCATACCCTCAGCATAACCACACTAGTCCAGAAGACCGCTAATCCTATTACTAAGCTTAGCCCCACATCCTGGCGCTTTTCCCGGAATCCATCGGCACCACCCTGTCTCCCTGCCGTTCTTGATTCGCTTCTCGCTTTTACAATCATAGTGTTGCTGTGTGGTGTGGAATAATCTACAATCGCTTGCTTACCCGAATGCTGGTGAACTCTAGAGGGCATTAAGTCTACTCTTCCACGTTCATCGGACGTCTTGGACGAGTGTAATAATGCTGCTCTAAAGACACCACTGCAGCCAATCGGAAATGATGTTGGGTCTCACGGGGGAGGGGCTGGTGGGGATGTGGGGAGAGGACATGGTAATGAGAATGATAAATTAATGGGCGCGGCATAATCACGTGTGGAAACAATGGGTCGCATACTGCAGGGTTAGAGATTGGATGAGGGATAGAGATTGGCTGCAGAACTGTTCAGGGCAGCACTGTTTTGTACTACAGCGACCCTGGCGTTCATTTACACACACAGCACCTCCCGCACCTCTCATTAGCACGGTTGGCTACGTACGGTGCCAAAGAAGTTCAACATATATACATGCAGCACTATTCAGTCTCACGGACAGCTCCATCCAGCACCACGGACAGCACCATAGAAGACATTTTAGAACCACATACATCTCCATTCACTACCATAGTTATCTCCTTTCAGTTACACGAACTGCTCCACTCTGTACCATGCAGAAAGTCCCGCTGAGTACCATGGACAGCTCCACTCTTATCACGATACGGTATTATAGTGTTGAGAACCACGTACATCTACACTCACTGCAATTGGCATCTCAATTCAGTACCACGGACATATCCATTCGATTCCATGAAGATGGCTCCACTTAGTACCCCGGACAGCTCCATTCGTTATCACAAACAGCTCAATTTAATACCAAGGGCATCCAGACAGCTCCATTCAATTTTCAGGACAGCTTCATTCGTTAACATGAACAGCTCCGTTCAGCACCATGGACAATTCCAGTTAGTTCCAGCCAATGGTTACGGACAGTTCAATTGAGTGCCGTGGACAGCCCCAATCGGTATCGGTCAGTATCCACAGACGGCTCTGTTCAGTACCACGGACAGCTCCATTCAGTACCACGGACAGCACCGTTCTTTATCATGAACATCGCCATTCAGTACCACGGACAGCACCATTCACGACCACGAACACCGATTAACACGAAGAAACCTGGGGAATAAAGATGAACTTATTCATTGATTACAATTCTGCGTGTACGAATAGATTATCTCCAAATCCTTTATGTTTACATTCTAAAGAATAATGGCGCACTATCTGATATGTTTTTAATAACTCTCTGGATTCTCAAGTCACTCAACTACAGGATTCTGTAAATATATAACAATGTACTATAGATTGACGTCATTCCACATCAATTCGCACTGCTATAGATTATCTAAATTCACACCATGAATCGCAAGCCATATATTCCAATAACTTGCACCAGCAAAGCTTCTACCAGCACAGGGGACAAATCGATAATATGTAGACAGTCAATAATTGGCAAAAAATATCGTCATATATAGAGGACTTCAGAGCTTGGGCAATTTTTAGTAGCCGCCGGCTCGAAGTACAACTTCTGCCTTCCAGCGTTGTCAGTACTTAATCAACGATTGTGAGATGCAATTTGTATGAATGACGACGCGATACATGAAAGTATATGGAGTAATCAATTTTGAGAAATGAGTTGCTTACGAAAAGTACCGAATCGTAGTGGCGTGAGTCATTCACTATGCAAGGCATTGATATGATGGCTATGTGGAGTCGATATAGCCAGTCACATGAATACGAACACAATGTCAGTTGTTTACCGATCAATAACACTCTATATAATACGTGACGTTTCAGGCAATGGTCCTTCTCCATGGCACATAAATGATGATGATGATGAAGATGAATTGCCCAAAGCGTCAGTTATTATATGCTTTTTCATTTTAAGGCCACAGGGTGATATTAATGAAGCTGTTGAGCTTTGTTGTTGTTGTTTGTCCTTGTGCAACACATCGAACGCAGCAGTAGCGGCATCACCAACATGCTGTTGTTCACATTTATTGGTCGTCTAAATGCGATCGCGTCTCGAGATGCGCCGTGAATAGCGGGACATGCACGTCAACTGGCACTGGCCCGAAGCCTCCATCGCTCTCCCCAAGCGCTCCGTAGCAGGCCTCAATGTGAGCCGGGCGTGGTGGCACAGCCAATCGTCCAGAGCTTTGGAGGCAATGGTTGGTGGTTCGTAACCAGATCGGTGAACCTTCCCAAACTCGCCGGGATCAGAGTTGGCCAGGAGATGGCAGTACAGCGGAGTGGGTTGTAAACTCGACCGCGCGAATCTTTGAGTGTTATCACCGTCGCCGTGCAGCAATGGCCCTCATTAAAAGGCGAGGCTCTCTTCGATAAACAAACGACTTTATCATCATTATTATTAGGACAGTTATAGTCGTGATCTCAGCACGCATTGCAGAATCTTGCCTGAAAGTGAACTCCGCTACCCATACATCACCACTCATCTGTGACAGAAAAGAAATCATTTCACAGTTACACTCCATTCAGAACTATTAATTTCAATTAACCGTGTGGAACACGTTCCGTTTAGCAGCCAATTAAAGTAATTAAAGGACACGTCGTGCACATTATCGTCAGCACGGTCATTATCACATGTGGCCCGTTGATCTGCAAAAGCATTGATGAATGGGACGGACGTCTATAATTGGGGAATCGATGTCTCCGATTGGTTAATCGTTGGCCGCTGTTGTGCTCGTGATTGGCGCGCAGAATATCGGGAAACGTATGACCTGCCAAGAGTTCATCGGGAACCTGGAGGGACTGGACAGCGGGCAGGATTTTCCCCGGGACCTACTCAAGGTAAGTGCGAACAACGATGACAGAGCACTTACATCCGAAGGGCGGCGGTGGTGGTGGTGGCTATGCACGTGGTGGCTATGCACGCGGTGGCTATGCACGCGGTGGCTATGCACGCGGTGGCTATGCACGCGGTGGCTATGCACGCGGTGGCTATGCACGCGGTGGCTATGCACGCGGTGGCTATGCACGCGGTGGCTATGCACGCGGTGGCTATGCACGCGGTGGCTATGCACGCGGTGGCTATGCACGCGGTGGCTATGCACGCGGTGGCTATGCACGCGGTGGCTATGCACGCGGTGGCTATGCACGCGGTGGCTATGCACGCGGTGGCTATGCACGCGGTGGCTATGCACGCGGTGGCTATGCACGCGGTGGCTATGCACGCGGTGGCTATGCACGCGGTGGCTATGCACGTGGTGGCTATTCACGTGGTGGCTATGCACGCGGTGGCTATGCACGCGGTGGCTATGCACGCGGTGGCTATGCACGCGGTGGTTATGCACGTGGTGGCTATGCACGTGGTGGCTATGCACGCGGTGGCTATGCACGCGGTGGCTATGCACGCGGTGGCTATGCACGCGATGGCTATGCACGCGGTGGCTATGCACGTGGTGGCTATGCACGTGGTGGCTATGCACGTGGTGGCTATGCACGTGGCTGTCTGGAATCCAGCCCTGTGGAGGCAGTAGCGAAGGTTGGTGGATCGCAAACAGATGTAATACTAAACACGTACAGTATATCCCTTTATTAATACTGTACACTGATGGATTATTTATTTTCACGCGGTGTTTATGTTGGGGGTTGTTTGACTCTATGCTGGTCATTGCAAAGAGGTGAATATGGATTGGGGGGGGGGGGGGCAGGAACCCATTCAGATGTCTCTTTCCGGTGACATCACAGTGCACAAACAACTGTCCCACCACTCCCCCACGCATACGAGGCAGTGACACTGAAAGGTCCGCACGGACGAGTCCACGAAGCCACCTGATGATACTGCCACCTCATGGCCACTGCACAAGCCAACGATTTTCAGTTTCACAAATCGGTGCGTGATCAGTCAACCCTGACCTCCACAGCGTTGGATACACGCGTGTGTGTGTGTGTGTACACCACACTCACGTGACTGTAATGTGAGTGGTGAGAGTGTCAGATAGCCTTAATAGGTGCTACCCAACAGCACTTGTCCCACCAGCCTATGTAGGCTACGTGGTGGGGGTCTTTGTCTTTTGTTTATGACGAGAAGGGGAGGGCGGCGTCTGTTTGTCTCTCGCCCCCTCCCCTCCGAGCCTGAGTGCACCTGCTGCTGCTGCTACACACTCCACACTCGCTGTGACACACTCGCTGTTACACACTCACTGTGACACTCGCTGTTACACACTCGCTGTGACACACTCGCTGTTACACACTCGCTGTGACACACTCGCTGTTACACACTCACTGTGACACACTCGCTGTTACACACTCACTGTGACACACTCGCTGTTACACACTCACTGTGACACACTTGCTGTTACACTCACTGTGACACACTCGCTGTTACACACTCACTGTGACACACTCGCTGTTACACACTCACTGTGACACACTCACTGTTACACACTCACTGTTACACACTCGCTGTTACACACTCACTGTGACACACTCGCTGCTACACACTCGCTGTGACACACTCGCTGTGACACACTCGCTGTTACACACTCGCTGTGACACACTCGCTGTTACACACTCGCTGTGACACACTCGCTGTTACACACTCACTGTTACACACTCACTGTGACACACTCGCTGTTACACACTCGCTGTGACACACTCGCTGTTACACACTCACTGTGACACACTCCACACTCGCTGTTACACACTCGCTGTTACACACTCGCTGTTACACACTCGCTGTAACACAATCGCTGTTACACACTCGCTGTGACACACTCGCTGTTCCACACTCACTGTGACACAATCACTGTTACACACTTACTGTGACACACTCGCTGTGACACACTCACTGTGACACACTCGCTGTTACACACTCACTGTGACACACTCGCTGTTCCACACTCACTGTGACACAATCACTGTTACACACTTACTGTGACGCACTCGCTGTGACACACTCACTGTGACACACTCGCTGTTACACACTCGCTGTTACACACTCACTGTGACACAATCACTGTTACACACTCACTGTGACACACTCGCTGTAACACAATCACTGTTACACATTCACTGTGACACACTCGCTGTTACACACTCACTGTAACACAATCACTTTTACACACTCACTGTGACACACTCGCTGTGACACACTCGCTGTGACACACTCACTGTGACACAATCGCTGTTACACACTCACTGTGACACACTCGCTGTTCCACACTCACTGTGACACAATCACTGTTACACACTTACTGTGACACACTCGCTGTGACACACTCACTGTGACACACTCGCTGTTACACACTCACTGTGACACAGTCACTGTTACACACTCACTGTGACACACTCGCTGTAACACAATCACTGTTACACATTCACTGTGACACACTCGCTGTTACACACTCACTGTAACACAATCACTGTTACACACTCACTGTGACACACTCGCTGTGACACACTCGCTGTTACACACTCACTGTGACACACTCGCTGTTACACACTCACTGTGACACACTCGCTGTTACACACTCACTGTGACACACTCGCTGTTACACAATTGCTTTAACACAATCACTGTTACACACTCGCTGTTACACACTCCACATGCACTGTTACACGCTCGCTGTTACACACTCACTGTGACACACTCGCTGTTACACACTCGCTGTTACACACTCGCTGTTACACACTCGCAGTTACAACACTCGATGTTACACACTCCACACTCGCTGTTACACACTCGCTGTTACAACACTCGCTATTACAACACTCGCTGTTACACACTCGTTGTTACACACTCTCTCAGGCACAACCGCCAGTCGCCACTAAGTGGCGGTGAAGTCATCACTGTACTTGTGCCAGGCTATGTGCACTTTGAGATCACGTGAAGTGTCCCCTGGCAGGAGGGTTGACTGAGATGACTGGCAGATGCACCGCCTGCGCCCCCTACTCTTCTATACGCCCGGCGCGCAGGGCCACCAACTCTCTGACACACACACACACGCACATGCTCGCTCGCTCTCATGCACACTGCTGCAATCACGCTCTCCCACACTCACCCGCTTACTCAAGCACACACTCAATCAAACACAAAGATCCCCTTCATAGCCTCAGGAGACTTTTAGGGCAAGAGCTGTTAGCGAGAACCTATAAAGACCGGTACGGTACACGAGAGGGTGGTGTGGCCAGCACCACGTCCGGCCGCATTTGAGGCTGAGTCGACCGGTTTCGATATTCGCCACTGTTGTTGGTGTGCTAAGCACAGCGCCACCGCTCTCCAGCGCACACTCCGAGTGGGGCCGGTGCCGCAGCGTGAGGCTGCTGCCATGACGACGTCGCGAGTGTGCGTCGAGGCGAGTGTGCGTCGAGGCGAGTGTGCGTCGAGGCGAGTGTGCGTCGAGGCGAGTGTGCGTCGAGGCGAGTGTGCGTCGAGGCGAGTGTGCGTCGAGGCGAGTGTGCGTCGAGGCGAGTGTGCGTCGAGGCGAGTGTGCGTCGAGGCGGCGCGAGGAGCGACTCGCGAGGGTTGGTCGGCGCATAGCCCGAGGAAGAGGGAAGGAAGAGAGGGAGGGTGCTACAGAGGCAGAAAGAGTGGTGGTGTGAGTTCTCTTTATTAAAGTGGTGGTAGAGGGGTGGGGGGGGCTGCAGCTTGGAGGGGGCTGAGCGGGGCAGGGAGACGGAACGATGAGCGGGAGACGGGCAGAGCCGATATGAGAGAGCGGAGCTGGGAGCGGAGAAGCATCACCGCCGCACCTTGTCGCCCAGACTCATCGCATCTACTCTCCAGAGGCGTCGGAGATAGGGGAGGGGAGAGAGGGGAGATAGGGGAGAGAGGGGGGAGGGTAAAGGGTTGGAGCAGAGATCCGAAACTCCCCTGGCTCCCCCCTCCCTCTCCCTGTGAAGCTGCGCTTTCATTTTAGATTCGCGCTCCGTCCGCCGGACTCGCTCGCCGTGGCCGCCGATCGCTCTCGGCAACAGGCGCAGCGGTGCAGCGAGTAGCGCGGTTTGTGCGTGCGACGTGGTGCTGTGGGGATGGCAGTAACCTGCTGGTAACGGGTTGGCAACACGTGGTCGTGAGTGGCGGCTGATGTTGTTGTTAGTTCTATGATTTTCTGTGTCGACGTGAACGGTCTGGGCTCAGTGGGGAGCCCGCAGAGAGGTTGATCCGTGCACTCGGGGGGGTCCGGTGACGCTCAACAAGGGGGGCGGAGGGGTGGGGGGTGGGAGATAATAAAGCAGCGGGAGAGGGTTTGCTGTTTGTTGTTTCATTCATCCTCTCATTCAGTTACTCGGTCATTCATTCACTCATTCATTATTCCGAGTTCGTAATCGAAAATTGCTTTGTCCGTATCTGTACACGCTCCAAGTAAGTTTTATTATTATTGCATTGTTACTCTTTCCGTTATTGATTAATTTAATCTGTAATTCAGCTCTTCATTAATTCTATCAGTCAGTAACTCAGCCCATCTCATATTCAGGCAGCCGTTCGTCAACTCAGTCATTGTAAACGTAATCCTCGTTCCTTAATTAATTCGTAGATTCACATAAACACACTTCGTGATGTACATCTAACAACGACAGTCACAACTGGTTCGTCTCGTTGCTTCATTCAGCGATTGTGTTCAGTTATCCAGCAACTGTGAATGCATGCTATGGGTGCTGCCTATCAGAGCACAGTCCATGGTCTAAGGGCATTGCTCTCGCAAGCAGAGCGCGAGTGACTGCTGCTGCTGCTGCTCTGGGTGCGAGCACACGCAGCTCGTTTCGTCTGCTGGGAACATGCGGGCGGTGGCGCCCCTTCGGGTCTCGGCACAGCGTCGCCTCTCGCCACATTCTCGGTGATTCATTCCGTCGCTCGTTCAGTCGGTTATTTATTGGTGGGTTCGTTCACTCGGCCATTCAGTCTGCTGCTCACTCGGTGACGCATTCCGCTCGGGCCGCGTATTCGTTGTTGAGAGGCGGTCGCGTAAATCCAAACTGCGATTGTAATTTGTCTTTGCTTCGTTAATGAATTCGCTCGTTGCTTCAGATATTAATTAATGATTCTGCTCGGTCATTCGTACATGTACGTACTCGTTCGTTCAGTCGTTCACTGGTACATGTGTTGTTGAGGCGAGCTCTTAAAGACGCTCGATAATTACAAATTATAACTCTCCCTGCAGTGCAATTAATTCTCCCGGATATTCACCCATTTAGTTAATGTACTAATACGTTGAGCCATTCAATAATTCATTTATGTTGTTCATTCCCGAATTCACTCGCTCGCCATTTGATTCACTCACTCATCATTCTTGAGAGGTGGGGTGGGGTGTCGCACGTCACCGCGTTCTGCATTCGCGTTGTGATTCTCCCGCACTCGCTCATTCATTCACTCAGCCCTGAGCTCAGCCACTCGCAGGGAGCCGCGCTGTGGAGGGGGGAGGGGGCTGTAGGGGCGGCGGGGGACCGCAGCCTTGGGGCAGTGGTTCGGGCTGAGGGGGCCCTGCCTGCCATGCACGTGGTGGCTATCCGCTGTCACTGGTTTGTGCTGATGGTTGCTGGTCGGTGTTGATATTGCTGGTTATGGACCGTAAAGGGGTTTCTTCTGCGTCCCCAGCGTCGTGTCGAGGTTGGTGGCTGAGCCAGAGGATGGCTCCAGGAGGAGTTGCCTCGTGGTGAATTATCTTGAATTGTGACGGCGGCGACTGCTCGCAGCCGAGATTGGGTGTAGCTATGTGGCCCATGGCACGAGGGCGCTCACCGCAGCCGTCCTGCCAGGGATACTCGGCATCGCCAATTGGTGTAGGAGGCGACAGTCACGTCTACCGCGCGATCTTCTGACGCGGTTCAGTGGAGAGCTCGTGAGTTAGGGCTGATGAGCTTCATCTTCGCGAGGCTGATATTGATGTTGAGCAACATCTACCATTTTACTTCGAGGTGGTTAATGAGCCAGATGATTGCGTCAGGAGTAGGGAGTGGTGGTTCGTATTTCTGAATCTGACATTGAGCCATTGCACGTTACATGGTTCTGTTCTTGGGTTTCAATTTCCCATCTGTGCATTATCATCGTCGTCGTCACCAGGTATCCGCATCAACTGCTGCTGGTGTGGTTTGTCCAATGGATGCAGTTTAGGGGTTGTGGTCCCATAAGCGTTGCGGAAGGTCGAAGCCAGAGAGATATTCTGCTTTGCCGGGTCGTTCACTCGGCAGGGATGATCAGAGATGGTCGTGGGTGCCTAATCAGCGCTGTCGGTGCTGGTTAAGGCTGCTTGGAATTGTTGGTTCTGGTTAGTTATTGCTGGTCATCCAGGTGTGACAGTGATTGGTGTTGTGGGTCACCCCAGGGCTGATCGCCTCCAGTGGCCTCCCCCTGCCAAGCCCGCCACGCCTCTGAATGCACTTTCTAAGTTGAATATGTACGACATATTAATGTAATAAAGAACGAATTAATTAAATATAGCCGGTTACCAGAGCAGCCAGCGCTAGTTAGAGCTGGTTTGAGCTAGTTAGAGCTGGTTAGAGCTGGTTAGAGTTGGTTAGAGCTAGTAAGAGCTGGTTAGAGCTAGTTAGAGCTGGTTAGAGCTGGTTAGAGCTAGTTAGAGCTGGTTAGAGCTAGTTAGAGCTGGTTAGAGCTAGTCAGAGCTGGTTAGAGCTGGTCAGAGCTGGTCAGAGCTAGTTAGAGCTAGTCAGAGCTGGTTAGAGCTGGTAATCTAGACTGGTGAGCACTGCTGCCCGCACCCTGCCGCGCCCCTGGGTTCCCGCGTCACGAGTGCGCGTCGTGAGGACGAGTGCGCGTCGTGAGGACGAGTCCGCGTCGTGAGGACGAGTCCGCGTCGTGAGGACGAGTCCGCGTCGTGAGGACGAGTCCGCGTCGTGAGGACGAGTTCGCGTCGTGAGGACGAGTCCGCGTCGTGAGGACGAGTGCGCGTCGTGAGGACGAGTTCGCGTCGTGAGGACGAGTCCGCGTCGTGAGGACGAGTTCGCGTCGTGAGGACGAGTTCGCGTCGTGAGGACGAGTCCGCGTCGTGAGGACGAGTTCGCGTCGTGAGGACGAGTCCGCGTCGTGAGGACGAGTGCGACGATGATCGGAGTGAACAGCGCCAACGCGTGCGCGGGCCTCTCCCGCTTGCACCCCCCGCTCGACCTGGGGGGCCACTCGCGGTTCGGGGGGGGCTCCGGGGGCCTCGTGGCAGTCTCCGAGTTTCGCTCGGCGGGGCCCCCCTCGCAGCAGCAGCAGAATCCTCGGCCCCCCCGCAGGGCTCCGGCGGCGTCTCCCACGAGGCGGCGTGGGGGGCCCACTGCGAGAGGGGGCAAGGCCGATCCCGAGTCGGAGAGGAAGGTGGGGAGATGATGGTGAAGTTGTTGTTGATGATAGTAGAGTGATGATGCTGTTGATGATGGTGGAGGTGATGATGCTGTTGATGATGGTGCTGGTTGTTGTGGTGTTAATGGTGGTGGTGGTGATTATGGCGGTGAAAATGATGTTGATGATGAGAGAATATTAATCACGTGATAACCCCCCCCCCCAAACTGCCCCTGGAGACTCGGCTCATCGTCACGATTTGTGATCATCGTGATTCGATCTGGAATCGAATTCTTTTGCATTAAGAACTTTCTTCTTGTTGTTGTTGTGTGGGTGGCAGGCACTGTACAACTCCATCAAGAACGAGAAGCTTGAATGGGCCATGTGAGTGATGTCATCTGTTGTTATTATTTCATTTCATATTATTATTGCAGTTGTCATTGGGCGTATGTGTCATTGCCACTGTGAACATTTAAATGCATTTACGTGGTGGAGGTGATGGGACTGGAGTTCGGTAAAACAGACTGCGTGTTCAGTGGAAGGCATTCATCATCAGCAACAGCATCTGTAGCATCATCACCAGATGCAGAAGCTTCATCACAACTACTGCCCAATCATCATCATCATTATATGAATAAGGTTTATCAGCATCATTATTATCATCGCCGTTGTCATAACTAACACCAAAATCGTAACCAGTAACACCACCATAGCCATTCCTATCGCACCATCATTGACTTCACCAACATTATAATCCCTGTCATCATCACCATCTACATTACAATAATCAAAACCGCCACCACCAAAATAATTAATATCCCCATTATCACCCTTATCATCACCATAACCACCACCACTATCATCACCATCATCGTCACAATCATCATCATCATGTTCCTCATCACGTGTTTCACCCCCCGGTAGTGACGATGAGGAGCTGCGCCGTTCGCTCTCGGAGTTGGTGGAGGATCACGGGGATCGCCCCGGGGGTGGCCGGGACGGCTCGGGGGGCCGTCTGGGAGTGGGGGGCTCCGGCGGGAGCCGCCCGACGCCCGGCCGCCTGAGCAGCAGCGGCAGCAACCCCTTCCTGGACTTGGTGCCGGACCCCGGCGCCGCCACGCACAAGCAGGGCCTGCTGGTGCGCAAGACCCACGCCGACATCGACGGCCGGCGCAGTGAGTGTGGTCGTGGGTGGGCGGGTGTGTGGGTGGGTGTGTGGATGAGTGGGTGGGTGTGTGGGCGGGCGGGTGGGTACGTGGCTGGATGTGTGGGTGGGTGGCTGGGTATGTGGGTGGCTGTGTGTGTGGGCGGGCGGGCGGGTGGCTGGGTGGGTGTGTGTGGTTGGCTGGGTGTGTGGGTGGCTGGGTGTGTGGGTGGCTGGGTATGTGGGTGGCTGGGTGTGTGGGTGTGCGGGCGGTTGTAAGGGTGTGTGGGCGGGTGGATAGACGCTTGAATGAGTAGGTACATATGTAGAACACATTCCTGCGGAGGGAGCTGGTAGGAACGTTGGGTGGCTCGGTCAATGACCAGGGTCAACGGCGGCGTGGTGTATTCGGCAAATATGGCCGACTGTGAGGGCGGGCACAAGCCGGTGTGAGTAGGTTAAACGGTGAGTTTTATAAGGGCACCACGGGGTGACCAGCCCCTCCCCACCCAGCCCCACCCCTCCCCACCCAGCCCCTCCCCACCCAGCCCCTCCCCACCCTCCCCACCCTCCCCACCCTCCTCACCCTCCCCACCCTCCCCTCTCCACCCAGCCCCACCCCTCCCATTTTTGGATGCACGACGGATGGACAGACACAATAATCCCCTGTGGGCTGGTGGAACCAGGTGGTTCCTACCAGTACAAGTGGCTATATGGGTGGGTGAATCGGCAGGTTGGTGAGTTACTGGCTGTGTGAGTCACCGCTGTGTCCCCTATCTCCATTACCGACACCTTCAGCTCCCAAAGGTCGTCGCGGCTGGAAGGCATTCACAGCTGTGCTGCGGGGAATGGTGCTTTACCTGCACAAGGTGAGTGTGAGTGGGGGGTGGCGGAGGAGTGGTGTGGGGGGCCGCGGGGCAGGCCGGTAGAATTGTTGCAACAGCTCCTTGGCGGCCACCAGCGCCAGCAGTGTAGCGTTGCTTCATTCCCTCTGCGAGGGTCCCGCAGATGTTGCACATTTGACGATCGACCTCTCGAGCTGTCGCTCGCTCCATGTGAACAACGGCAGCTGGCCGCAGCGTTGGGTTACAGAGCGCACGGCGGAGCAGACAGCAGTGGCGGTGGCAGAGTGGGGGGGGGGGGGGGGCCCGAGTCTAGGCAGGTGCGGCCCCTCACCGTCCACCAGGTCACTGCCCCCCACGCCCCCTGCCCACATCCCCATTAACCCCCAGCACGCCGTCTCCTCGACAAGCTTCTCGCTTGCAAAGAGCTGCAGGCAAAGTGCAGCGACGCCACCGTCACAGGGCCCGCCACGCTCACTGAACACCCCGCGCCCGTCGCGTGCGGACGGAGTGCCCGGAGTAGCCGGAGAACGCCACCCACGCCTCGCAGGATCGGAAGTTTCGCGAATCTTCGCGTGATCCACCGCAGCGCCGGATTTGTCAGTGCGGCTGTGGCGGTTGTGGTGGTGGCGCTGCAGGGGGACAAGGGCCCCGTGGGTCCCCTGACGGACGAGGAGTTGCGCAACGCGGTGAGCATCCACCACGGCGCCGCCTCCATGGCGCGCGACTACGGCAAGCGGCCCCACGTGCTGCGCCTCGTCACGGCCGACTGGAGGGTGCTGCTCCTGCAGGCGCCGTGAGGAGGCGCTCTGCCCCTGCACCACACCCCTTTATCTTCCTCCCCTCCTCTTGCCCCTCCTCCCCCCGCCTCCCCCCGCCTCCACCACCCTCCCCCCTCCACCACCCTCCCCCCTCCACCTTTCCCCCTCCACCCTCCCCCTCCACCCTCCTTCCTTCTCCCTCTCCCCTATCTCTCTTCCCTCCTCCTCTACCATTATCATACTTTTCATAACCACCGATTTCCTCCTCCATCATCAACATCATGAGGATGATCACCAACATCCTCCTCCCTCTTTTGTGCACCACGCACGGCTACAACCACAATCACTACAACCGACAACCGCGATGCCAGCTGTGGCATCCAGCAGCGCAACAACCACGACTGCTATCACAACCACCACCTCCAGCAGAACTACAACTCCACCACGTTCCACACCCACTACTACCACCATCGCCACTTCGACTGCCAATACCAACACCACAAATCGAGTTCTCCCCTCCCTCCCAGGAGCCACGAGGAGATGGAGTCGTGGATTTTCCGGATCAATGTGGTAGCTGCGGAGTTCTCTTCGCCTCCGTTCCCGGCGGCCACGGCTTCCACCAAACGCTTCAGCCGCCCTCTCCTGCCGTCCATGGCCACCAAGCTGCCTCCCGTGAGACCACGCAAACCCCACACCCCACACCCCTACAGCCATAAACCCTACAGCCATAAACCCCACACCCCACACCCCTACCGCCATAAACCCCACACCCCTACCGCCATAAACCCCACACCCCTACCGCCATAACCCCTACACCCCTACCGCCATAACCCCTACACCCCTACCGCCATAACCCCTACAGCCATAACCCCTACCGCCATAACCCCTACCCCCTACCGCCATAACCCCTACACCCCTACCACCATAACCCCTACACCCCTACCGCCATAACCCCTACACCACAACTGCCACAACCCCAACATCCCGAGCGCGACAACCCCACCACCCCCACTCCAAACACACTTCGCCCATGGACCAGAGGAGGTATTGGTACCACCCGCGGTAGCAACACTTTAGCTGATTCATTGATACGGCTAATAACGACGACGTATTTGATAACCCGACTAATAGTCGCAAAAAGAAATTGGAATTGCCGAGGTCACTCCACCTCGGGTGGTACCGACAAAGTGAAATGTCCGGCCCGGTCTCGTGGGCCAAATCCCAGCTCCACGGGGTTCACAGGCGGCAGGTGGGTGGGGCTAAACGGGGCCGAGGAAGCATGGCCAAACATCCCCCCCCCCCACCATGACCGATACGGCATGAAGCCCTCATGCAGCAGTGGATCGACCGTGGGCTGTAAGTATGTCAGGCCCAACGGTTGCCATGGTGACCTACATCAAACCCATCACAATCTCTCACCCTGCGCTCTCTCTGCACTATACAAATTACCACGGGGGGGGGGGGGGGCGGTGTGGTCCTGGCGGGGGGGCGGTGTGGTCCTGGCGGTTGTGTAAATTGCACCCCGGTGAGCAATTAGTGGCTGTGGAGCTCAGAGTTCGCTGGTTACACACGGAGCTGTTTGGCTTTGAGCGAGAGGAAACCGGAGGGACTCGCGACACAAACAAGGGGATGGCCTTCTCTAAAGGTCTGCCTCGAGATGAGTCCGTGAACCCACTTGCTGTACTGCCATCTCCTGGCCCACACGTCATAGCCGGGCGGTGGTGGAGGCCGCGAGGGTAGGTGGATCGCGCACCAGTGTGGCGGACTCATGTATTCACGGACTACTGCATGGGATAGAGTGTTGCCCCCTCGCACGCGTGGGTTTTCTCCAGGTGCTCCTGTTTCTTCCCACGTGTAGAAACACTCCTCACTAATTGGCTGACAGAATACTGACGTCAGGGTCTATATTTGCCCAAATTCTAAAACGGCCCCCGCAGGTCACTCAGTTGGGATGATGCGGAGCGGCCACCACCACCCCCCTCTCCTGCCTAGGGGCAGCCTAAAGCCCCTGTGCACGTCAGGTGACGAGTCGCCTCGTGCTGCACAGGGACAGCTGCCACTCGGGGTGCGCCCTTTCAAACGCGTCGAGATGCGACGATGTGCAGCGCTGTGAGACGCCCCCGGTGTAATTGGCGGGGGGTGGATTAGCTCGATGGAACTTGCAACCACTCCATCATTCTCGTCACCAGTCCGTGCTCGCCGGCTTCATCCGGTTTCTATGGGCGACGGCGTCATACTGCATGGGGGGGGGGGGGGGGCAAGTGACTTTGTGCGCTGACGAGTGATGGGGATGGTGAGTGTGAGTGTTCGAGCGCGAGACGTGGAGCGATGTAAGACTTTAGCCTGACCCTGCCCTCGTAAGGAAATCAATCACCCGCCAGACCGTAATATTTAATGGGCCTAGAAGAGAAGATTTTCCCTTTGAGATCATGCCAAGCCAACAATGGTTGTATCATTAACTTGCACAGGCCAGACGATTTTCGCGCTAAATGTCAGCTTTATTTTTCAAATATCTAATAGAGCTGAAATCCGCTGAAGAGGCGATGCTTGCGCAAAATAAACTCACGCAGACGATCCGTCGCTTCCTTCACATGGCCGCCCTTCCACAGAGTAAAACAATATTTTGGTTACACAACCCGTCAGCCGCACGGCCTTCTGGGAGTACTTCATGTCAGCAGCATCGATGCAAGACAAGCAGCACTCTGGACCGGTGTTGACACCCAGAGTCTTCTCATCAGCAGAGTCGAGCTTGCTGGAATCAATGCTGGTGAACTTGCCGGGTGCTGCAGGCGGCTTACACAGGAGGCGGAGGGAGGAGGGGGGAGTTATTTTATATTTGACTCCGAAGCGTGTGGCCACTCGTTGTGGTTTAACGATGTCCTCCTGGGAGAGAGGCTGGGGTGGCGGTGGGGGTGGTAGGGGGCTGTGGATGGAGACGGCTGTATGGGGTGGGGGGGGGAGTGTGAGTGTGGGGGGGGGACAGTAAGGATAATGGGGTGAGTATGTGATGGTGCTGATGATGATGATGGAGGTGAAAGTGATGACATGCTGATGCTGTTGGTGATTACGACAATAAACCACCAAAACATGACGATGATAATTAGCATGATCATAACATATTGATAATTGTTATAATGCTGCTGATACTAATGCTGCTGCTTCTACTGGTGTTAATAGTGCTGGTGCAGCTGTTGCAGCAGCTACTGCTGCTGCTGCCTGTTGTTGCTCAAACCAATTATGCTAATCCTACTGCTGCTGCTCAGATCACTACTCCTGATGGCGCTGCTTCTGACACGGCTGCTGATATAGCTGTTGATGCTGCTTCTGATGATGGTTATGTTGCTGATATTGCTGCCGCTTTTGCTGCTGCTGCTGATGATGATGATGCTTTGTGCTGGTGTCAACACTTTTGCTACTACTGCTGATGCTGCTGATACTGTTGAAGCTACTGCTGCATTAGACAGCTGTTAATACCGCGAATGCTCCTGCTGCTGACATTGCTTCTGATGACGGTGAACGTGTTGCTGAAACTCTGTCATCTCCTTCCATGTCAGCTCTCATCCTCTTCGTTCCCAATCTTCTCTCTCTCTGTCCCTCCGTCTCCCTGTGCCCAATCCCCATGTTCGAGCCTTCTCCCTCCTTGCACCCCTCCACTGGAATCAACGTCTCCTGTACATGAAGCAGTCCCCCTTCGTAACCTCCTTCCATTCCTCTCTTAAAGTCTCGCCTCTTCTCTATCGCCCATTCTCTTCCTCTTCGCCCCTCCACTCCTTCCCGTCCCACCCCTATAGCCCTTTCCTGATCCCCTAAGTACCCCTGTATCACTGTCAATTATTCCTCAATCCTTGTAGCACGCCCCTGTCACCCTTTTGTAAGCCATGTCAATCGCTTTGAGTAAAGGCGCCCAAAATATACAATTAGATTCGATAGTGCTGATGCTTGAGCTGGAGTTGTTGCCGCTGTTGATGCGCGTACGACTGGTGCCGATACTTCTGCTGGCTGCTGATTCTGCTGGCGCTGGAAGGAGGAGCAGATGCGGTGCCACGCGGACCGGCTGGCGGCGCTCTGCACGGAGCTGGCCCAGCACCAGGAGGCGCGGCCGGATCGGCGCTCGCGCTCCAAGGAGCAGCACGAGCACCGGCTGCGCGAGACCTACCTGCTGCTCGAGGTGCACCCCTGCACGTGTGTGCCAAAGATGCCCCACGTAGCCTTCGACAGCACGTCGGGATGAGCACTGGTAGCGAGCGCCTCTCAAGGGGGGTGGGTGACCGGCACCACACGGACGTTAAGCAACCGCACCAGCGACTGTCCTCGCTCAACTGAGGTTGAGCTGCGCTGTGTGAGGGCTCCCCCTGGAGGCAGGATCCGTATCACGGACGCGGGACGGCACCTTTCAACAGCAGGTGGAGGGGGGGGGTCTCGGGGGCCAAAGCAGGAACGCTCTCGTCACGGCCCCAGTGAGTTGCATTGAATCTGCGAGCCCCGAATGGTGGATGTTCCTCGGGGTGGGCAGGTTAGAAGCCAGCTACTCTAGCGGGCGCGTCGCCGCGGAGAGACGCAGACAGCGCCGCACCAACACCGCCGTGCTGGCTCCCCCGGGACCGGTGCACTGTGCGGAATCTCGCCAGGGCTTGCAGACCGAGCCATGTCATAATCATCATCATCGTCACCATCGTTGTCTTCATCGTCACGTGTCCAATACTGGGTAAACATATTGACGGTGGTGGTAGGACACGAGCAGGAGAATCGGGGTCTGCATTGTCGCATGCGAGCACTCCATCAGGAGCTGGTCACCGCCCCGCCCGCCGGTGCACTGCTCGAGCACTCGAGCGCCAGGCCACTGTGTGCGGTGCGTGCGCGGCCCACGTGTGACTGATAAACGATCCCAAATCCCCCACCCCCCTCCGCTCCCCGTGCGTCTGAGCAGAAGACGCGCTACGAGACGTACCTACGCCTGCTGAGACACAAGATAGCGGCCGGCACCGACGACCTGGCCGTGGTGGAGGCTGCCCTGGGCATTGGGCAGGAGAGCGAGCAGGGCGCGGCTCCGGAGCGGAGGGGAGGCTCTCGGCACCGAGCGGAGCAGCCTCAGCAGCGTCACCCGAAGCAGCGGCAGCAGCAGCAGCATGAGGAGGAAGGGCAAGACCTGGAGGAAGGGCATGCGCGGGAGCAAGGGATTGTGCAGGGGCAAGGGGAAGGGCAAGGGGAGGGGCGGGAGTTGTGCCAGAGTCCTGACACCCTGCCCCAGACCTGCTCTGGCCTTTCAGTGAGTGAGCAGCAGCAGCAGCAAGATTATCAACAGCAGCAGCAGGGGGAGCAGCAGGGGGGGCAGCAGGAGGAGCAGCAGGGCGAGCAGCAGGGCGAGCAGCTGGGGGAGCAGCAGGGGGAACAGCTGGGGGAACAGCAGGGAGAGACTGCGTCGGGCGCGGCGGGGGGGAAGGGCGCCCCCCGGAATGTGTCTGAGCGGCGCAGCTACAGACAGGCCATCAACGGGAAACTGCGGAGGTGAGCGGCCTCGGTGGAGGGGGGGGGAGGAAAGAGGTAGTTCACTCAGAGTCCGTGGAGAGGGGAGATCATTGCTTCGCTCTCTCCCCCACCGACCCCTCGCTCACCACAACCGACCCCTCGCTCACCACCGCCCAGCTGTCTCTGTCAGGGTCTTCTCAGCCATGCGCTGTGTGTGCGAGGCAGTGCTGGGTGTCGTGCCCAGTGAAGATGGGGCGACGAAATGGGGGGGGGGGCACACGGGCTAACAATAATAATAATAATCCACACCCCAAGTGGGATGAGAAGAGGATTACGCCAAAGCGAAATCGAGCGGGCAGAGAGCACGGGGAGTCGCCACTCGACGTCAGCACGCGGCTCCATGCGGGAGCCCTCCAGAGGCAGCAGCAGCTAGCGGTGGTTCTAGGACTCCACGAGTGGGACTCCGAACCTTGCTGCTGCTGCTGCTGCTGCGGTATCTTGCAAGAAAGAAGTGTTGGCGAGGAGTGGGCTGGCGTCCAACAGCAGTGTTGGAAATGACCTCTGGAACTGACACTTGAGTGGCCCCCCAGCTGCTTTCGAATTTGGGAGGACACGCGGCTTTCGGTGGTCACTGTTGTTGGTAAGGAAAGGGGGGCGGTGAGAACGGAGCCCCCTAGAATACCCAAAATAGAATCTCCACTGAGTGTGCACTTGCGATAATGATGATGTGTGGTTCGTGGTGAAGTGCGGCATGGAGTATAGACCCAGTGGAGCAAGGAGCCTCAGTTTCCAGCACCCATCCGTGTGATGGGGAGGGGCGTGCTCCCTTTGCTGCCTGCCGTCGAATACACGAGCAGTGCAGGCGGACTGAGAAGACTGCAGCTTTAGATCTGGGGTGGGAAGAGTGGTCTGATCTCCGCATTGTTCAGCGATCCATTCATTGTGTTCCTGTGATATAGTCCACGTGTTTCATTGTTGTCTTGTGATCCACACCGTATTTTCCACAGATGCATTCCGTTTTTGTAAATGATCCACTCCGTGTTTACTTCATGTCCCTTCCTTGATTTCCGCTTATCAGCTCCGTATTTTTTCAGTGATCCACTTCGTGTTTTCCACTGATCCACTCCGTAGTTGCACCTCCGATTAGCGCGGTTGGCTCCGTACGGTGCGAAAGAAGTTCAACATACGTAGTTTTGAGCGATCCACTCCGTATTTTCCTCTGATCCGCTCCGTGATTTTTTTACACTGTTCCATGCCATGTTTTTTCTATTTAGCCCCTCCGCGTTTTAAGTGTTCCATTCAAATCTCCGCACAGATTCAATCCAGAGACGTGCACTGCGAGCCAGCAGACCACGTGTCGTCCTGTCTCTTCCGTCTCGACTGCCATCTCCTGGCGTCGCGCGGGCATCGCAGCGCCACGGCGACAGCTGGCAAGCTGCTGGTGGCCACCAGAGCCAAGGCCTCCTCACCAGGCTGCGACTTTGCTTCGCTTCTGAAATCTGACGAGATGAGCATCATTCAGGGAGATTCGGTTGCAGCAGGATGCATGTCCACAAGACACAGGCGTCTGGCTAACCTGCCACCAGGAGTGTGGTGCTGCTTCTGCTGCTGTGTTGAGAGTGGCGCACAAACAACGACAGGAAACTCAACACATTCGTCAACACTATGGATTAAAATGACACACCACGCAACGTTTCGGGCAATGGCCCTTATTCATAGCACACGAACAAGAGGCATTGCCCGAGACGCGTCTGTCCCTGTGCAGGCAGGTTTATTGAGCAACGTGTTGAGGGTGGTTTAGTTTCACAGGCTGCGTCCCGAGGGGCGTCACGTTGCCTCCTTATTGGCCATTCACGTTCGCTTTGTCCTCGTTGTTGATTTGAAGAGGAATTCATTTCTCACGGAATATTTTCCAGTGGTCCCGCAAGCTCACATTCCCCCGGACCCCTCCCCACCCCCACTGCCACCCCCACTTCGTTTCCGGAGTTCAGCCCCGGAGAGCTCCGTCTGAAATGAATCCCCTTGGATGTTGTTCACGTCACCATTGTGCGCGCTGCGCAGTGAGGCGAGACAGAGCGCGCCGGAGCTCTTCCCCTCCTTTCATCTGCCCTGGGACTAATTCCACGTGGCCGAGCGCTCACGTGACTCGCGACTACTGTGACCTTTGAGGGGTCACCGTTATCTACCCGGTGGAGGAGGAGCAGGGGGGGGGGCAGGGGCTCGTTTCCCCGTTGCACCCCACGGCTCCGTCTTTGTCACCGAGTGCTTCACGGGTCGCTGGTAGACTGGAGGAGCAGGCCACGTGACCAGTAGCCACGCCCATAGCGAGATGTGTACTGGATGTGGTGTGCCGTGCGCGGCTGAAATTAAACCCTGACTTGGAGCCCGACCCCCTCGCCCAGTGCCAGCAGGGAGAGTCGTGTGCCCCTGTAATCAGCCCCCCCCCCCCCGTCTCTTGTCACGAACTCTTGTGTCCGGGACGGCAGGGGTCTTCTCCCTGCTCACAATCGGGGTAGGTGCCTTAGGTTGGCTCTGGGCATTGGGTGGATGGATGAGGGTGGCTGCACGGCCAATACCAGTGGCGATTATCTGAACCGGTCCTGGGCCTCCCCTAGGCCGATTCAGCCTCAAATGAGTACCTGGTGCGGTGTGTAAACAGCAGCACTGGGGAGACAAAGTCGGCCGGGCGTGGGGGTGGCCACCCACCGCCTCCTGCGCCGTTCTGGCCTTAATCGGTGCTCGAGAGTGGCACTTGCACTCAGTCAGTGAAAGGCTATACTGGGGATCTTTGTCTTTGGTACATGAGTGCTGATGTGATTGTGTTGTCCACGGCATGGTTGTGTTTGCTGTGCACCAACCCGAACGGGTGCTGCTCGCTAACAGAACTTTCCCCAACCGTCTAAAAGGCTGAACAGAGAGATCTATATACTACACAGTATTTGTAGGTACCAACCCGTTGGATAGTTAAGATTTGGGTGTTGGGGCTCAATATGAATGGGGTCCAAATACCACGAGAGTCGGACGGGGGGGGGGGGGTACCAATGCGTAGCTGATCTGCCGGCCTTATAATCACAGTCGACTCTACAGTAGTTCTCTTTAAAAGATCGCCAGTTGATCTTGTGAGTGTGGGGCGTGCGGGGCATTTGGTCTGGACCCCTGTCACAGCCTCCATCTCCGTGTAGTATTTTAGTTTACACGAAACACGCCCTTGCAGGAACGTGACCTCGTATCTCGTAGCTGCCCCGTCACCAGAGCGCGCTCGCCTCGTCACTGCTGCGAGTTCCAGACTTGGCCAGCGGGGAGCCGCGGGGGGTAGCCCAGCACACGTGGCCAGGTGCGCGCGGGCGCTACGAGATCAGAGCTGGGATCGCGTTGCTGCTTCGGGCTTGTGTCTTATATTTAAACAACCTCCACCTTTCCTCACAATCCATCCACGTTTGTGAGACAATTAATTTTCTTCGATTATCATCACAAGTGATGATTTTTTTCCTATAGATATTTGTAAGCGAGTGGATTAATGTATCATTGTAAATGCTCTACGTGTTCAAACAGTATAGTTGGTGTAAACATCGCTGTTCGTGAAGAGAGTGAGATGATCATTATACTGGAGAGAGCCTATTGGAGATCAGAGAGAATATTCTAACATACACAGTACGACAAAGAGACAGGCGACCGGGCGTGATGCTGGCCAAACACCCCTCGTGTGCCGTGCCGGCCCTTATACAGTATGTGCTCGCTCACAGCACTTGCCCCAGCAGCATGTGTAGGCTATACGGGGGATATTTGTCTTTGATATCTAATACACACACATGACACACATATCAAGAACAAATAAAGTCCCACACACATGCCCTTGGTGAATCAACTGGTGGACGAAGACCTTCCCATGCCGTGTGGGCGATGAGGCTTGTTGATGAGGATTGTTTGACTACTTCACCAGAACATGTTGAGATCTAAACATTGGTGCGGGCTTGGAGCGCTAACCAGTCACTTAGCCATGCGGCCACCTCAACACACACACAGACCGATAGACTCGTTTAGAGACCCATGAACTTAGAGACACCTATGACTGACTGCATAAAAACTAAAAATATATGCCAATTGTTGCTGTTCAGCATCGTGATTACGGGGGTCGCATTTACGACGTTATATAAACCCAAACTTTTATTCTGTATGAATATTTCCCAAAACTATAGGTCACCAAACTGTAATTATGGGCGCTCGGGAACGCCAGAGGAGACTGGGATGAGGCAGGGCAAGGGTGGTGATATTGGTGGTGGTGGTGGACCGTGAAGGATCGTGAGATTAGCAATGGTCTGGGTTTGTATTTGGCAGCCGCGTGAACACGTGCGCGCCAGCCAATTGGATGTCAACAATCTTCGACAGGGGACATTATCAGCGCCAAGATTTCCTCTGGCAGACTACTACAGGAAGCTTTTAGATCGTAGCTACGCGCCTGTAGGCTGTGTTCCCAGTGCTGCCACGCACGAGTTTCAAGCTTCCTTATTGATTTCCCCAAAAAAGTTACTTTCAGGCTCGTCGTTTTGGCACTGCAGTGACGTCACCGCGCAATCGCTCTAAAAAAGTTGGAATACGTAGGCGCCGTGAGAGCTATAACGGAGATCCGTTACTTGCCTTGCCACGTAGCTGCCCCATATCCTCCACGTGGCAGAACCGCCGTTGCCACTTGGCGGGCATCATCAGTAGTGATTTGATGGAACACCTCATCGTTACCACGTGGCACCATCGTCGCCACGTACCAGCACCATCATCAATGTCATGCGGCAACAAGACGTGTCGCAGCTTTTCCCCACGTGGCAGAACGTCTCAGCCACTTTGTACCGTTATGGTTTCCACGTGGCGGTACCATCACGACCACGTGGCAGCACCGTCGTTGCCATGTGGTTTATCCATCAGTCATCATTGTGGTTTGTGCAGTGTGTATGTATATATTGTACGTTGGTATAAGTTATTTGCGATTTTGCTTGTGATTAGAAGTTGTTTTCCCCAGTTATTTGTAATTTCAAATGAGGTTTGTATTTTGATGAGAACGGAAACGTATTTAAAAGTCTATTTAAAAAAGAAAGACCACACACGCATACACGCGTATACTACTGTACATAATTTAAAGTGGTTACCACTTGTGTTGTACACTGTGACGTGGAATGAAGCGAAGCACTTGAAACGCAAGTGAACACTTGTGCACACATCGCACACTCGAGAGAGAGGGCACTTTGGTGGCAATGGCACGCACTCGCATGAAAGAGTTCCACGTCCGTCCACTTCAAATCAGGGACGGTAACTGACGGTCGTCAATGCCCCGCGACTCCAGGGTACATGAACTCATCACGCGGCACGTGACTTCATTTCACACGACTCGTGACATCACCGCATATGGCCAGTGGCCAGATGAGGCATACCACAGATACTTAAAGGACCGCAAACGATATTTAACCATCACTGCACATATGTGATGTGCACTAAGCGGGTGGTAGAGGGGATAATTTTGGCCTGACAAAACTTTCCTATTTACCACGCGGTGTCGTCACCTGTTGTCTTTGAAGTCGTGTCGAACACAGTCGATGCATACCTCCCCCCAGTGTGATCACAGTTTCATATTGCCTCGTCCGTGTGAAACACATTTGCGGCCCTTTTATCTTTCCACTGGTGGATGAGGCCGCCCCACGCCATGTGTGTCCTGGAGGGCTGTTTGACCATACTTCACCACGCTAGTGCAGGTTTGTTTAACTGGGCAAGGCATAGACTTGGGGACATAGAAGTACAGAACAACAATTTATTTTGCTGCACTGCCTCCTGTACTGTCCACCATCCAGCCCTGCATCAAGCTGTTTATGCATGCTGATCACCCACCACAAGCACTATCCGGGCTAAAACCTGCTTGGCTTCTACACATAAACGCAGCTCTTGTCGGTTTAACACGTAGGATGCTTTCGCGACCAATATCCATAATAGATGTTTTTTTGGGTTAGATCGCGTAAATATATAAATGCGTCGTCAAAACCCGCCACCACCCGATACAGCCGACTAGTAAGAGTTGTCACGTAAACAGAACGTGCATCATGTACGTTGACTCGGTAATCCTCCGCCCACGTGGCACAAGAGCGCAGCTGCGTGGTCACCACATCTACGCCCCTATATAAGGAACGCAACAGGTGGACTTCTCCACAAATCTGGCTGTCGCCTGATGAAGCCAGTTGTACTTACTGGCGAAACGTCGTATTCAGATTGTAAATGTTGTGGCTTGGCTCTCCAACACACAACCGGTGTGCTGTACTAGTGACGAATTGGCACGTTCTGTTTACGTGACAACCCTTACTAGTTGGCTGTGTCGGGTCGTGGCGGGTTTTAACGACACATTCATATATTTACGCGATCTAACCCAAAACAAACTCTATTATGCAACTCTTGTAGCTCCACAACATCTAGGCGGTGTGTCCCAGGCTACTCCACACGACATTTGCAAAATTCGTTATTGAGACGCAAAGATCGCTTTGAAGGTTTGGCAAAGCGTGCCATTACAACGACGCATTGGCATCACCGTGGCATAATTCCCATGGACTTTATTATTCATTATACGGCAATCCAACGTGACATCAATAGAGGACTGTAATGATTCCCTTGACCGTAACTTTAAAGTATTTTTTTTATAAATACGTTTTTTTTCACAAGAGCCTTGATATATTTGGAATACCTTAAAATGAATAACGAGGGTTTTTGTTATAACTTCACGTGGGAGATGAAACCGGAGAACCCAGAAAAAACCTGCCAAGTGGACGAGAGTGGGTTAACACCATCCTGGATTCGTCAACCTACTTGCTGTGGTGCCATCTCCTGTGCACCTCGCAGTTCAGCGTGGGGTTTGGGAGTGTTCACAAGTCTGCATGATCCACCGACCCATGGGGAATAGTGTCACAGATCTCTGCGTGATCCAACGACCCACGGAAGGTGCAGGAGGATGTCTAAGCTGCTTTATACCGTTGGATGTTCGTCGCTGAAGAAACGCGAGTCTCTGGTGGAGATTTTAATAAAACATACACCGTGTAATTACTAATTATTGTTATGCATTTACTTATTGTACGTTCTTTAATTACTGGCAGCGCATAGAGTGAATGAGCCAGAAGAATAATTTAATTGGTACCACCTAAGGAAGCAAAACTTTGGCAACCAACTTCGTAGCCTCAGTTGACTGACATTCTATGAAACTATGAGACTCGGTACTGTTGGTGCAAAGTCGTCGTATCACTGCTTGAGGCCCCATGCTGAAGGGGAAAGAGAAGCTGTGGAGATAGACACGGACGGAGATGGACACGGACTGAGATAGACACGGACAGAGACAGGGAGGCAAACGCACACACGGGAGTCTCAAACAACACAGAAGTGTGTAAAGCCACTCAGCCTCTGTGCATTAACAAAACACGCTATTAGCAGTTCAATCTTGACTTAAAGCTTTCGTGACTGCAGGAATTCATATTCTTTGGGTCTTTCGGCAAAGTCACGTAGACAGGTTCAAAGAAAATAAAAAATAATAATAAATAAACTACGACGTTTCGACGACTGCTTGTGTTGCGATCGAAACGTCGTAGTTTTTTGTTATTTTCTTTGAACCTATCTACGTGACTTTACCGAAAGACCCAAAGAATATGAGCAGTACCTGAAGAACTGCATTTTAGTCCTCTTGTCTTTGTCCACCATCACAATAAATGTGAGCAACTAACAGGAACTGCTGTTGGTGTTTTGCATAATGCAGAGGATTGTAACACGTTTCTGTGGTGCTGCTGCTGCCGTTGTTGTTGTTTGAAACGTGTGGTTGTCCAGCGAGCACTGTTACCCTCCTATGTCGGGTGTTCCTGGCCATTTACACATTTGAGCACGCACACAGAGGAGAAGCATACGCGGAATGAGACAGGCACAAACACAAAGATCCCCCATATAGTCTGAATAGACTGTTAGGGCAAGTGCTGTTAGCGAGCACCTATGAAGGCCGGCACGGTACACGAGGGGGTGGGTGGCCATCACCACGCCCGGCCGCCTTTGTCTCCCTAGTGGCGATGCTTAGGGGCCGTCCATAAATGACGTCACGCGATTTTGGACGATTTTTTACCCCCCCCCCCCCCTTTTGTCACACGGCGTCACAAAAAGTCAGACCCCCCTCAAATATGACGTCACAAAGCTCTGCCCCCCCCCCATTGTCATTGTAGTGCGTATTTAATGTGGCGCTGCACTCTGATGTTGTAGGAGAAAACATTTATTAAAAGTATATTTAATTAAATAGAACGTGTTGTCTATATTTATTTAAAGTTGCGCATTTTGATTTTCTCACATTTCTCAAACACCCCCCTCCCCCTCGTCACACATCGCCACAAATGTCTGACCGCCCCCCTAGGTGCGTGACGTCATTTATGGACGGTCCCCTACCGCTCCCCATACGTCTGTTTGCACGCACACAGCGTCGGTGTTTTTCGATGGGCATTCACGCAACACAACTGTGACTCAGTCGCGATCCTCACCGGTGAATGGGTCATGACGTCAAGCAAGCGCGTCAGGTTCTGCACGCACGCGGAACACCACGTGAGAGCGCCCCCACCTCATGGCCCGCCCACTGCGTTCCTCGACGCATTCCTGAGAAGTGCGTGACGCCCGTGGTGGGTTCTGGGACTCGGTACACAGGAGGATACAGGATTTAAAGTTCAGGTCTCAAGTATATTAAAAACATATTTCTATATCCAGTAATTAATGATAAATGTCAACTTGTAACGCGCAACCGAGTACCCCCTTGCCTGACCTAACATGGTTCTGAGAAATAAATGTATGAATAATGAACATCAATACTTTAACCAATTGTCCATTTGATCCTTATGGCGGTACTCGGGGTACCAAATACTACTAAATGGCCGAAGCTATTTCATATTTTATTTCTGGGACACTATTTTTTCCAGGGGTGTACTTAACTCCGCGACTAGGGTACCAATCAATCCGAAATCAGTGCAACTCCGCGATGTTGAAAGGCCGAACATCAGCATAACAAAATCCGTTATCGAAAATTTCCACTTTGAATAGTACATCGTGTACTGCTCGTCGAGATGAGTCGTATGCGAGAGCCGGGTACTATAAGGTAATGTTTTTGAAGTATCCTAACTAGCTTCTAGTTGCCAGCGAATTAAAACAAATCAACGGACGCTCAGCATGCTTTGCGCTCGCTGATTGCTCTTGGAAACCACCTTGTTTACGATCAATGAGTTAGAAAGGTATTTTATATCGTTCTAGGTTACCATGTGGATTTACATTTTTATCGTAGCTATGTTATACAGTATTGGCATTTCCATACGTAATTATTCACAAATGACTCTAATTTACTTCTATAATGAACCAATAATGACTGTGTGTCCCGCGCGAGGCGTCACTCCACGTTGGCCAGCCCCCCTCATTAATACTCATGAACAGGTGACGTCCTCCTCCACATGGACCCCCCCCATTAATAATCATGGACAGGTGACGCCACTCCACATCGAACAGCCCCCTACATTAATCATCATGGAGAGGTGACGTCTTCCAAATGGACACATCCCCACCATTAATATTAATTAGTGGGTGACGTCACTCCACATGGGGGGGGCGAGGCGCCTCCTCCCCCTTGAAATAAAATAGGTCTGTGTCACCGCGCCCTTACAAAGTGCACACGAATTGATGCAATGAATATCACATCGCCGCCTGCTTTTCGCTTGCAAGTTTCAGATTTACTGAAATACACCCGCCCTTGGACGGGCACAATGCTAGTACGATATAATTTCACACATTTATAAATCACCTTACGTAACCCCTTGGGACATTGTCACGTACCCCCAGGGGTCCACGTACCCCCGATTGAGACCCACTGCTCTCCATGGGTACACGAGTTCGTTGATCGGCAGATCCCGCGTTGTGGTGTGACGTCAGGGTACTCCCACCTTGAATAACTCATGGCCAGCGAGGAAGTATTGGGAAGTACAGAGTATCTATTCTTCAGTCAAGAGATGGAAGGCTCACCAGCATTGGTTTAAGTAACTGACTGCTGATGAGGCACTTTGGATGTCGAAACCGATCTAGAGCTTACTTGTATGAAGCCAATGCTGTTAGAAAAATGCCCTCCCAGAAAGCCCATCGGATGTGTAAAATAGAACTTTTTTTCGCGGCAACGTGTTGACATACACACAACAATCCCGCGTATAGCATACATTGGCTCTTGGGGCAATTGCACAGCCCACGGGGATGTTGTAGCAAACAACACGCTTGGCACCTTTGTCTGCCTAGTGATGATGTTTCCACACCACACGACATGCCCAATTAGGGCCGAGTCAACATCGATAGGTGAGACTCAGCACTGGTTCAAGATATTCGTCACTGACCTTGGTCGTGAGCCGGAATCGAACTCGGGACTCTGGGTTCGTAGCGCAGTGCGCTAACTACTACACCATTGCTCCGTACACAATTTAACGTGACATTTTATTGAGGAACTCTGTGATCTCTTGACTGATTTTGTTGTTGTTCTGCTGCCTTGTCCAAGCTTACATTCAGAATTGAAAAATCGGACATATACCTTTATTTATATTTAGTTACTTGGTAACTTTTTCAAATTTTACACTCCTATCGTGTATTGAATTGTTTGTTGTTGTAAAATTCTGACCCCGTGCCCCTACTGCGCATCTGTAAAAAACGAGGTTTATAGCTCATCGGATTCCTCGTGCAGTCGAACGAGTCACTGAGCGCATGGACCACGTGTGCGCTCACTGCCACGTGCTGCCCCATCGCCCCTCCCTCTCCCGTCACTACCAAGTCACGTGACACCAGCGCGCGCCCCCTCCCTCCTCCTCCCCAATCGCTGCGCACCCTGGGTAAACTGCCACGTGTCCCAAGCGCGCACGCGCGGGGCGGTGCGTCACTTCCTGCGGGTGTCGGAAGTGACGCGGCCGCCCCCCCCCGCCCCGGGACGTGACGACTCGGGGACTCCGGACGGAGACGAGACCACGAAGGCGGCAGCGGCGGCGGCGCGGAGCCCCACACGGAGAGGCGGGCACGGCACGAGGAGGTTCAGCCGCTTAGCGACGCGGAGACTCGACGAAGGCGGCGCCGCCTCGGGATGTCAGCGACGGCGCCTTACGCCGGTGGGCAGAGGCCCCACGCTAACGGTGCGCGGCCGCTCGGTCCAACCGTGGAGGGTGCACCGAACTCGGCAGGGTGACTAGCCGAGTGCCGTGGTCTGCGGCCTAGGCTGCGGGGTTTGGGGGAAGGGAGTTCTGCGAGGTTTGTGTCTGAAACTGGCGTTTCGGGTGTGAGATGCGGGTCCCTCGGTGTGGTGGTAGGCCGTACGTGAGGAGTGCTGCTGGTGTTGTGTGTAGCGAATGTTGTGATGCCACATTTGTCACCCTTCTCGACTCCAGCTACTTGTTAGGGGTCTCTCGCCGCCACTCGTCAATCTCTTACCGACGCTAATTCCAGGCCTCTGCTACCCAGTCGTACATTGAGGTTATTTCAATCACTCCGAGTCCACGTCCCCACTCAGATCTCACGCTGATTCTCGTTAATGTCACGATTATACCAGTCGGCATCACGCCGTGTGCTCACCGCTCTCACGCATTGCTCGTATCGCAGCGTGAGAGTTTTACTTCAGGCGGGGAACAGTCAGGGACTTAAGCCGCTAGGCAGGGTGAGGCTTAGAAGAAGGGGAAGAAGCTTAACGCGTATTCTGGCCGGATTCCCTTTATCAAAGAGGCCGCCCCGCCTTTCTCACGACTGGTGGAAGATCCGACCGGTGTCAGGACCATAGTTTATTTGTGCGAGGAAACACATCAAATTCAGTGGCAAAATCACTTTAAGCGTTCACCCAATTATCGCCGTGAGGGTCATCGTTAATGATCACGAGTGATGTAATACAGTCAATGTTTTTTATATGTCTGAATATGATAGCAACTATTTATAAAGGCCGCCCTTACTCCTAGGGACATGTTAGAGGAATACGTGATCCGAATGGCCGAGTGGGTGAATAGGTAGGGAAACGCAGGATAATCTTGCGAAGGATTTTTTCAGAGGTCACGAGGCTAGAGGTTTTGAGTGCATCGTGTGTGTACCCTCAGTTGACTGACATTCTTTACCCAGTCTTATCCATCGTTGGTCATCTCTACTCACGATGTGTCCTGCCCAAGCCCACTCGTCCTGAGTCTGTTTGCTTTGCCGTTGTTGGAGTTGTAGCCCAAGGTGGTGGCACACGGCAGAGGTGTAACAGTTTGTCCGACTTCCCCAATCATGGCAATCCAATGACTAACATTTGGAATTCACGGTTGCAATTCAGCTAAAACTCGAAAGACAATAGGCCGATGGACTTAACATGTTTTTTTTTATATCTGTATGTGGAGAGACCGTGTTAATACAAAAAAATTGGAAACCTTTAACATGGTCGGGAATGTAATGGTCATGCCATTGAACACATTTACCAATCTAAAATAATTAATTATTGCATGTGCTATTCAATGCATGTATCGTAAATTTAAGATTGAATACGAATAGATAATTAATCTGATGCTTCACTACCAGCAGCGTAGCATGGTAGGTGTATGGAATAGACCACCCCTCCCCACTTCTCTGCTCGCTGTCCAATGTCTCCCCCACCTCTTCATAGACGGGTGCTGGGCTTCCCCCTCTGGCCCATGCATTGCGTTGCAGTCGCACCACCTGCACACTCAGTAGCTATGCCACCGATCAGCCCCAGCAGTTGGGTGGTGGGGGCTGGCAATGATTGCGGCCACGACGCCGTTCTCATTCCAAAGTTCACTTGCTGCCAGCGGTCGCGCAAGGAGCTGAACGCAGCACAGGATGCCAAGGCCGGAATGATTTGGGGAAAGAGCGGTGAAGATGTTTATTACCCTGAGCCTGTTTTATAATCTTGTAGAATGGCCAGCCATAGTTGTGTTTTAACAATGATCTTGTGTAGTGATTGATCATGTTTCAAGTGGAGGAGGTGTGGAGCTCCAGCTGGCTGTTTCTGGTGTCAGGAGTGATGCTTGCAGGTGGATTAATTAATAATTATTATGCACAGGCAACATGTGATAGTTCATTATTGCCTGAATCTGCTTTAGTGACACACACCGGATTTAAAAGATACTGGTACCACCAACCATAATTGATTTGGACCTCGTAGGGCACAGTATTGGGTGAGCTAATACATATGAGAGGGGAAAATGGGGACTGATAGAGAATTTGTTAGCGCTAGCAATATCACTACCAAATGGTTCCAACACTAATTTTGATTAGTTTAACACGTAGGCTTTCACAACCAATATAAATCATTATAAAGGTTTTTGGGTTAGATCCCATAAATATAAATGTGTCGTAACCCTCCACCACCCGACACAGCCAGTAAGGTTTGTCACGTATACAAAACGCGCCAATTAGTTACTACTTCATCCCAGCGGTGTGTTTGAGAGTAAATCCACAACATTTATAGCAGCAGAATTGCCTACTACAGTGCCCATTGAGTCCAGGAAACGTTTTGATGAGGAAGCCACTGTAATTGCATTTCAGCTACTCAATGAAACCACCTGCTTGTGTCCTCTCAGACTGGAAACCGCCAGACCAAGTGAATTGCTTTGCAAACCGGATCTATTAGATGGTATTCATCTCACGTCCTTATGAAATTAATTGAATAAGCATTTTCTCCCTCACAACAGGACCCTATCAGAACTCTTCGCCTGTGCAAGGACAGCAGGCAACGCTACCTCCAGGCACCTTTCACCCGCCAGCGGACGGAAAGCACGCGCCCCCTCCTGCCATGCCCGGCTTTCCCCCGTATAATCCCATGGGCGGCCACCCTGCCACACTCAACCCTAGCAACTTGGCGACCCTACAGCCACCCCGGCTGTCTCCCATACCCAACAGCCTTCCGCCGACAGCGCCCAACAGCACGGGGGGCCACCATCACGCAGGAGGCGGTTCGGGCCCGCCCTCAAACCGGAGCTCACCCATGATGACTCGGGTGTCGCCCATGCCTGGCACGGGCCAGCCATTCCCTCCTCAGCAGCACCAGCAGCGGCCATCCCCTGTCAACCACTGGGCACCGACGCCTGGGACCAGCATGAACCACATGTCTGGTCCTCAGCTTGGGCCGGCGAATGGACCTTTGGGGCCTGCAGGGATGTCGGGGAACGGCTACGCTCCTGCTCAAGGTGGTCAGGGGCAGCAGATGGGTGGTTCCCAGCCCATGCCTACTTACATGTACACGCAGCCCATTAGCCACGAGTACGGGTCGGCATCATCGGCGGTGGCTCCGTCACCTCCACCTCACAGCAACAACACCAATGTCACCGCTGTCCCTGCGCAGCAGCCTGGGTTCAATCCCAGGCCAGGGCCTCCCCCGACTTCAGGCAGCCAGGGTGCTGGGCTATATCAGCCTCCTGGATCGCACGCGGCTGCTGCGCCGTACCCCGCACCACGTCCAGGTACTTGAATTGGTTTCGCTTTAAGGTGCCCAACTGACTTTTGCCCACACTTCCTACGTGTTCTTCATTCCTTATGTTTTACAAGGAAATTCTTTTTGAGTTTCATGTTCATGCTTATTTGGTGATGCTGTTGTCTATTTGGACTCGTGGAGTGAGCTTGTGTGTTCAGCGTTCTCTCTCCCGCACTTTCTCTGTGTGTCTGTGAAGCGGAGAGAGGGTGTGTCTATTTAGGGGATGTTCCCATTTCTCTGCTCAAGTCCGTAGGTCAAAGACGAGGTAATGGGGTCACATTGCTGGCTCGCTGGTTGTCTGATTCACTGTAAAAAAAAATCTGCAACCTCCATAGCTATGCTTTTTTTATTTTAAAACTACACCAAGCATGCTTAATAGTTACTAACTAGTTATTGGTGTTTGATTTTTGGACCGTGTGTGATTTTTTTAAACTACCTTTGTCAATGTTTTTGAAGGAAGGTGCTACTTAAAAACAAACAAATAGTTCACGTATATGTATCCCTAAATTGTGTGCAGTAGTCTGTACAATACGAATATGAAGCTTTGTAAATTATTTTTTTACTTTAAAATCAAATGCTGTGTGTTCCAACTTAACATCACTGTCAGTGACATTTTGAGGAGTAGGCAAGTGCCTGGGAACAGACGTTTAAAAAAAATCACTTTGTAAAGTTTTCCCTTTAACGAAGCTTCATACATTTGTTGGATAGGAGGAGAGGCCGCCTATGCACTCGTCTGCAAGGTGACAACTATTTATTTAGGTTCCATCTTCCTTTGAATTTAAATAGATTAAGATGCTGCAGTAACTCAAATCAACAATAACATTTTCTGTGCCAAAAGTGCATTTGCAGACGTGACATGATAGCATTCTCTTACGAGAACATGACCGTAAAGCAACGTGAACTTAATTAAAGACCCCTTGGTTGGCTGACATTGTTATTTACATTTTGGCAATTCCACATTTTTGCTTGTTTGTCATAATTATTTTGGGAAACCCACCGTCCACCAATACATAACATAATTTGGTAGTTTTCAATCCTCTGCTGAATGAGCACTCAGTATTTGTGGAGCTCTCTTGCCTAGAACACCAAGTAACCAAGCAGCATTTAACAGGCCACACTGCAGATGTTGGAAAGTTTTCTTAAAGTTTTTAATGAATTGTATATTACCTGCTATGACATGTAGATTGAAAACATGGACAATGACAAATAAGATAGAACATAAGTTTAAAAATGAACAAAGGCATGAAGAGGTACATGCATCTAATTACACCTAGAGACAAGTTAATTCATGGATCGGAGAAAAGATCCAAGTTAGAGTTAGAGACAACATTGACTGTGAAGAAAAGTTAGTAGGCTTGGGCATGACATGCTTCTCATGTCATGGGAAGAGATGATGGCTGGTGGTTGAGACTAAAAACAGTCAAAGGAGGAAATCTGCTATAAAATATATCCACAGGGGAGATGGAGTGATGAGTTTTTCTTCTGTGCAGGAGCTAGATGGATTGATGCATTGTGGGACCGTAATATTGTCTATGACTTATGGAGGTCTTCATTCAGCGGTGGTTAGATCATGGCTAATGATGATGTTATGATGATGATCATCATCACGGTCATCATAACCTCTGCTGATGACTCAGAGGAGTCAACAACATTCCAAGATGTTCCCAGTTTAAACAATTGCTGTTTAGTTGATAAAACAGACTCTTACACGTTCGCTTATTAGGAACTTGGCAGCTGTACTGCACCATTAGTAAGTCACGTAACAAGTTCCTTCGCAAGTGAATGATTGAAGGAAGGCGGCTGCTGTAGGTAATGTGAGGAATACCTCTACGCACGCAGACACGGACCGCTGGGGCTCCGCAATGCTCTTCGTTTATACACGAGGGCATTTTACAAACAGCAGAATGAAGGGCATGCCTCGTGCACGTGTGTGTATCTTTTCACAAATACATTTTTTTGTTTCAAGATGGAATTCATATAAAAAATATCTTAGCATAATCATGAGAAAGTAATTTTCTTCCTTTTGCAAAGTGGGTTTTTCGTAAAATAATTGAAAAGGTATAGAAAAAATTCGCGTGGCAATACAGTTTTTTATCCATTATATTGATGTGCCTATCTGTGTGCATGCATGCCAATGCATGATGCAATATTGCTCAATGAACCTTCAACTATTCGCAAAAAACAGGTCATCTTCCTCCTGTTCACAAAGGGGTCACGCAGTGTTAGTGCAAGTATTAGGTGAAGCCTGCTTGCATATGGAAAGAGCTGCCCCATCAGTAATGCGGTCCCTGCAGCAGCTGCTGCACATGTGTTTCTGGCAGCGTAACGATTGTGACTTCTTGTCAGAGTAGCGGACTGTTTAAAGTAGTCTCGTAGTTAGTTCAGTGCCTGCTTATGCTGATTTAATTGACAATGCCAATGGAAGTGCATGTACATGTACTGCCCTTTTGTCTATCCCCTGCTGGATTGAGGGCCTCCCCACGCTATATGGATTGTGGGGAATTATTTCAACTTTCTTCATCACGCTGGTGAGCATGAGTTGGTGAAGGGTGGGAAGCATAGACTTGAGAGTTTAGCACCGTACAACAATTGATTTTACTGCGTTGTCCGTAATGTAGCCAGTAAATATATTATTTAAGTGAGATTTTATTATTGCGATTTCCAACTTCACACACAGAAGTTTTATGAAATTCTAAATACGCGGAACGGACTCCTTGCCAGCGTGAATAATCTGGGCCTAAATTAGCATTCCTGGCGTGGCAGCATCGAGCAGCGCTGCCGTTAGGGGCAGTAAGCAGCGGGTCGTGGCATGAAACTGGAGAGACGGTTGAAACTGCTTGTGCTGGGCTCCGAGCCGTAACGTGACCGGAACATCTGCCCGGCGAATGCAGCATTTTCAGCTGTCGCGGAAGGTCTCCTTCACTGGAAATGTTTATTGTAAAGACATGTCATTTTGTTTAATGCGGTGTGACTGGTATGCATGCAATGATTCCTCCAATCCAATTCATTGTGAAAATCGCAACCTATAGTGACCGCATTAACTCATTGCATATAACGTATATGTAAAAAAATTGGTCCTTACACACGTGATATGACGCATTTATCGCGAGCGTGTAAGGATCCCACATTTATATTTGATGAAGACGATGTGTCGTTACGCATCATGTAACTGACTAGTCTGATGGTCGTGTGCGTCTCAGGCCAACCAGGACCACCACCACAGGCCGGGCAAGCATATGGAGCGATACCAACTATGGCACCTCCTCCACTGGGCCCTCCATCAGTGGGCCCTCCACCAATGGCAGCTGCATCAGGGGCCCCTTCATTAGGACCTCCACCAATGACCGCTCCGTCATTAGGCCTCCCACCAATGGGCGCTCCATCTGGGGGCCCTCAATCATTGGGTCGTCCACAAGCGGGGCCTCCACCAATGGCCCCTCCATCAGGTGCTCCATCAGCAGGTCGCCCTCCCATGGCTATGGGTGGGAGGCCCCAGCCACCACTGGTTGCCCCACCTCCAACCGGAATGGCACCAGGATCCATGCAGTCGTGGCACCAGCAGCAGGTGCAGCCTCCACCCACTCAGCATCAGCAGCAGCAGGCGCCACCTCCACCCACTCAGCAGCAGCATCAACAGCAGCAGGTGGCGCCTCCACCCACTCAGCAGCATCAGCAGCGGCAGGTGGCGCCTCCGCCCACTCAGCAGCAGCAGCATCAACAGCATCAGCAGCAGCAGTATCAGCAGCATCAGCAGGTGCCACCTCCTCTCACTCAGCAGCATCAGCAGCAGCTGCCGCCTCCACCCACTCAACAACAGCAGCATCAGCAGGTGCCACCTCCTCCCACGCAGCAGCATCAGCAGCTGCCACCTCCTCCCACTCAACAACAGCAGCAGCAGCAGCAACATCAGCTGGGTCCTGCATCTCATCAGTCGTCTTCATACCATCCGCCTCCACATGGACAGGCCCAGATGTCTCGCGGTCCAGATGCTGGTAGGCCAATGCTTACATTTCCATCATTCAGATCTGGGGTCAGTTGTAATTCCCAGCAGTTTTATTATCTCATTACAAGTACATTGTGGCAATTCAGTACAATGTACGCAACTGCAATTAACTATCCTGGTCTGCTGTGATTATAAGTGACTAAATGTGATTCTTTCGGGAAGATGCGACCCAAGGAAACAAATGGCTCTTATCTTGTAAAAATATAGATATCAATGCTGTATTCCTGGCTGCCCAACACGAATGTATAATTGTATGTGTACGTGTATTTGTGTGTTTTTTGTGGTCATGTGTGTGTATATGTATTGTATCAGTGAAGCATAAGTGGCCAGTGACATCAGACCCAGTCCTCGGCCTCCCTGCTACCTTGACTCAATCTTAAATGAGTCCCTGCTGTGATGTGTAAATATCAGCACTGGGGAGACAAAGGCGGCCAGATGTGGTGTTGGGAGGCGTCGTGTTGGCTGCAGCACTCCACCATCTATTGCAGGCCTTCATAAAGGCAGACCCCTGCCCCCACATCGCCCTTAACAGACTGTTGGGGAAAGTGCTGTTTGCAGGCATCTATCAATAATAAGGATTTCCCCATCAGAAGGTTCTATTAAAAAAAAAATATTTATAGAAATATTTTACATTACAGTCGCAGTGCAATGTCATGCCACGAGTGACCGGGACTGCATGAGTGTTTCTTAAAATGTACAAAATGGTCATTGCAGCGATGTCATGAGGGTGCCACAATAACGTTTCTGACCATTACCAAAGTCTTGTTCCCGATTAATTAAGCTCGTTATTCACGTGTGACAAGCCAGGACACACGGCTTCGAGGTGTAACTACAAGATAACAGCTTTTACATTCAATCTTCGTATTTTTTTTAACTACTTGGCTTACAGAGCTTCTTGTAAATTACCATCTTATGGAATTCCTGTCGCTTGCCTCTGCCTAACAACTTCTCTTATTTTGTCTCTCTTCCCTTTTCGTTAATTCTGAGTTTTCTTCCAAAACTCTTCCTTCTCTTCTTTTCTATCATTGTTTTTATTTGCCATCCCTCTCGGCTTTATTATTTGCGCTGTCGCAAACGGGGCAACTAGGTTTGCTCCGCGGTTACCAAAGTCCGGCGCATGACGTTTCTCCCGGCCTCGCTGGGGACAACGACTCAGGTGCAGTACCGGGGGGTGGGGGGAGGGTGACAGGTATCACACGGCCTGCGGCTCTCTGTGACCACACCCAAATCTGTGTGTCGGCGTGTCTGTGTGTGGTTGCGTGCCGCCGTGTATGTTCGATTCCCGCGCACGGCCAGCACCGGTGGCGATTACCTGAACCGATCCTGGGCCTCCCCTCGATCGACTCTGCCTCAAATTAGTACAGGGTGTGATGTGTGAATATCGCCACGAGGGAGACAAAGGTGGCCAGCACCACATCCGGCCACCCACCCCCTTGTGTGCCGTGCCGGCCTTCATAGGTGCTACTCGCTAAGAGCATGTGCCCTAACAGTCTGTTAAGGCTACACGGGGGTTCTTGGTTTTTGTACAAGTTAGTAATAATAATTCAATTGATAATTCCATCCTAGGATCCCAATGCGTATGCCTTCGGGTATGCGTGTCCCTATACATGTGTGTTTACATGTGTCTGTGTGTAGTTTGTGTGTGTCTCCATATCTGCGTGGTTCCATCAGCATCTCGTGGCATGTGCCCATTAGTACCTTCAGACCCCCTCCCTCCACTCCGTGAACCTGCACTCAGGAGCCAGGCTCCACCCCTCACCTTGGCAACACGCTCCGCGCCGCTCCCTTTGAACCGCCACCGCTGCTGTCCCGGCATAGAGCTGAAAGGACGGGCGATCTGCATCACAACCGCCGCGGAGGGCTTGGGCGAGGCAGCAGCCAGCCTCGCTCCCGGCTGTACCGTCCCTGCCATCGTGTTAGGAGAGCCTCCGGTGCCTGGGATTTATAGCAAGCAAGATAACGTTCTTTGAGTCTTCACTGTTAGTCGTATTCTATTTTTTATTGCTTTCTTTGCCGCTGCTTGTCAACGATGACGCTTTTGCTGATGCTTAAAATCAAGCGCAAAAGAGTTCACCCGTTTCGGGCAGGTAGGTTTGACGTGGGGCGGGGGAGGCGTTGTTGGGGGGAGGGGAGTGTGTGGTGTGATGCATGGAGTGGCCCTAAATTTGTCACCATTTCTCGGAGAAGGGGAGACGTGGGCCATGTGGGATACGGAGACGGAGGCGGCATCGTGAAGTGACAGCAACATGTGACGGGGATAGGGGATCGCTTAAGCCTCGGTCAGTTTTATTGTCCAGATCTTGGTGGATGGGTGGAAATGTTTTTTAAGAAAACTTTTGTCACGAATAATAATTGGGCTTGGGCAGGACACATCTCCCAAGAGCAGGTGAGCTTGCAGAGACCGAGCAATGCAATCGGCTCGTGTGCAGGTGCTCCAGTGATCGTTACGTCGCGTGCATCACAAATTGTGTTCGTGACCATCCAGATGTGATGGAGCTCAGTCAGCCGCACAAAGGGGACATCGTCATTTAACCTTTACACTTGTGAATTAGTGTGCAGGGTACCTGCCAGCCGTGGCACCTAGTAACAACCGCTGTGTTTGGTCGTCACTGTGTTCTGGTACAAGCCCAACACACATTGCAGAATAAGCACGGCTAACTACGCTGTCGGTCGGCGCAGGGGAGCCGTGCGTGCAGCGATCGGCACATTGATCCCGTGTGCACGCATGTATGTGCTTAGTCTTGGATCGGATTATCTCACCTGTGCAGCTTGGCCGTTTGAGAGTTCGTTGTCACGAAGATTAATTTGAGCAGGCTAGTCACTGGGGGGTACGACTGGTACAGTGTTGTTTTTCTACGTGGGAGCTCTTGTGTCATGTTATTATTACAGGGCACAGGGATCCGCAGTTACTTCCCGGATTCAATTCCCGGCCACAGCTGAACCTGTCCTGCCCACTCCCTAGGTTTACTCGGGTCTTATATTTAGTGCAGTGTTTAAAAATCGGCAATGGGAAGACAAAGGCTGTCGAGCATGGTTCTGTTTGTGCCACACATTTGTTCACTGGTCCTTGATAGGTGCTTGCAAACAGCGCTTGTCCCAGCAGGCGATGCAGGCTCCAGAGTGAGCGATCTCAGTTTCGTGTACACCTTGCTGTCCGAGTCTGCATGTACACTGCATGCGTGTCTGTGTATCTGCGTGCGTCTCTTCATGTGTACGTATATACATGCACACGTTATGTGTGTATGTATAGGTGCACACCCGTGTGTACACAGTGCAGGTGTATATTGTGTCTTACTAAGCTGTATAGTATATTGTGTCTTACTAAGCTGTATTGTACATTGTGTTTTTCTTCCGCACCTCCCATTAGCACAGTTGGCTATGTGCAATGTGCATGCATGCATAGGTGTCGGTGCAGGCTCCAACCTGGAAAGTGTCGGCACTGTGCTCGTCCTGGTTTGCTCGGTCACCACTTAGAGGCGACACATTCTTTGCCGACGCTGTCACCACAACCACGGCCCGGTGTGGCTCCCCAACCTAAAGGTGCTGGCTGCCACTAAATGGCGTCTGTGTTGCAGATGGTGACTCCGCGTCCAGCCTCAGCAACTACGACTGCGTGGAGGGCGGAGGCATCATCGGTGAGCGTGCCCTGCCCGCTGCGTCGCACCCTGCCGTCGGCTGTATCACGTGCAGTAGTACACACATGCGGCTCTTTCATCAACCCACTGCTGGATGAGGGACCCCCAACCCCGTGCAGGTCCACGGGGGTTATATTTTATTGTGGCTCATCACGCTGTTCAGCGTGGGTTTGTGAAAGTGAGGAACATAGAAGTACGGTGCAACAATGCATTTTGTTGCTCCGCCCTCTTCTGTTGTGCATGGCGGTCCCCCTTCCAAGCACTGAGCAGGCCCAACCCAGTGCCGAATCACCTCGAAGCACCCAACCTGCATTATTTTCATCGCCGCCCCCCCCAGTAATGTTGGTGTTACTCAAGTAATCAAACCCATCATCGGTTGTCTGATCGATTATTTCACTATTCGGTGAGTCCAGCTCCAGTTGCTGCTAGCCAACCAAGCAGCCGCAGCCTACTGGGAGGGGGGCTTGCCGACCGCTGTGCAAGCCTCTAGAGGACGACAGCAGCAGCTTGCAGCCCTGGAAACGAGCGCTGGCTTCCCTGGGGGGCGGTGAGGAGGTGGCAGAGCGGTGCCTCTTCTTCACCGGGTGGTTCTTCACAGTTCGGCTGCTATTGGTGGTTTGGTAGTTCAAACGCCACATTCATTTGTTTCTGTATAAATTTAAACTATAAATTATTTTGTACCACTGAGCTATGTACCTCTTTTTCAGAAGCTACCTGGCCACAAATGATAGCTTAACGAAGTGGCTTATCATTTGTAAAATTATAGTAGCCAAATAGTCTAAAGCGTGTTTCTAACTGTAGAGGATAAAAACGGAGGATCCACAGAAAATCCACGCGAGCAAACTCTAAATATACAGCAGCAGGCGTCAGGGTTGGGTTCGAACCCACGACCTCCTGTATGCCAGCAAGGTAGTTAACATCTCACCACCGTGGCGAGATGTATATTTATTCTTAAACTGTTGATAGATATTCGCCTGTGCCAAATCACATGGAAAGCACCCACTGCTCGGCAGATTTAGGAAGCTACTAAGCAGGATTGAGCCTGGATAGTGCCTGCGTGGTTGACCACTGTGCATGACGGGCATTATCGGCCGCGGGGGCCTACGTTGTTCCACAGAGGACAATGCTGCAAGATCTAGTGTTGTACTGTGCTACGGCTCCCTCATCTGTGTCCCCTGCCTTAACCAATCCGCACTGAACAAAGGTGGTCAAATAACCCCCACAATCCGCAAAGCCATGGGGAGGTTCCCCATTCAGCAGTGCATTAACAGAGGGCCGTACTTGTACCTGATGTACATGTAATTAATAGTGCAAAAGTGAGTTTATTGTACGGTGTTGTTTATAACCAATGCAGTAGTGGGATATTCTGGGGTTAGGAAGCAGGAGGAAAGGGAGGGACACCTTAAGTCACGATGTTGGGTCTTCTAATTATTAACCAATTCTGTATACTGCCCATAAATACATTGTCCCAATTAACCTACCTGCAAGGTGGGGGGCAGGCCCCCCTTTACCTAGCAGCAGGCGTAGGTGCGCTCTTATGACGCGCGTGTGCGCCAAAAGCCTCCCACGCGCGCCAACATCGGTGCGAAGGGGAAACAGAACGCATCCATTCATTTGTGCAACAATAGCGGCTGCCTTTGAACGCGATGATACGATCATAATTATTTGGCTCTTGCGGCAGCGAGGGGTGCTTGTGACACTCGTTCCTTGTACCCCGGCGCCACCATCATCTCCATAATCACCCACCGACCCATATCCCCTCTCCCCACTGTCTGCTGTTTCACAGGGGACACAGCCTCTCATGCCCTTCTAACACATAATGGTAACAGCATTAAGTATGCAGATACGGGAATACATTCGCATGGTAATAAACACAAAAAAACGACCAAATGTATTCTATGCGTGCGGCCCACATCGTGTCAGGAGATGAATAAATGTTTTTTCTGGAAGTGGAAGAAAGCAGCATTCTCAGCTTGTGTCAGGGAACGGCCCCTAAAGCAGCGTTCGTAGAACTACTTTTTAATTGCCTTCTCTAGGCTGCTTTTTCACACGTATATTTACCCTGCAAAGAATGTCCATAATATGGCAGTGAAATGCTTAGATTTTTTTTATCTCACAAATGACACCAACTTTATCGTGATTATGAATTTTTCTGAAATCTTTCACTGGGTTGAGACTACACTCACAGTTTCAGAATCCACTGTAGTAATTCGCAGCTGAATCAGATTGGAACCCAGATTCTCAAGAGTGGAGAAGCTAGTTTAGTCAACAATTTTGTTTAGCCTACGTGTTAAATTTTGTTTAGATAGAAATTGGTTTGAAATCCAGGAATCTTAATAGTGCTCCCTTATTTTCTCTGACAAATTCATGTTTTTGTTACACATGTACGTGTATTGAATAGCAGTGTAAAAGTGTATTTAAAAAAAAAGTGTCTTCAAAGTTATTCAAATTTTATGCAAACTATATGCAAAATGGGATAAAGGGATCAGTGTGTTCAGTAGTTTGTGCACTGCACTGAACATGTTGAGTTGAATTGAATGATTAGCTTTGGCTCACGTCATGAACCTTCACTGATCAGCGTGGTTAAGTATGGGCACATAATCCACATGACAAACAACATGTGAGGCCTTCATCTAGTAGTGGATTGACAAAGGGATATTAATTATTTTTTAATCATCACTTCGAATAATATCACCTTTAGGCTAATGCAATGAATGGGATGGAACATAAGATATCGACAATACTCGTGGAATACAGACAAATATAGAAAAGGGAGGCAGTACAAATGTCACAACAATTTATTTAATTTTGAAATGATTTGCGGTCTTGAATCGTCAGCATCTGTAAAACACGCTTGTTAAAAAAAGTCAACACCCATTGCTGTGGCAGAGAGATAGAACATAAGATCAAACATTTTACCCATTCTTGAATTGAACTGCGATCTTCATCCGTCAAAATCTGTGGATAAAATGTCATAACCTTTCTTATTTAATGACAAGCGTAGCTGCCTATCATTGCGTTGCATGAGCAAGTCCATGACATATGTGACATTACTTTGTTGTTTTCGGCATCATCATCATCTTCATCGTTGTTATCAGCGGCACCAAATTCCCCTACGGGACCTCCCATGGGCGGAGGCGGTGGTGGTGGTGGCTTCGGACCGCCGGGCTACCCGCACGCTACGCCGAAAACCCCCTTCCACAACGCAGCCATGTCCAGCTACCCTCCGCAGTACCCACAGGTGCGTTATGCTCTCCCACGCCAGGAGTCTGGATACCTTCATAAACAAATAATTTAGTGATGCTGCTGCTGCTGCGTTGGTGGCGTTGCACAAGCACAGTTAACAACAACAACGAAATTCAACATGTTTGTCAATAACACTGCGGCCTTAAAAAGAATGACGTTTCGGGCAATTGCACTTCACAGTACCTAGAGAGACCAGAGGAGTAGAGACATAATCTACCCCTCTGGCTTCTCCTGTGCTTTGACAGAGAGGGCCATTGGCTGAGACATCACCCATTCTATACTTTCTTTAAGGCCACAGTGTCTACTGTAATGTAGACGCAGTGTATTTTTTTACAGTTAATTCACCCACATTAATAATCAGGACGGCAGCTCGATTCGAACCGGAAACCTCTGCAACAAGCGGCAAATGCGCTCCTGCGAGGCTGTGTAACAATTGGTACCTAATGGTTCACCTTGCAGTGATTCCCATGGGTTTCCCTGATTCAGGGTAATAATGATGTTCACAAATCGGTTGCATTTCTATGGGTTTTTTTGTGCTTACGGTGCATGTAAAATGTGTCGTCAATGTCTGCAGACTGCTTTTGGACCCAACCAACTGTCCCCCTCAATGGGGGGGTTGTCGGTCCAACCTGAGAGCTTGCGGCCAGTCAACTTGCTTCAAGAGAGGAACCTCCTTCCCCCAACGCCGGTGGAACCCCCCAAGCCCAACCTCCACCCCGACATGCAGCAGCGCAACTGCCACCCTGAGTGAGTAGTGACGGGGCATGTGTATCGCTAAGCCGGTCAAGCCAGCCTGCTAAGAGAGCTCACGTGTACAAGTAACTTGTAGCAGAGATGTGCCCCCATCAGGGAAGCTGGGTGTGACATTGATTTACATTGCAGTGCCATCTATGGCATCTCCCCAACTCAACCGTAAGAGGTTTTCTGGATCAGATCGTGTAAATTAACCAAAAAACCTCTATTATGGATGCTATTGGTCACGAAAGCCTGTGTGTTAAACTCCCCAACTAAACTTTGCGTAAACTTAAATTCATTTGAACCGCAGCCGCTTTGTTAAGGTGCAGAGCAAGGAAACACGAGAAAATCCAGACTGAGTGGCCTGATAAAGCATGCTCAAGTAACCTCCACGATTCATCATAGCGCGGAAAGGCCCTCATCCAGGAGTGGATAAACAGATTGGCGCACGTGCGCTGAACGTGCAGTTAATACATCCACGCTGACGCGCGCGTTCCATTGTGCGCGTTTGGCAGCATCTTCCGCTGCACGCTGACCAACATACCACAGACGCCAAGCCTCTTGGGCAAGGCCAAGCTTCCGCTGGGTCTCCTGCTCCACCCCTTCAAGGACCTGCAGGTGAGCGCTCCCTCTTGCCAACACCACTGCCGCCAGAGCCCACGAGCTGGAGACTCGGAGAAACTGGGACGAAAACAACGCGTCGTACAGTCGCCAGCGGCAGCATCAGGCACGCCACGTGGATTCGATTGTGTGACCCTTGTCTCTTAACACGCTCGTGTGTGTGTGTGTGTTATTTGTGTGTGTGTTTTATGATGTAGCGTTTGTTGTGTGTTGTGTTGTGCTTTGTTGTATGTGGTCTGTCTTGTTTGTGTGTTTTGATCCGTGTTGTCTATTGTGGTGTTGTGTATTGTGATGAGTGTCTTTCTCTTTAATATTTTGCATTTGGGACTGATATTTTTGTTTGTTTTGGGTTTTTGTTTTTGATGTCTTTTTATGTTGTGTTTATGTGATACAGCGTGTCTTTTGTGGGTTGTATGTTAAGTTATACATTTTTTGTGGGTTATGTTCTATGTTTTGTTGTACATTGGGTGCTAAAGTGCTTTTTAAAATTGTGATTTTTGTTATGTACTGTAAGATTTTTGTATTTATATTGTATTGTGTGATATGCTGTTGTGTATTTTGAGTTACACCATTCCGTTTATTTCATTAATGTTGTTGCCCGCTGCATAATGTGTTGCGTGTGTGCGGTACGCTGTCGCATGTGACGTGTTATTGGGTGAGATTCTGCGCTCCGTTTATCGCATTTACATTCTCCGTTTGTTGTTTTTCGTGCTCACGATTTACGTTCCACTTGGCGCCGTGCCCCACCCACCCTCACTCTGCCCGCGTGCCGTTCGTATTCTCCGTCCCCCCTCGTTTGCGCGGCGCAAGCAGCAGCTGCCGGTGATCACCGCGAGCACCATCGTGCGCTGCCGCGCTTGCCGTACTTACATCAACCCCTTCGTCACCTTCATCGACCAGCGCCGCTGGAAGTGCAACCTGTGCTTCCGCGTCAACGAAGGTAGGCGCCGCTCGCGTACCGCTTCTCATATTAAACGCCGGTTGCGACGCATCCGTCAAGTCGTATGTCTGCAACGAATATGTTAATTAGGATTCGTACAACTGGGTATGCAAATCCATTTCCAAATACATTTGAGTTGCATCATGAGATCTCCTTTGCCAGTATGAAATTATGATGCCAACAAAAAAACATGCTCTGACAATATGTGCATTGTCAGTTTCAAAGACACATACTGTCAGAGCATGGTTTTTCATTTTCACCACATGTATATGTGGTTAATGCAGACATGATTTCTTGCAAAGGTTTCTCAGTTTGGTGTTTTAGCTTCTTAACACCTGTTTTATTGCCAGAAAGGGGAAAAACCCTTATCACCTTTGAGTTGATTTGTTTCACACGGATGATCCCGTTTCGCTAGTTGCCCGGTACTCGCCCAGCAGTGGCCTGACAAAGGGGCCTTGAGGCCGTAGCCTCTAAGTCGGCGCTACTCTTCACCGCAGTCTAACAAATAATAAAAACTCCATGCTTGTGCTCGTTCCCCGACATCAGTTCCGGACGACTTCATGTACAACCCACTGACGCGCTCGTACGGCGAGCCCCAGAAGCGGCCCGAAATCCGCAACGCCACAATCGAGTTCATCGCTCCCTCCGAGTACATGGTGAGCAGGGGTGGGGGATGGGGGTTTGTTTATGTCGAGGGTTTACACGGTAGTGCTGGGCGACGTGATCAAACGTGCAACGTCGATTCCGCCGTTCAAAGCGTACGACTGGAGCGACCATGAAGGACATGAGTATCGCATTGTGTGCTGGCTTGTGTCAGCCAGCACAGGTGTCTTTGTGTGTCTTTTTGTGTTTATGTGTGGATAAGTGTGGTGAATGGTGGCGCAGTTAGCGCAATGCTCTCTATGAACATGGCAACTTGAGTTTGATTCCCGCTCACGGCCAACACCAGTTACGATTATTTGAACCAATCTTGGGCCTCCAATGCGTCGACTGAGCCTCAAATGAGTACCTGGTGCAACGTGTAAACAATGTCACGAGGGAGACAAAGGCGGCCGGTCATGGTACTGGTCATCTACCCACCCCCTCATATTCCTTGTCAGCCTTCACAGTTGCTTAATAACAGCACTTGCCCCAATAGTCTGTTCACAAGGTTATACGGGGAGGGGGAGGGAGGGGTTGTCTTTGTATGTTTTAATGTGGCCCAGTAGCCAGGTCGGGAGCAGTCGGCCCAGTAGGTAAACTGGGCGAGGCGTGGGGTCCGCCTCATGGAACGTCGGGCCGTTCGGCCGCTGGGCGTCTTTAACGCCGATAGGCGATGCCGACCACTGCTCCGTGATGGAGAACCATTCCTGCCTTCCGCTGAGCGGTTTGCCACGGTCGGGGTCGTGTGAAGTAGCGCGTGGCGTCGGGCGATCGTTGCGAGGGGCGGACGACGAGGCCGTCACGTGCTCTTTGTCTGTGCGTGATCGTGTGCAGGTGCGGCCGCCCCAGCCGGCCGTCTACATCTTCCTGCTGGACGTGTCCTTCCACGCCGTCGAGTGTGGATACCTGCCCGTCGTGTGCAACAGTATCCTGGAGCACCTGGATAGGTGTGTGGTGTCTGTGTGCTTGTGTGTGTGCATCTGTCAGTCGCCTGGCGAGGTCGTGCACGGCTCCTGGGGGAACCGACAGACCAGTAGAGGTTCCATCGCTAGTTATAAGTGTCAGTGTCGATAAGAGGGCAGTTGTACTGGACTCCCTTTATAAAAGGCCTATCAAAAATTAATGAAGCGTAGTCTATCTGCAAGTGAAACTAAACTCATATGATTCCTCAAAGTGTTTTGGTTCCTATTGATACCATGGTAGAGGCCTCGTCGTCACGAGTTCCCCCACCCCAACCCCGTGCTGACGCAGGTTACCGGGCGACAGCCGCACGAAGGTGGGCATCGTGACGTTTGACAGCGCGATCCACTTCTACAGCCTGCAGGAGGGGCAGGCACGGCCACAGATGGTGGTGGTCACTGACATCGACGGTACGCACCCACACAAACAAAGGCGACTTTCCCCGGACCCCGGAGTATGAACACGCAATTAAGCAAGGTCTTGCTGTATAATTCAAAACAAAGAGCGTTTAGAATATTGTGTTAACACATTAATGGACTCTGAGTACCCGAATGGCTTGGGGAATGAGTTCCACAGTTAAGTTGTGTTAGGGCCCATGCACACACGCACGCACAGCCGTGTACCAGCTCGCTTGCTAACAAGATTGAATGGACAAGCAAACTATTCCACGCGGGAAAAAAAACAAATGCGGCGCGTGCGTGCACATGTGCTTTTGGAGCCGTGTGGTGGTCTCGTCGTTGTTTTCGTGATGGCGGCGGTCGGAGTGTTGAGACTGCGCTTTGTTCCGTCGTGTGTTCCGTCGTGTGTTCCGTCGTGTGTTCCGTCGTGTGTTCCGTCGTGTGTTCCGTCGTGTGTTCCGTCGTGTGTTCCGTACAGATGTGTTCATCCCGAGCCCCGAAGGCCTCCTTGTGAACCTGCAGGAAAGCAAAGAGGTGAGCGTCATCAAAGCCAAGCCAGCCCAGCCATCGTCATTTAGTAACTCTTTCCAACGAAGGGGGAAAGCGTTCGTGCGTGAGTTCTGGCTGTCTAACAGTGGGGGCACAATAACTCATTTTAAGATGATCGGATACACAATGAGTTTTTGTTTAAGGTTGTGTTGCTATTAGGGACTTAACCGATAGAAAACCCAATAAATTCATCAAAGCCTTACGTAACACTTTGCACTAATAACCAGTGCTAAAAGGTTTCACCTCACCACTCTATGCAATGGCTAACATCATTATTTGTGACATCACAAGATGATTTCATTACGTGCGGTGTAATCGTGCCGTGCGGCTCCAAAGATAACGGCATCCCACCAAAAACTCGCAATGACAAACGTGTGTTGAAGAGCGTTACAGAGTCATGCCATATGCGCGGCTCTAACTCGTGCCACGCTGTGCTCTCTCCAGCTGTTCCGCGAGCTTCTGCAGTCTCTGCCGACCGTGTTCCCGAGTGGGGCAGAGCGCGAGACACAGAGCGCGCTGGGGCCCGCGCTGCAGGCCGCTCACCGCCTGCTGGGAGCGACCGGAGGCCGAGTCACCGTCTTCCAGAGCCAGCTCCCCTCAGTGGGGCCCGGCGCCCTCAAGCCACGCGAGGTCGGCGCCAAGGTGTGTCCCATTGTCATCATGGTCTTCGTCATCAGCATCGGCAAAAACAGGAGCAGTGTCATCATTGTCCTTGGCATCGCGTTCATCTACAGCATCCAAAGCTTCTTACAGTTTCCATACACGAGAGAGCAAGCGAGTGAACGTGTGAGCGAGTGGTGATCGACGCGGCGTGGGTCGTGGCGTTGTGTGCGTGTGTTTGATCAGGGCACCGAGGGCCTCTCTCCAGCCACCGATTTCTACAAGAAGCTGGCGCTGGACTGCTCGGCGCAGCAGACGGCCGTCGATCTCTTCCTGCTCAGCAGCCAGTACGCCGACCTGGCTACGCTGTGTGAGTGTCCCTGGGCAGTCCCACACTGACGCATATCGCACTCCCTGGGTGCTCTTTTGAGCTGGTCACACCGATGCCGTCACCGTTTCCTGGAGACGACCTCATGGCTAAACGAATGAAACTCACCTGAGCAATGTTCACTTTCATTCTTGTAACTCTCCATCTATGGTTTTGTGACCTTATCATTATGAGCAGAGAGCCGGGTGGCTAAAACAGGCGGTGCGTCCGCCAGTCATCTCAGTCCCCCCGAGGTCTGTTAATCCACAACACGTGGGGCTTGTCCTGTGACCTGCCGGCAAGCTTTCGACACTCCACATGGTCTCAAAGTGCACCAAGCTTGGCACAAGCGCTGTGGTGACATCACCATCACGACGACTGGAGGCTGTTGTTGTTGACCACGGGTGCGTGTGTACGTGCGCTCGATTGCCGCGTGCAGCTTGCATATCGCGGTTCTCTTCGGGCGCCGTCTATTACTACCCGTCCCCGCATCCCGTCCACGCGCCAGCCCAGCTGGAGCGACTGCGCAGCGACCTGCAGCGCTACCTCACCCGCAAAATCGGCTTCGAGGCCGTCATGAGGATTCGCTGCACCAAGGGTGAGCGGCTCTTGTCATCGCTGTCATCGTTGGTGTCTTGATTCGTTATTTTCTGATTTTGTATTTTTCCCTTACAGAATCTTGTAGGCAGAGTGCGATTTTGAAACTTTACCCCAAATTTTATTGGGAGCCAGTGAAACGATTGGATTCATACGATCACGCCTATGGGTTACGGGCGAGGAGTCCGGCAGCGGCATTTTGGATCATCTGGAATTTTTGAGATGAAGGATTTTGGGGTGGCCATAGAGAGGAGAGAGTTGCGGTGGCGGGGACGCGAGGCGGGACGCGTGACCGCGGTGCGCTGCTCTCGTGCCGCTACCCAGGCCTCTCCATCCACACGTTCCACGGGAACTTCTTCGTCCGCTCCACGGACCTCCTCTCCCTTCCCAACGTCAACCCGGACGCCGGCTTCGCCGTGCAGGTCTCCATCGAGGAAGCGCTCGGCGACGCCGCCACCGTCTCCTTCCAGGCGGCGCTGCTCTACACGTCCAGCAAGGGTGCGTGGGGGACATGGGGGGGGGCCATCCAGGTTACGTTGACCCGTGCCTCTTGCCCTTGCGCCCTGTCTCATTGATTTAAATTCGATGGTCTTTATTTAACCAAGATCACTTGATCAAAATTTGCAAAGAAGCATGGATTGGAGCATGTTTGGAATTACACCATAATATTGAAAGAGGAACACCTGGATTAAGAAACAAGCACCAATTTGAGATGTCACATTTACCGATAAGATAAGTAAATCTGCTTGAACCAAGACACATCGCTTAAATGGGATGATGATAATGATTGATGGCCGATGGATGAGACTGGTGATGGAGAGTGATGAGATCAGTTTACATGTAAGAGATGGATGCATGGTGATGGATTTTAGCAGCACTGGACTGTGAGGGATGGCAACAGGATGAGAACGATCATTGTTGCAGTTACCTTTAATTGTTAATGTTTGTGCGATCACGCTTATTTATTTACTCTCTTGCCAATGTGGTCTCGTGGCGCCCTGCAGGCGAGCGGCGGATCCGCGTGCACACGCTGTGCCTGCCCGTGGTCACGACGCTCATCGACATTTACGCCGGCGCCGACGTGCAGGCCGTCACGGCGCTCCTCGCCAAGATGGGTGAGGCCTGCGGCGCACCCCCACAGATGCTGCCCCCCCCATGACTTAAGCACGGCACCCCCATTCGCTCCGGCGAAGTTAATATACCGACTCTGCCAGCGCTCTTGGTTCCAGCACTTAGGTGAAAGGGCACGCAGGTGCAAGGGCTGGTGTGTAGTTGGTACCGTGGGAAGCGTGGGTGGTGCATCTGTCAGTCATCTCGGTCAGTTAACCCATAATAGCTGGGTCTGTCCCGTGACCTCCTGCCAGTGATCCTTTGATGTTTCACATGCCTCAAAGTGGCCCTAGCCTGGCATAAGCGCTGCGGTGATTTCGCCGTCACTTCGTGGCGAATGGCAGCTGTTGTTGCGTATAGGGAGCGGTGGCAAAGGCTGGCCTGGTGATGGCCACGCTCCCACCCGCTCGTGTGCCGTGCCGGCCTTCACAGGTGCTCACTAAAGGCACTTGCGCCGATATGCTCTGAGAGTCTACCCGCGTGATCTTTGTGTGCACGTTGTGTACGTTTGTAGCGGTGGACCGCACGCTCTCGTCGAGCCTGAGCGACGCGCGTGACGCCCTGGTGAACGCCGCCGTGGACTTCCTGGCTGCGTACCGGGGTTCGGGCGGCGGCCCTGCGCAGTCCGGGCTCACGGCTCCACACGGCCTGCGGCTGCTGCCGCTCTACGCGCTGGCGCTGCTGAAACAGGTGGGAGGCGTTTTTCAGGGTGGTGGCGCTGAACCGTGGGGCGGGTGGGCGTGTGCCTTTTGAGTGTGGGGCAGCAAATGTAACAGCCAGAGGTGGGACAAAGTCATTGTTATGCAAGTCCAAGTCGAGTCTGAAGTCATCAAATTCATGACTCGAGTCTGACTCGAGTCCAAGTCGCATGACTCGAGTCCACACCTCTGGTAACAGCCGTAAGTGTTGAAGTAAGTGTTGATGAAGTACCACCCCCGCTGCTACTACGATGGCGGTGGCGATTGCCGCGTCCTAACTTTGGTCGTCTTTTCATTCCAGAAAGCGTTTGGCTCGGGAAAGAGCGTGCGCCTGGATGAGCGAGCGTTTGCCATGTGTGAGATGAAACACCAGCCACTGGGCCAGCTCATGCGCGCTGTGCACCCCAGCCTCTACCGCGTCGACAACCTCACGGAAAAGGTGTGGCCAGCCGCCCCTTACCTCCCCTGCCCCCCTCCCCTGCCCTGCACCCTCGCCCACAGAGTTGGTCACGCCACTTGGGAAGTGCGTTTGTGTGTCCGTGTGGGGAGTGGTAGTGCCATGGATAGCGCACTGCGCTACCAATCCAGCCACGCGTGTTTGATTCCCGCTCACGGACAATAAAAATAGGCGAATATTTTAACCGGTCCAGGGCTGCCACCCGCCGTATAGGTCGATTCAGCCTTAAAATAGTGCCTCGTGCATTGTATAAACATGCGCCCTGGGGAGACAAAGGCAGCCGTGATTGGTGCTTACCACCCAAACCCCTCGCGTGCCATGCTGGCCTTCATAGGTGCTCACGAACAAGATTTTCCCCAACAGTCTCTGAAAGGCTCTACGTGTGGGGCACCTGTGTGTTCATGGCGTGTGCAGGGCGGGGTGATGGAGGGCGACGTGCTGGTGCCCCAGCCGCCGTTGCTGCAGTTGTCTGCCGAGCGTCTGTCTGGGGACGGAGCCTTCCTGCTTGACTCGGGCACCGTAAGTTGGCACGGGCGCCACCTGCACATTGCCATGCCAGCACGCGGCACCACCGTCACACTCCTGCTTCTCACCTGACCACGATCTAACACCGAGGTGTACCTGTCGTGCGGGGTGCTGGTATTGAAAGGTGCTCACTGATGCCGCTCGTTGCTCTGGTTTGTGAGAATGTATGGGGGTCATCTCTCTGGTTTGTGAGTCTGTATGGGGGTCATCTACATGCGTTTAGATGTGTGCATGTGTGCGTGCATGTGTGCGCATGTGGCGAGCGGTGGTGTAGTGGTTAGTGCGCTTCGCTACGAACCTGGCGACCCAAGTTCGATTCCTGTTCATGGCCAATGCCAATGATAATTATCTGAACCAGGTTCTATGGCCTCCGCTAGGTCAACTCAGCCTCCAATGAGTTCCTGGTGTGGTGTGTAAATATCACCACTTGGGAGACAAAGGCGGCCGGGCATGCTGCTGTCCACCCACCTGCTTTGTGTGCCGTGCAGGCCTTGATCGGTGCTCGCTAAATGCACTTGCCCTAACAGTCTGTTAAGGCTATACGGGGGATCTTTGTCTTTGTGTGTCCAGGTACTGCAGCTGTGGGTGGGCAGGGGCGTCGGGCTGGCTTTCCTGCACGAGGTGCTGGGTGTGCAGAACGTCGCAGCCATCCAGACGAACACGGTAACGATCGATGGCTCACCCGTGCCCCTACTGCCGTCACTAGCGCCAGCTAGTAACACCTGTGTCCATCCTTCCATCACTGTCAGACCTGACGCAGAAGATCCTCGGTTTTGATATTCCGTGAAGCTTATCGGCCGTAACTCCTAATACACATCTGCACAAACCACGGCACAAATGGAAAACGAACAGTTTGCGGTGACTGTGGTCACCACCCAGAATAGAACCGCAGAACAGATAATGACTCAATGCCCAAGTCACAAATACGAAGGAGGCACCATCACAGCGATTCACCAGTCCACTAGTCCTGACACAATCGTCTCGCTCAAGCACCTAAACATGAAATTGTAGCTGTTGCTTTTACATCAAGATCAGTCATGCGACGGAGAAAAAGGTATGGGTTTGGAGATGGACGGTCCGCGAGTGCCTCTCCTCGGCACGGGCTCTCGCGACGTGGCCCAGCTGAGTGGAGTCCACTCCACTGTGGAACCCCACCACTGAGCTCCTCCTCCTTCTGCCTGTGCTCGTCCGCATTCACCGTGTTTGAAATTACATCTTGTGTGTGAAGTCTTCTGTATGTAACACGTGTGTGTGTGACACGTTTGTGTGTGTGCTTTGTGCATCCCTGCAGCAATGGTCCCTGCCGGAGCTGCCCAACGCGGCATCGGAGCGCGTGCGCTCCTTCGTGTCGTGGCTACGGCGTCACCGGGCCTTCCCCCCACCACTGCAGATCATTCGGTGAGTCTTTACGGCATCGTCAGCAGTCACGATCGATCCACTTGGATGAATGCGTCCTCAAGCCGCTGCCATATCTCACGAGTTGATTGAATCTCTCCTTGGGCCCCGTTCTCTCCTGCGGTGCTGCCACTCTAACACGAGTCTCCACTCGGTCCTGTCCAGTCCCACTCACGTTTCTTCACGTTATATCCCCCTTCGTTAGCCACTGCTGCTGATAACGTTTAACATCGAAATATTTATATTCACCCAGTCTTATTTCACTTAGGAAAATGTTAAGTGAAGCAGTTGTTTGTTAATGAGCTTGAAGTAAACAGCCAGGATTTGCACGTGTGGCTAATTAATGTTCGTCTCTGTGCGTGTGTCCCGTGTGCGATCGCGTGTGCGCCCGTGTCCTACTTGCGCCGCCGCGCCAGTGACGACGGCGCGAGCCGCTCGGCCTTCGTGCAGAGCCTGGTGGAGGACCGCACCGAGTCCGCCATGTCCTACTACGAGCTCCTGCTGCATGTGCAGCAACAGGTCTGCAAGTGAGGGCCCCGCCGGCAACGGCACGACGCTCCGCGCTCCCCCACCGTGGCACCGCCGCTCCGATCTCCCCGACCGCCCCCTCCCCCGCCCTTCTCGCTCCCACACGCCGTCCAGCGGCGGTGCGGGGCTCGCGACGACCGAGCGGCGCCCTGCACGTCTCCGTGCCTCGCGGGAGGAGGGCAGCCCGGAGCAGGTGGCCAGGAATCGTGGAGGTCGCCGGGTGGCCGCGTCCACCGCCCACAGACTCAATCGGGCCCCGCTCGCCTCTCTCACTGGTCCAGTCGAAAGTGCAGTAAATTAGCACTTTATATTGAATAAGCAAAAATTACAAACGAGTGAACAAATGGACTAATTAACCAGTTACAGGCATGCGTGATTCGCGGAAGATAAATTTGTAAATAAGGCGCCGCCTTCGGTGGAGTCTGGGCCGAGTTGGGGGGGGCGGCCCAGCCCTTGGGGGGGGCCCAGCCCTGTTGCTGTGTCGAGCGAGGTCGCTCTCCTGCGTGCGCCCAAGAGGAGGTGCGCTGTGCTGCGGTGTGTTTCGGTGTGCGGATGTTGTTGGTTTTTCTTATCTCACCACCGGGTGGTACCGTCGCTTGACCGGTTCCTCGCCAGGTGAGGAGGCTGGCTGGGAGTGTGTGAAATTTCATTTTTGCGAATCGCCCGCCTTCCGGTTTGTTAATCTCGATGCTTTAAAATGCTTCGTAAATATGTTTTCAGAGCATAAGGGGGGGTGGGGTGGAAGCTTAGAAGATGACGACGACGATGATGATAATGATATATTCCACGTGCCTGTGTAACTGTGGGGCGGCAGTAGAGAGATTGGGCAGTAGCCGGGAGGGAGGTGCGGGGGCACGAATGGTCGTGCGCGCACACCTGTGGTGCTTGACGAGTTCCCGCGCATCGCTGTGATTATCGGCGCAACTCTCGAGCCAGGCCAGCCGAGGCAGGCTGTGGTGTGAGCGAGCAAGCGAGTGAGCGATTAGCAGTGCACGGGACACGAACTAGCGCGAGTTGCGTTACGAATTAATGTAGACTGTATTTATGCAATCGATTTACAAACGAAGCTGAAACTCGATAAGACGAGGGGCGCAGACGTGTACAAATACATGTTGATTAACCCGGTGCAATTGGGTAAACTTGGAACACTTTGTGTCGGCCAATCCTGCCGTGAGGAGTAATATCCGTGATGTCGTGCAGCGGCGGACGGGCGAGCAAGCGAGACGGTGCAAGAGGGATGAGGGGCAGGGCTCGGTGGGGGGCAGGCCACGGCTGGCGTCTCTGGTTTCCCGTGCAGCCGGTTCTCACGAAAGTGTTGCGAAAGGGACTCGATGCGGACACAGAGGCCCGAGACCACGCGAGTCCCGAACGAGGCCAAGGCAGCCACGTGTCCATTCATTCACATCCTGCGAGTGCCTCTCCAGTGGTAACCTCCACCTTCTGTCACCACTGTGGTTTTTATTTTATATATAAAATCGCTCGTGTGAAGCCCTCGGAACATTAGTCCCCCGGTTGCATCCGGAGTGTTTCTTCGCCGCCCAATGATGAACGTGCGGCAACTCTGGACAGCGCAGCATGAGGTGGCTAATCCGAGTCAAGCTCCGTGTTCCTATCCAATTGAAATAATGTGAAGTAATTTCTTAAGAACCAGTTTTAGCACCCCCCCCCCCCCCATCTACAAATCAACTCTAGATTGCCAAACCTAATTTCATAAAGAAGAAAAATAGCTGCTTGAAAAAAATGAGGCAATGTAAAGCAGAGAAATGCACTTCCAAAAGCAACTTTAACTCAAGTGTCCTGAGGCTGTGACGCTCGCGCTGTGTTGGGTTTCCACCACGTGGAGTCTGTAAAGAGAGACAAACACCGGATGTGTGGAAACGAATGTACGTACGTGCGTTGAACTTCCTTCTCGTACGTAGCCAACCGTGCTAATCGGAGGTGCGGGATGACACTTGCGAAGGTAAATCCAGCAGTGTGCGTCTGGGGGTCACGTGAAGGCTGCTTCTTGTCGCAGCATGAATGGGAACATGAATGCGTCTTGAGGATCGATCGTGTTGGCCGGGTTCCAGAGAAATCATCCCTGATTTGAGTGGCGGTCAGATCCATCCTCACCGAGTCAGGCGCTCCCCGAGCCGTTCCCATCGCTCGACCTGGTTTATCTGTTCAGTAGGGGGGGTGGTTGCCACTTTACTACAGTGGTGAGGTTGGCGGTCAGGGTGGGTGATGAGAGACACACGTGTGGCCCCGTGTGGTTCCTCTCGGTTTTCATGCGATGCGACGGTTAGGAGATTCTGCCGCTCGTCGTTGCCCCGGCGATTGTGGTGCCACTGTGGGTCAGCGATTGCCACGCGGCCGCACCGAGTTTAATGGTCTCCAGCACTCCGTGGGGAAGGGGGGACCTCGATCCCTGTGCATTGGACGAGGGAGGCTCCTACAGAAGTTTGTGGTGGTTCAGAGCTCGAGGTTGATGAGAGGCTGCAAGCTCTGCACTGTGTTTTCCATTCTCGGGTGATGCGGCATGTGCAGGTAGATTCCTTGACGATTTTAAACTGATCGCAGCATGTGATGAATTAGTACCCCCCAAGGTAGCAAATCTTGAGTAGCACTGATGTACTATTTATATGGCTCAGAAGGGTTCATTATTTGATAATCCACCCACTTCCAATGGTTATCGAAATTAACTGTTATTTCCACGTAAACAAATTGGAACCGTTAAAGTTATACCACCACAAGCGTAACGCACATGTGAAATTGGTTTGGCCTCATTTGACTAATTGCTGTGTGAGACTTGAAAACCCGGGGTGGAGTTTGCAACCTCCTCTAGCTGAGGTCGTGAGCTGTCACATGAATGCACAATCGTGTTTGGAACCCCTGGCCCAGACCTCCACAGCCAACCCAGCTGCTGACCCAGGCAGCAACGCGTTCCGGGACCCCCCGCACCCCCCATCGCGCTGCGTGTTCAGTCAAGACTCGGGGACGAGTGATGGTTGAGAGCGGAGTGCAGTGGCTTCCCTTATTTGTCTGCTGTCATTCTCAGATGGCGGTGGCTTTTTACGATTCAAGTACTGTTAAGATATTACTTTATAATAGGAGATACGCAAACAAAGAGCGTGATTTAAGATTTACTATGCTTCAAATGTATGAATTATTAAACAAGCTGCTTGTACGAACTGCGGCCACACCACCGTGCGTTTGTACTGGCTGGGCGTGTGTCGCGGTGTGCGCGCGGTCTTCGATGTGTGCGCTGTATGGAGTGTGGGAGAGAATGTGAGAGGATTTGTGCGTGTGTGGGGAGCGGTCGTCGTTAGTGCAGTGCGCTACAAACACAGTGGTGATAGGAGTTCGATTCCCACTCACAGCCGACATCCGTGACGAATATCTGAACCGGTCCTTGGGCCCCTCCCTATAGAGGTCGACTCAACCTTAAATGGGTACCTGGTGCGGTGTATAAACACAATCAGTGAAACAAAGGCGGTCGGGTGTGGTTCTGGCCACCCACGCTTGTGTGTCGTGTCTGCCTTAATAGGTGCTCGCTAACAGCATTTGCCCCAACAGTCTGTTAAGGTTGTACGGGGTGTGTCTATGCGGCAAGGGACACACGCATACTCACTTCCTCCCCAGTGCTGATGTTTACACACCGCACCAATTCCTGATTTGAGGCTGAGTCGACCTAGAGGAACCACAGGACTGATTCACATATTTGACATTCGTGTTGGCCGTAATCTGGAATCGAGCTCTGGTAGCCGGGTTCGAAGCGCAGCACCCTAACTACACGACCGCTCCCCACAACAACAGCCGCCATTGGCCACTAAGTTCTGGTGGCGTCACCACGGTGCTTGTGCCAGGCTAGGTGTATGCGGAGGCCACGTGAAATGTTGAAGCCTGGCTAACAGGAGGTCATGTGACAAATCCAGGTGCCATAGGTTGACCGACTCGGATGACTGGCAGATACTAAACCTGTGCCCCCCACTGTGCCAACTTGCAGAATTTTAGCCGCCTGGCGCTGCCCTCGTGAGCGTCGATAATCTCCTCTGCAGTTGGAGGGCGACTGCCTCTAATTGCCCAGTAGCAGAGTCCTTCACGAGCCTCCTCCATAGATGCCAATCTTGAAACCGCTGATACCAGTCATCGGCAAGTCCACTCGGCTCCACATCATCTACCGCATCAGTCCATCTCTTTTCCAGCCCGTGTTGTTCTCGTTTAGCCCCTTTATGCGGCCAAACAGAAGCTACTTGGGCATGCGGTGGCTGGGCATGCGTGCTACATGACCCAGCCAACGCAGCCTTGCCCGCCGGAGGAGCTCACTAATGGGAATGTGTCCAGGCCTTCCAAGAATTCGTGAGCTCACACAATTCAGCCTGGTTCAACCTAGGATTGATCGTAGGCAGGCCAGCCTGAAGATTTCAAACCAGTGCAAATATTCCAATTGGAGGGTTCCAAGTGACCCCAGAAAAGAGAAGGGAGAGCAAGGTTGTGATCGAGAAGACGCAGAGCTTCGTGTGGGGCGACAGACCAGGTAACTTCCACACAGCATTACGCAGCTGATTAAAATATAAAGCCGCCCAACTGATTCGGAGTGAGACCTCTGCTGCCAAACCTGAGCTGGTCATACGCATACTACCGAAAAGCACAAACAGGAGCACAAGAACACGTGGTTATCACAGCACGGCAACATGCAAAAGAGATGCAAACATCCACGTTCTTGGACTGCCACGCACACACCCATGCCCTTCTTGGGAAACGAGACTGCTCACGGGTTCTCACTTGCTCATAGAGACTCAATGTACTTTACGACAACCTAACTGCACGGAAGAGTCGCTACTAAATTGAATGATTGCGTGATGACCACTTAACGAAGTCCGATCGCATTGGCTTCACAGTGACAATCGCACGTGGTCAGGTCAGGGTGGAGGCGGCCGCGACTCGATGCTCCCCACTGCTGTCTCCACGCGCGGGGCTGGAATCTCTCTGCTTCTAGACCTCGACCATGGATTATGACTGCACCCAGCACACCACATCCACTGTATATGTATCGCCGTGGGCTGTCGGCTATTTGTAATGTGCCTACCCATTCCATGCGGAAATTAGTCTGCACCCAACACTGCATCGTGTCCATCAAACTGCTGAACGCGCGGAGGAGATGGAGCGCGAGGGACATTGGGAACGAGAGACGGCTGCTTCAACAGCATCATCATCTCGGCTTGCCATCTCTGAGATCTCAAAACATGGGACTTTATGCGAAGAAGAATATCTCCGTGGCAGGAGAGCAACTCTCAGTGCATTATGCTAAAGGGTTGCCAGGTGGCAACCTCATCATGGGGTTGGCGGATTACACTTGTGTCGAGGTGTCCCACCCTGGCTCGCCAGGAGGAACCAGTGACCCAAACGGACTCCCCGCCAGCTGTGTGGGGATAGAACATTGCCCCGTGGCACTCGCGGGGTTTCTCTGGGAAGGGACTTTGGCAACATGTGCGTGATCCGCCGACCCTGCCGACTGCCTGCTCAGCGGTTCGCAGCGCACGAGGAGACACCCGCGGGCGGCTCAAACGGACATCGACTTCTTGGGGAAACATTCACTTCATCCAAGTGATAGATAGGCTCTTTAAAAGTCCTGCTTGAGATTGCAGGAAAGTTTGCCGTCCTGTCATCGGAAGCATTTCACATTTTAGGGGCTGTCCATAAATGACGTCACGCACCTGGGGGGGGGGGTCAGACATTTGTGACGAGGTGGGGGGGGGGTGTCAGAAATGTGACGTCACATCAAAATGCGCAACTTTAAATAAATATATACAACACGTTCTACTTAATGAAATAGACTTTTTAATAAATTTTTCTCCGACATCAGTGCAGCGGTACATTAAATACGCACTACAATGACTAGTTTAAAGCGATTTGAAGCATGTTTTATTTGGGGGGGGGGGGGTAGAGCTTTGTGACGTCATATTTGAGGGGGGGGGTCTGACTTTGTGACGCGTGTGACGAGGGGGGGGAGATCCAAAATGGCGTGACGTCATTTTTGCACGGCCCCTTACGGTGAACATGGATTTTAACAAAAGGACCAGCATCAAAGCACGCAAGAAGAGTCAATGTTTACCATTCATTTGTAACGAGTTAGCACGCGGACACCCCCAGCCATGATAAGGCCCGCTACATTCGCCACGTGTCAAACACATCCGTTTGTTGACCCGAGTGGCCGGACACAAATGAACGCGAGTCCGGTAATTAAAGCCCCCCCCCACCCAGCCCCCACCCCACCCAGCCCCCCCCCCCCACCCAGCCCACCCAGCCCACCCAGCCCCCACCTCACCCAGCCCCCACCCCACCCAGCCCCAAGGGGCGCGGCCCTCTCCAGCTCGCTGCTGCCTCCCGCCGTCCCGCGCCGTGCACTGCACGGACAGGGCCACGTTCTAAACTCGGCGAGGACGTGTCATTTTCATCAGGCCCCATCGTGTGTGCTGCAATCTCTCACTCTGACACACCCACCGGTCTCTTCGCCATGCATGTGCCATGAAGGGATATTTCCTGAAACGTCACCGATTATATGATATTCTTTGGGTCTTTCGGTATATATGATCGATTATATATTATTTGAAACCATTTTATGGCAATTTACATTGTTAAGCAGCATCACCAATTGATCTGCGTACTGCACATGATTGTTTTGTACTGTGTACTGTACGCAATCCCACGTGTTCAGACATTGCAACTTACATTTGAAGCCTAGAGTGGCTTAATCAGAAAAGATCAAAATCTATATTCAGACCGGAAGAAATCCTTTGAGCTATGATGCTGTCTCTGAATGTTCACTTGACGGACCCATCCGTCGACCCGCGTGTTCACACTCAACGAAGATGACATCAGTGGCGAGTGACCGATCTTCGTGGCTTTCCCGAAAGACCCAAAGAATATGAATGCCTGCAGTCACGAAAGCTTTAAGTCAAGATTTACCCACACTTTACCCCACCACACATGACCTGCCGATCAACTGCCGAGTGGCCAGGCGAGAGGAGACTGGCTGCACCGTTGACCTCTTGCTGCAGGACGGCGAACTGACCTGGTGACCTTTGGATTACAAGTCCAGCGAGCTCTCCACGACCCCACAGCAGTCATTTCTCGGACAGACTTGCGGTACAGGAGTGAGTTCGCTCGCCGCTTGTTGCAAGAGATTTGCGGTTCGAACTCAGAGGCTGCCTCGACTAATACTATCGGTGTATTAACCATAAACTACTGCGTGCCGTCCACTTCAGAGGACGTGAAAGATCCTGTGATGTCACTCGCAAGAGTAGGCGATTTGATGCTGGTGTCATGGTCCAAATTGAAAAATTACCCATAAAGTACTCCATTGGAATATACATAGCAATCATAATCCCTGCTTCGAAAACTTGGCAGATGAGAATCAGTGAGGCTTTTCTGGGTAAACAAGCGCAAGTGTTTGGGCACTAAACACAAACAGTAAATCTTGGGTTTGGCAGCGCGACAGATGTGGAGTAGGGGAGAGTGGTGAGGATACGGCATATGAGGGCTGCTATTCATACTCTTTGGTTCTTTTGGTAAAGTCACGTAGGTATAAAATAAAATAAATCACGTTTCGATCGCCACACAAGCGGTCGTCAAGCGGAAAACATAATCCAGCAGTGGAACTGCTGAACTATTCAGTTGTCTCCTGGTGCCCCACCCTCTTTGCCACTCCCCACATTCTCAATCCTCTTTCCATTTTCCGCTTTTGTATTGACAGCAACCTGCCGACTCAGAATGCTGGCGGCACTGAAACAAGCACGGACTTGATGCACGAACCCACACGCGCAGACACCACCCACCCCCACACGCCACCCACCCACGCATGCACCCACACACACACAAAATGAACGGGCGGGAAACGTTCAGTTCGCACCGCATTTTATTTTACTCTTAAAACGAACTCAAAATGTATTTCTTTAGGAACGGAAAACGACGCTTATAAAAAAAATCATACCCCCATGTGGTCGTGCCCAGGAAAACCCTGGGCTCATCCGGGAGGGTGTGGATCTGACCCCCCGGGTTTTTGGGGCTGCATGCAGTCACGTGTTCATGTGAGCCTCGTACAATCCACGAGCAATCCTTAAGCGAGCAAACGACTCCTCCTACGAGTTAATAACGCGCTTTGTTAGGAACTGCTTTGCCCGAATGAGTTCAATGAAAAACTCCTTCACGCACCCCCAAGGTTAAGGCAGTTGTTAACAAATCCGAGCAAAACACTGTTTTAACCGATGCTTGATGACCTTCATAACGCTAAAAGTTAACCTATAGAGCGCACGAGTCAATTAAAATTGTAATATCCCATGAAAAAGCCTACGTCCCAAAAAAACACAAGCTGTACTGGTGCTGGTGGGCCAGACCGGCATTATTCAACCGCAAAAAGAAACTGCACAGGCAGTGGTGCAACTCGAGCAGAGACCCCGACGAGCGGCCCAGGCAGGGGACGGTGCCGGGGAAATGTCTCCGCAGTAAAGTTTATGGCAGCGCTGTCACGAACGACAGGCAGCAATGTGGAACGTCAGGCGGGGGGGGGGGGACTAACCGACCGACCAAGCGCTAAAGTTTTCTGTGTCCCAATTGTACACCCAGACCTGCCAAATCGCACGTCGATGTCTTCCAGATGCGTTTACTTGTGACACTAAAAGGTTCAGAACACTGACAAACTGTGTTTTCATCCATAAATGTGTTTGCCTTCCACGAGGCTTTGCGATTTTAATTTGCAAGCAATCCGTGTTCCTTCCATCAAATTGTCATCTGAAGTTTTTTGACCCCAGTTTAAAATCAGGGCAACGTTTGTCAAGGAGGCAGCATTGTGTTCGGCCCATCATTGTCAAGCCGGCACAAAACTGAGACTCCTGAAACACATTTCTGGATGCAACTGTGCGAGTACAGGTGTTTACAAGGCCTTTTAGCATCTGCACCGCAAATGTGGGCTACTGCGCATCGTTCTCCGCAGTCGTGGGAGACGTCAACGGGCGCGTCGACCCGGCAAGAAAGGCACTTTTTTTCCACCCTCACTCCGCTGAAAATGGACAATGTCGATCGATAAACGCTAACAATGTCGTACGACATCACACGCAAGCACGCCTGTATCGCCACACATCCGAGGTGAGCTCAAAGCTTCCTACACACATGCACTAAAACGTAAAAGCCTGCTAAAACTAGGTATATCTTTGTTCATAACATTACCATCAACTAAAATAAGTGAAATATTGTTAAAATATATTAATGGTAAAAAATAAAACGAATAACGATGAACACACTGTCCTTTCACCTTCATGTGGTACGTCAAAACTCTTACTTTCCAACGAAATCGAGGATTTTTTTTGTTACAGATCCTGGCCATAAAATCATTATGCAATTTAAACAAAGCAATGAAGCTAACCAAAAAAAATAAAGATAAAATCGAAAACAATTACAATAAAATCCCCCAGTACACCTCTGCTCGCACAACTGGTTGGGTCACCTGGTACATAGGACTCTGTACAACGGAAAGAGGATCGGAACGTTTCAGGGTGGGGGCGATGGGAGCTCCGTGTGGGCGGGAGAGGAAAGGAGGAATGCGTCGCCCGCACCGGTGGCGCCGTCTCCGCAATGACGCCGCCGCCGCCCCCCCTCGGGTATTGCTGCTTCAACCGCACGCGCCGTGGATCGTTCACTCCGGGGCTTTCGTCGTGGCCGGCGACGGGCGGTGGTTTTGTCGGCGACGGACGGTGGCGGTGACCGAGGCGAGAGCCGTGCGATCCGTCTATCTGTCCTTGGCGGTGAGACGCTCAATGAGGTCCTGCAGCGGCGCCAGCTCCCTCCGATCGATCAAGTTGAACTCCTTAGGAAGAGGATGAGATGGTGCGCAGTAGGGGAGGGGATGGGAGGGGTTGGGGGGGGAGGAGCGGGTTACGGTGGTTGTAGCAGACCGGTCGTACTTCCCCTAGCTGATGTTCAACGGAGGGCGCTTCACTTGGCCGTGCTGGTTTCCGTGGGGCAGAGGTGGAAATTTAAACCGTGCGGTGCCGCAGGCCCGGTGCCCTTGTGGAAACACAGAGGCTGACCTCGGAGCAACTTTGCAGAATAAATACCACGGCCGTTTTTCAGAAGTCTCGTGACTGCCGTTGATGCGGAGTCTCAACAACAACAAAAAGCAAATAGCCGTAGCATCCTTCTTGCTCTATCCTGCTTTACCCAAAGTCTAGACATCAAATGAGTCCACTTACAGGTGAACGGCCAAATAAATAAGGTCAATATTGATATTTTTTGGGTCTTTCGGTAAAGTCACATGGATAGGTTCTTAGAAAATAACAAAAAACTACGACGTTTCGATCGCAACAAAAGAGGTCGTCATCGACCGCTTTTGTTGCTCCGTGACTTTACCGAAAGACCCAAAGAAGATGAATTCCTGCAGTCCCGAAAGCTTTAAGTCAAGATTTAAGGTCAATATTTATTTTTAAGAAGAGGTCCTCCTGAACAGTCAGTGTTTCTCAACTCCAAGGAGTGACCCCTCCCCACCCCTTTCCCACACTCAGCCCATGCATGATGACCATTCCCACTCCTATGCCAATTAATCCACTTGCACATTGCATGCCCCCGACGGTCGGTAACCACGGAGCGCCGCACCATAGAGAAAATGTTTCGGGGACGGTATTTGCAAAACGCCGCCATAAAGCAGCCCGGCAAATACGCAGCATTGTTTACGACGTCTCTCCCGAAGGACGACACGCATGCCGTTCCTCCGAGGTGGTGTGGGTGGCGGTGGAACGTGCAAAGCAGGACGGGCAAAGGGGACACCACCTGCACAAAGTAGATGAAGTGCTTGAAGGAGGTGTTGAGGTGCGCCTCTTCTTGCAGCTGCGTGACGATGCCGAAGTGCTGGTGGTACACGTGAGCGTACACGCGGAACAGCCGCCGCAGGATCATCTTGGCCACCGACAGGAAGTTCTTGGGAAAGGGCACACCTGCGGGCGGGTGGGGACGTGGGTCAGGTGAGGGCGGACTTTGTTGGAAGTTGGTCAGGGTGCGCAGGGTGGCCGGGTAGTAGCAATAGAAAATGTTCTCATGTCGCAACGTCTAGGCGGAGACACAAGACTAAGTAGTTTAAGTTTCACACAACCTCCAGCGAGTGACACAGAGTCAGATCTGGGATAAAACAATAAATATGATTACTGTGACAAGATTTTATAAACAATATATTATTTTTTGTTTGGGAAGTCAGACTTACTAAGATTGTTGTAAAATGTATATTTTAAAATATCGAATACAACGTTGTAATGCCTAATTTCAAAGTTGTGGAGCGTGACTCTTGAAGTAAATTGTTTTGATCGTTAGACCCTAAAAGATACAGCAAGTCAACCAAATGATTGTCATGTCCGACTTGTAGTGTAAGAATATTTGTGATGACGGGCAAATTGTGTAGCAGGTTCGTGGGGTTTGGGTATTGTCAGGGGTAAGATAATGTGGCTTAATGAACGAGTCAATGGTCTTAACCAAATATAACATTTTAAACTTCTCTACCCATGCCTCAGCCCAAAATGTATCTGTAAACAATCGAATTAATACTCTTAATTGTTTACACTATAAAGGGAGCATGAAGTTCCTATACCGCCCTTTCCCTCTGGGAATCAGAGGGGGGTGGCGGCGGCGGCTCACCGATCTTGCTGGGGAAGAGCGCCTCATCGTCCAGCTGGTCCTGCACCCATGTCATGAGGTAGTCGATGTACTTGGGCGCCGAGCACTTGATGGGGCGCTTGATGTTTGTGCCGTCGGCCCAGTGGTACTCGTACCTGCCGGAGATGTCGTATTGTTGACCCCATAGAATTTGGACCGCAGGTGTCAGTATACTACATATTATTTGAACATAGCGGTAAAAAATGATATCGAAGCAATGACTCCCCCCTCCCCGTGGGGTCAGCTTACTCTACAGGGTTAGGGTGTCTGTCTAAGGGTTCTTACAACCTTGTTCAAAATTGGCCTCTGTCTAAATTAAGGTACAAGACCAATATGTTAACTCACAAAATCATTAAAGGTACGATAAATAATACAAACTGGCATGGGGAGCTGATACCCAGGACTAGTTCGGATATAACTCACCTTGATGTGAAGTGATGATAGCACTGGCCGGGAGTCGAATTCGGGTTTGCCCAGCTCAGAGCGCAATGCGTTAACTACCATGGCACTGCTCCAGCCAATGTGTTATTGCAAGGCAGAGTTAACAACGAAAGTGGAGGTCTCTCTAATATTGGAACAGATGGGAATGATTCATCGCCAACATTAAGTTTGCACTTGCCGTCTCTGTTTATCGTGCTCGTCTGTGTCTCGTACAGAGCCGGGACAAAAAGGTAGCAGGAGGCCACGTTGGTTGCTATGTAAAACGCTGACAGCGACGAACAAGGAAGCGGCAGGCAGGCAGGCCTTGTGTTATCGCCATGGCGAGAAGCTAACCTCAAGGAGAAACGTCACAGCTGTTTACAGGAAGTCATGTGACTGCTGCTTGCGCAGAAACTAAAAACATGCGAAATACCCGTACAGTAGTTTCCCCTTAGCCCACGCTCTGACCTTGCGACAAATGGAGTTACAGGATTTGGCTAGTGCGCACCTGTCACCATGCTCGTGATTAAGCTATCAACCCTTGCCCACAGACTTCGAATACTGACGGCGCTTTTAATAATAAACGCACTTGTCGGCCTGCATCCTTGGACATTCTATGTTACAAACAATGGATTGGAAGCATTATCTGGAACAAAGCAGTCTCCGTTGCTCCTGTGGCAGTGGCTGGCTAGTGCTGGTTTTTTCCCTCAACATTTAGAGTATTTGGCTGCTATCAATTTCCACATGATAAGCCCCTTGGTTGAGCTATGTTGTCAGGTCGCTTCTGAAAAAGAGCTGTACAGCTCAGTGGGCCTTACCTGGTAACATATTAATAGTAGTAGTAGGCAGTGGCAATACGGTGTTCGCTAAAGTCTAAACCTTAACTTTCTAATGTGTGCGCGTACAGCACTCCCGCCAATCCATTGCAGGATTAGGTCCTCCCCTACCTGTGTGGGTTGACCTTACTTGACCACGCCAGTCAATGTGGGTTGGTTCAGAGCAGAGATGTGGATACGCAGAAGTACAGCACAACTATTAATGTTGCTGCATTTCCCTCTACCGCCCACCACATAGCCCCTATACAATCGCTATGACCACTCGCTAGTGGGTGGTTGGCACCCTATCTAAGCGCTATCAAAGCTCAACCCTGCTTAACTTGAGAACTTGTGAGATCTGACAAGATCGGAAGCATTCCGGGTGATTTGGTCACAAGCTTCAAATATTACCCACAAGGTCACTATGAAATATAAAAAAAACACCGGTCTTCGCTACGGACCGTCGAGCTATCTCTGAACTGTGCTGTTAACTTGTGTTAGTGAAGGAGGGGTGGCACTCACTTGGGCCCTGCAGACATAACCGGACAACTCTGCTCTGTGCAGAACTCGGCGATAGTTCCAAAGAGCATATTTATTTGGTTGAAAAAGTCCACGGCTGTGAAAAGACACAGAACAGGAAAGAAACAAAAAAAGTAGAAATGAAACCACCATCAGAGCGAGCAGACAAAATCCACGATGGCGAGGCGTGATGCTGGAGTTGCCGTTATTAAGAGGTTCAACATCGTCGAACCTCCACGATCGAAGCCAGGTTTGTTTGGGTTGGTGCCCCATAAATTATTTCCACATCCAGCACACATCAAGTATACCTCTCACAACAGCTTTAGATACGCGTCACTTGCGACCTACTCTAGTCTGTCTGCCAGCGACCCATGAAATATTCAGCGAGACATGAATTCTTCATCAGAGCTATGGGTAGGTGGTCATAGGGCTGGGTGGCAGTGGGTTGGGCCGACATGCCGCAACGCAACAGGCCCCGGGGACACCAGTGAACCGTGCAGCCACTTCCAGCCGTGTGTTTACCTTTCTGACATTGCAGCTGTGAGCCAAATCAAGCGTGCCGGCCTGGCGTGGACCCAGGGCCAGCGTCAGCAGCTGCCGCCCGTTCTCTAAATGCCGAGTGGCTCGTGCTCTCCAGTAATTAACACCAGGTGCGCATGCAAGTGCACAATTAGGAAAGCTTCCCAGTTGGCAACGAGAGTTTGCATGTCTCGCAAGAGGATGCAAATGTTGCGACTTGCTGCCGAATTATGTCCAGCTTGCTGCCACATTTTTGGATGCCAGGAATTTGGTCGCGGTTGGGTGTGCGTGTATGAGAGTGTGCGTGTCTCCGCACACCCGCGTGTGTCAGCATGTCTTCCTCATGACTGGCTTTGGCATTCTGCATTTGCTTGGAATCGGAGCCGGCTGCGGTGTCATGTGCTATGCCAACCCCTTAACGGATACTCAATTGGCACTTGCCCAAGATGTTACAACGATGAAAGGCATCCTTGTCTTGTCGTGTGTGTATTCTTATGAACATGGGTGTGGAAACGTGCTCAGTCTCTTTATAGACGTGTATTATATAACTAGCTGTACTACCCGGCTTCGCCCGGGACTTGGATTCACCACACCCGGCCGCCTTTGTCTCCCCAGTGGCAATGTCCACACCACAACAGTTACTCGTTTGAGGCTGAGTCGACCTAGGGGAGGCCCAGGACCGGTTCAAATTATCGTCACTGGTGGTGGTGGCCGTGAGCGGGAATCGAACATCGGGTCGCCGGGTTCGTAGCGCAGCGCGCTAACCGCTACACTACACATGCGTTACGCTTCCACATACGCGGGTCACGTGACAGATTTAACGTCACAGCTCATTTGCCGTGCAAAAATATATGCAATATTGAGCTCCCCCCCCCCCCCAAAAGAATAAAAAAGTGTATTTTTTTAATTTTTGCATGGTGTACAGTCTGGAAAGTACCCACATGGCAAATTTGCATTTTGTTGCATGTCGGGAAGTACGCTAAACATTTTGAACAGACACACATTCACAACTTTGCCTTTTATATAAATGGAGATGGGAAAACTGGCGAAAACGTTGACAGGCTGGATGGGCCATTTAAGCTCAAGGTTCTACTACAATTTACAGTCTCAGAGCCACTATTACAAGACAAAACCCAAAAAACAAATATCCCTTGTGGATATTGTGCATATCTAGGCTCTGTGTCCCACACTGTGCAATGTGCGTTGAAGGCTTAGCATACTTCAAAATTACAAATGCGAGTGTCATTATGGCACTCTAGAGATGTCACTCCAAAGTTTTAACACACCGTCAATGCTGTGACATCACTGATGAGCAACAATAAAAAAAATATATTCCAATTCATGCTAGGCCAGCACAATATTAGGCATGCATTTAGAAGGGAACATCTGTTTAACATGTAGGTTTTCGGAGCCAACCATAATCAAAATGTGTTCTTCCGGTTTAAGTCGAGTGTAGAGCATTTCTTCTATCAAGTTCTGGCCACTCACTACTGCATCTTGAGGAGTTGAATATTCCCACAGTATTCTATGGCGAAAGCTTGCGAGAAGACATGCTCGACACAAATAGTCTAACTTGGAAAGACTACACATGCAGGTGCTTTACTTTGAACTTCGTCTTCCTTTAAGGCCCAGGGCTCAGGAAGATTTATTCACTACGAACAAACTCAGGACTCTCAAGCAACTCGTAACACGCGATGCACGTGAACGGGACCCCGTGGATCTGCATCCCTCCGATCACCACCGGCACGCGGAGGAAGGCCTACTGTTGACAGCGATCCACTCGTTGAGGTCCTCTCCCTCGGGCAGTGCGACGGCGAGCCGCAGGTTTCCAGAGCCCAGCGTCGCCTCCGCGTGCTTGAGCAGCTCCGCTTGGCGTGAGCCCTCAGGCAGAGCCTTGCGCGGCTTGAATGTTTTGGACGAGCGTCCGCTGCTGCAGGGGCCAGAAGAAATGGAAAGGAGAGGGCTTATAGCACAGGAGGTTCTCAATAGTTTGATCCGAGGCCACCACATTATACGTGCTTATGCTTTTTGGCATCACGATTGCTTAAGCACAGGCCAACTAAAAAAAACAGCACTGTTAAATGTGCAAAAAATAAAAATGTATACATTTATTGAATTTTAACGAGGTTGTAAAAACTTTGGGATGCAACTCTAAAGTCAAGCAGTGCGAGGGAAGAAGCAAAACGATGTGTGTTTTGACCTACAATGTGAAAACTGGTTGTGAAGGGGATGACGTGATTTTGCTGTCACCAGACTGGACAACATAAGGAATTCATTCATCAAGACATTAACTGAAAATGGAAAGAACTATAATACAAACTGAAGAATTGATATTGCTGTGGTGCGGGCATGTTAGAATAATGCCATCTAACATATTTGCATCAAAATCAGTGACAATGATAGCTGAAGGCAACAGAGGCAGAGGACGTTTATGGAAAAGGTGGACTGAAGGCATCGTTCCAGAGGCATTGGAAAGAAGACGACTGATCAGAAATACACGAAGGGACCCTACTGCGTGTGCCCTAGTAGCCCGCCGTAAAGGCTGGGAGGGAGAGAAAGTAGCGTCGACTGGGAGTTGGGTGGTATTACACGGACTTTAAGCTTGAGCCTTAGGATTTGAGAAAAAAAATTATTGGCTTGAGTCATGATATCGCCACTTATTACAATGGACTGCCCAGGAAATTATGGCTCGGATGACAGATGTTGTTCCAGTGCAAGACTCTTCGAAGCCATCTCACTGAGCTTGTCGTGCCTCCCTGTAGTCCAGGACAACGTTCACTAGTGACAAGTCACGTGTAATTACCCAATTCACACGTGGATGGAAGATGTAGGTAAATACGACGGGCTGAGCCTGTGGGGAAGTGGGAACGCTCATATTTGAACACTGCCGTTAGACTAAATACTGCCGTCACAGACTGAAGTCTGCTCTGTTGAGTACTGCAGTGAAAATAACATTTATCTTTGTTTCTAATGTACATTATTGATATAAACAATGTTCACCACAACAGGAAGAGACATACTCTCCATGACCTCAGCTGTGTGTTCTGGGCAGCATAGCCCCCCCCCACAGAGAACCAGTCATTTCTACAGGAAATTACAAAACGTACTCTGCTGGTATGACACGCACTAACCAACCCTGAGCAGCGTGTTTTGTGTCAAACTCATGTCAAAATGCCACACTTGAATGCATCAATAACATTTCACAAGTACAGTAAGTACTGCACTGCATATTAAAAACCAAATCTTATCAGCTATAGCGTGTGGTAACAGGGGAAAATAATCCGCAGTTAAGCAGTTTTGTACCTCGAAACATTGATAATCGTAATACATTAACAATCATCAGCATATTTGCTTAACGATGGTGAGCATGACCTCTATCTCAGGGCACTGCCCACCAGTGTGCTAACATTGTTTAAATAAGGGACTGCCGAATGAATGGATCAATCGACGTCGGTTTCCACTGCTGACAATTGCACCAAGCCATGACGGTTCCATGTTCGCTCTCGTTCAGAAAGGATTCCCATTCCTGTGCGGAAATGCCATGAGCCCACAAGACAATTATGAGGGCCAAAGGGGGGGGGGGCTAAGGAACAAAAATAAGGTTCACATTTGTGCCATAACTGGTTTGTCCATCCGAGCTTGTGTATGCTCTGTACGAGTACATGTGCTGTACATGTATACAAGTACAGTATATGTGTACGTCTATTGGCACAAAACTGTGTTCATGAGTGTGTGAAGTTTGTGGTTTAACCAGGTTAGAACTGAATGAGCAAGAGTGGCCTACGTATGTAAAGTATAAAGATTTTGAGAATAGGTATTCCCCTTTTTTCTGACAACAAAACATGTGTTTAGATGTTAAAACACAAAACTGAAACATTTTACATATGCATTGTCTTTGAAACCGATTGGTCCACACCAGAGACAGCTTTCTTTCGAGCCTCGTCTCAAACGGTGTGAGACCAGAGGACGCCAAAAGGCGCACGAGATTCCTTGTAAAAGGTTTCAGTTTGGTGTTTTAACATCTTAACAACTGTTTTGTTGCCAATAAAAACGGGGGAAACCTATTCTCATATTTTGTTACGGGAAAAGGAGGTCCCATGATATATAGATTTGTGTATGTATATGAGCAAGTTAGTGTACGGGCTTTTATTTACATGTATAAAACAATGTATGTTTATACTGATATATAAGCGAGTATATGTATAATGCAAATCTCTGTATGAGTACTTGAATAACTGTGTTAGTGCGTGTCTACTGTATGTGTATGTAGGGGGAGCGGTAGTTGATAGCGGTTCGCACAATCCGATATCAACCCGGCCACCAGAGTTCGATTCCAGCTCACGGCCAACACAAGTGACGATTATATGAACCGGTCCTGGGCTTCCCCTAGGTCGACTCTGCCTCGAATGAGTACCTGGTGCGATTTTTAAACATCACGAGGGAGTGGCCACCCACCATCTCGTGCGCCGTGCCGGCCTTCATCGGTGCTCGCTAACAGCACTTGTCCCTACAGTATCTTAAGGCTATACGGGGGATCTTTGTATTTGTGTCTTCACAATCAGCCATGGCCAAGTACAGTATGCGTGTATAAGCACAGTATGCGTGTATAAGCACAGTATGCGTGTACGTGAGTACACGTGTTTAATTTGCATGTTTGTGTAAACAAGAATTCCGCGTGTTTGCATCCGATGAAAATTAAGTCCTGTGGATGGCGACACGAATCGCGACATTCCACGGGCAGTCTGCTAATACAAGAGCAATTACAACAGCGTGTCTGTGTACTAACCCCGACGTTACAATCTAGACACAACTAGCCAGGGAGAGACCCACTTGGGCCGCTGATGGGTGATGATATCAACTTACACTCCTGTACTGTAGCCATGTCATGACTACGGTACAGTGGTAACGGCGTAGGCGACCCTCGCAAATGTAAAACGCAGGAAAATCTTGACATTGTAAAACAAGCAACATTCAAGTTAAATGTGCCGTGTGTGATGTCAGCAAGTAAGACGCCACGAAGCCACCCGTCATCACTGCGCACACGAGGACGATGCCAAGGCCCTATAAAAGCCTGAGTCACGAACTCCGTCCGGCTTCGCGTGATGAAGTGTTTCACCGTGCTAATGATTCACTGGACGTGTACATGTGTGCGTGCCGTGTACATGTGTGCGTGCCGTGTACATGTGTGTACATGTGTGCGTGCCGTGTCCATGTGTGCGTGCCGTGTACATGTGTGTACATGTGTGCGTGCCGTGTACATGTGTGTACATGTGTGCGTGCCGTGTCCATGTGTGCGTGCCGTGTACATGTGTGTACATGTGTGCGTGCCGTGTACATGTGCGCGTGCCGTGTACATGTGTGTACATGTGTGCGTGCCGTGTACATGTGTGCGTGCCGTGTACATGTGTGTACATGTGTGCGTGCCGTGTACATGTGTGCGTGCCGTGTACATGTGTGTACATGTGTGCGTGTACATGTGTGTACATGTGTGCGTGCCGTGTACATGTGTGTACATGTGTGCGTGCCGTGTACATGTGTGTACATGTGTGCGTGCCGTGTACATGTGTGCGTGTACATGTGTGCGTGCCGTGTACATGTGTGTACATGTGTGCGTGCCGTGTACATGTGTGTACATGTGTGCGTGCCGTGTACATGTGTGTACATGTGTGCGTGCCGTGTACATGTGTGTACATGTGTGCGTGCCGTGTACATGTGTGTACATGTGTGCGTGCCGTGTACATGTGTGCGTGTACATGTGTGCGTGCCGTGTACATGTGTGTACATGTGTGCGTGCCGTGTACATGTGTGCGTGCCGTGTACATGTGTGCGTGTACATGTGTGCGTGCCGTGTACATGTGTGTACATGTGTGCGTGCCGTGTACATGTGTGCGTGTACATGTGTGCGTGCCGTGTACATGTGTGTACATGTGTGCGTGCCATGTACATGTGTGTACATGTGTGCGTGCCGTGTACATGTGTGCGTGCCGTGTACATGTGTGTACATGTGTGCGTGCCGTGTACATGTGTGCGTGTACATGTGTGCGTGCCGTGTACATGTGTGTACATGTGTGCGTGCCCGGGCTAGATGCGAGTTGTTGGGGGTCTCCTCTCCGGCGTTTTGCGTCGCGCCGTGCGGCGGGGACGAAGGGGAGGACCACAATGGCGCTCGTCCTGGCCGGGACACTGGGGGTGGTGTTCACGAGGGTGGTGTTCACGGGGGGTGGTGTTCACGAGGGTGGTGTTCACGAGGGTGTTCACGGGGGGTGGTGTTCACGAGGGTGGTGTTCACGAGGGGGGTGTTCACGGGGGTGGTGTTCACGGGGGGTGGTGTTCACGGGGGGTGGTGTTCACGAGGGGGGTGTTCACGGGGGGGGGGTGTTCACGGGGGGTGGTGTTCACGAGGGTGGTGTTCACGAGGGGGGTGTTCACGGGGGTGGTGTTCACGAGGGTGGTGTTCACGGGGGGTGGTGTTCACGAGGGTGGTGTTCACGAGGGGGGTGTTCACGGGGGGGGTGTTCACGGGGGTGGTGTTCACGAGGGTGGTGTTCACGAGGGTGGTGTTCACGAGGGTGGTGTTCACGGGGGGTGGTGTTCACGAGGGTGGTGTTCACGAGGGGGGTGTTCACGGGGGTGGTGTTCACGAGGGTGGTGTTCACGGGGGGTGGTGTTCACGATGGGGGTGTTCACGGGGGGGGTGTTCACGGGGGGTGGTGTTCACGAGGGTGGTGTTCACGAGGGGGGTGTTCACGGGGGTGGTGTTCACGGGGGGTGGTGTTCACGAGGGTGGTGTTCACGAGGGTGGTGTTCACGAGGGTGGTGTTCACGGGGGGGGGTGTTCACGGGGGTGGTGTTCACGAGGGTGGTGTTCACGAGGGTGGTGTTCACGGGGAGTGGTGTTCACGAGGGTGGTGTTCACGGGGGGGTGTTCACGGGGGGGTGTTCACGGGGGTGGTGTTCACGGGGGGGGGGGGTGTTCACTGGGGGTGGTGTTCACGAGGGTGGTGTTCACGAGGGTGGTGTTCACGAGGGTGGTGTTCACGGGGGGGGGGTGTTCACGGGGGGTGGTGTTCACGAGGGTGGTGTTCACGGGGGGGGGGTGTTCACGGGGGGTGGTGTTCACGAGGGTGGTGTTCACGAGGGTGGTGTTCACGGGGGTGGTGTTCACGAGGGTGGTGTTCACGGGGGGGGGGGGTGTTCACGGGGGGTGGTGTTCACGAGGGTGGTGTTCACGAGGGTGGTGTTCACGGGGGGGGGGGTGTTCACGAGGGGGTGGTGTTCACGGGGGGGGGGTGTTCACGGGGGGGTGTTCACGAGGGTGGTGTTCACGAGGGTGGTGTTCACGAGGGGGTGGTGTTTACGAGGGTGGTGTTCACGGGGGGGGGTGTTCACGAGGGGGGTGTTCACGAGGGGGGGTGTTCACGAGGGTGGTGTTCACGAGGGGGTGGTGTTCACGAGGGTGGTGTTCACGAGGGTGGTGTTCACGAGGGTGGTGTTCACGGGGGGGTGTTCACGGGGGGGGGTGTTCACGGGGGGCCGGGGGGCGGGGGGGGGGGTTCACGGGGGGGGGTGTTCACGGGGGTGGTGTTCACGGGGGGGGGGGTGTTCACGAGGGTGGGTGTTCAACGGGGGTGGTGTTCACGGGGGGGTGTTCACGAGGGTGGTGTTCACGGGGGTGGTGTTCACGGGGGGTGTTCACGAGGGTGGTGTTCACGAGGGTGGTGTTCACGGGGGGGGTGTTCACGGGGGGGTGGTGTCAAGGGGGGGGGGTGGTCACGAGGGTGGTGTTCACGGGGGTTGGTGTTCACGTGGGGGGGGGGGGGGGGGGGTGTTCACGAGGGTGGTGTTCACGGGGGGGGGGGTGTTCACGAGGGTGGTGTTCACGGGGGTGGTGTTCACGAGGGTGGTGTTCACGGGGGGGGGTGTTCACGGGGGGGGGGGTTTTCACGAGGGTGGTGTTCACGGGGGGGGGGGGGTGTTCACGAGGGTGGTGTTCACGAGGGTGGTGTTCACGGGGTGGTGTTCACGGGGGAGGTGTTCACGGGGGAGGGGGTGTTCACGAGGGTGGTGTTCACGGGGGGGGTGTTCACGAGGGTGGTGTTCACGAGGGTGGTGTTCACGGGGGGGGGGTGTTCACGGGGGGGGTGTTCACGGGGGGGGTGTTCACGGGGGGTGGTGTTCACGGGGGGGGGTGTTCACGGGGGGGGGGTGTTCACGGGGGGGTTTCACGAGGGTGGTGTTCACGGGGGGGGGGTGTTCACGGGGGGGTGTTCACGGGGGTGGTGTTCACGGGGGGTGGTGTTCACGGGGGGGGTGTTGACGGGGGGGGGGGTTCACGGGGGGTGGGTGGTGTTCACGGGGGGGTGGTGTTCACGGGGGGGGGTGTTCACGGGGGGGGGTGTTCACGGGGGGGGGTGTTCACGGGGGGGGGGGTGTTCACGGGGGGGGGGGGTGTTCACGAGGGTATCACGATCAGCAGCATCGTCATGAGTAGGAGACATCGTCTCATCCACTGCTGGATGGACATCGTCTCACGTTTCCCCCATTCCCTCAAGCTCGCGGGACGATTGCTAATCTCACTGCCGTCTTCACGCCATCTCGCACACTCACATTATCACATACGCGGCTAACTAGTGCTAAGATTCGTATCGTCAGCAGCGGCAGCTGTTTATCCACTGCCGAGTGAATTCCCTCCATCCTCGTGATGCTGCGACGGCTTTCATCTTCATCGCGTAGCGCGCATCAACACACGGAGTGCGAGTACAGTGCGCAGGGCGATAAGGACCATCAGCAGTAGCCATTGCGGCGTCTTTGCCAAGTCGTTGCCACCCTTCGACTCTCTGTCTGCGCTGCCACACGACGATCGGCTGATGTATTCCACATCAGCCGATCTCGTCGCTCCATCGCCGGAGGTCGTTCCCTCTCGCTCGCCTTCCTCTCTCCGCCTCGAGCTGCCATCCCTGTCGCCACAGCCCCGACCTGCCGCTCACCATCAGCCTCGCCGCATCTCCTCGGCAGGACGTGTCTCGCCCAAGCCCAGTGCTAGGCACAGGCACACGGTGTATGCGTGTCGCTTTGCAGAGTGTTTGCGGAGACGAAACTCACAATAGGAAGCTCATGGCGCCGGCTGCTCGTCTTGTGCTTTGGTCGCTCAAGGGAGGGGACGACGGAGGAGGGGGCACGGACGACGGCGGCGAGGGGCTGACGGGGGCAGGCGGGCGGGCGGGCGGTGAGCCTGGGTGACGGGGAAGATGGAGGAGTAGGAGGAGGAGATGGAGACACCTGCACACACTCACACACACACAGGGGCAGTCGTCCTCTCGTTCCGCGTCCGGGCGAGGGGGCGGGGGGGGCGAGGGGGCGGGGCGGGGGGGCAGCGCCCCGCGTGGCCGCTGTGTGTATACAGTTCACATGCAGTCTCTGTGTCTATGCTGTGTATACAGTTCACATGCAGTCTCTGTGTCTATGCTGTGTGTATACAGTTCACATGCAGTCTCTGTGTCTATGCTGTGTATACAGTTCACATGCAGTCTCTGTGTCTATGCTGTGTGTATACAGTTCACATGCAGTCTCTGTGTCTATGCTGTGTATACAGTTCACATGCAGTCTCTGTGTCTATGCTGTGTGTATACAGTTCACATGCAGTCTCTGTGTCTATGCTGTGTGTACACAGTTCACATGCAGTCTCTGTGTCTATGCTGTGTATACAGTTCACATGCAGTCTCTGTGTCTATGCTGTGTATACAGTTCACATGCAGTCTCTGTGTCTATGCTGTGTGTATACAGTTCACATGCAGTCTCTGTGTCTATGCTGTGTGTATACAGTTCACATGCAGTCTCTGTGTCTATGCTGTGTGTATACAGTTCACATGCAGTCTCTGTGGTCTGTGCTGTGTGTATACAGTTTCACATGCAGTCTCTGTGTCTATGCTGTGTGTATACAGTTCACATGCAGTCTCTGTGTCTATGCTGTGTGTATACAGTTCACATGCAGTCTCTGTGTCTGTGCTGTGTGTATACAGTTCACATGCAGTCTCTGTGTCTGTGCTGTGTGTATACAGTTCACATGCAGTCTCTGTGTCTATGCTGTGTGTATACAGTTCACATGCAGTCTCTGTGTCTATGCTGTGTGTATACAGTTCACATGCAGTCTCTGTGTCTGTGCTGTGTATACAGTTCACATGCAGTCTCTGTGTCTGTGCTGTGTGTACACAGTTCACATGCAGTCTCTGTGTCTGTGCTGTGTGTACACAGTTCACATGCAGTCTCTGTGTCTATGCTGTGTGTATACAGTTCACATGCAGTCTCTGTGTCTGTGCTGTGTGTATACAGTTCACATGCAGTCTCTGTGTCTGTGCTGTGTGTACACAGTTCACATGCAGTCTCTGTGTCTATGCTGTGTGTATACAGTTCACATGCAGTCTCTGTGTCTTGCTGTGTACAGTTCACATGCAGTCTCTGTGTCTATGCTGTGTATACAGTTCACATGCAGTCTCTGTGTCTATGCTGTGTGTATACAGTTCACATGCAGTCTCTGTGTCTATGCTGTGTGTATACAGTTCACATGCAGTCTCTGTGTCTATGCTGTGTGTATACAGTTCACATGCAGTCTCTGTGTCTATGTCGTGTGTATACAGTTCACATGCAGTCTCTGTGTCTGTGCTGTGTGTATACAGTTCACATGCAGTCTCTGTGTCTATGCTGTGTGTACTACAGTTCACATGCAGTCTCTGTGTCTGTGCTGTGTGTATACAGTTCACATGCAGTCTCTGTGTCTGTGCTGTGTGTACTACAGTTCACATGCAGTCTCTGTGTCTATGCTGTGTGTATACAGTTCACATGCAGTCTCTGTGTCTATGCTGTGTGTATACAGTTCACATGGCAGTCTCTGTGTCCTATGCTGTGTGTATACAGTTCACATGCAGTCTCTGTGTCTGTGCTGTGTATACAGTTCACATGCAGTCTCTGTGTCTGTGCTGTGTGTACACAGTTCACATGCAGTCTCTGTGTCTGTGCTGTGTGTACACAGTTCACATGCAGTCTCTGTGGTCTATGCTGTGTGTATACAGTTCACATGCAGTCTCTGTGTCTGTGCTGTGTGTATACAGTTCACATGCAGTCTCTGTGTCTGTGCTGTGTGTATCAGTTCACATGCAGTCTCTGTGTTTATGCTGTGTGTATACAGTTTCACATGCAGTCTCTGTGTCTATGCTGTGTGTATACAGTTCACATGCAGTCTCTGTGTCTATGCTGTGTGTATACAGTTCACATGCAGTCTCTGTGTCTGTGCTGTGTATACAGTTCACATGCAGTCTCTGTGTCTGTGCTGTGTGTACACAGTTCACATGCAGTCTCTGTGTCTGTGCTGTGTGTACACAGTTCACATGCAGTCTCTGTGTCTATGCTGTGTGTATACAGTTCACATGCAGTCTCTGTGTCTGTGCTGTGTGTATACAGTTCACATGCAGTCTCTGTGTCTGTGCTGTGTGTACACAGTTCACATGCAGTCTCTGTGTCTATGCTGTGTGTATACAGTTCACATGCAGTCCTCTGTGTCCTGTGCTGTGTGTATACAGTTCACATGCAGTCTCTGTGTCTATGCTGTGTATACAGTTCACAGCCAGTCTCTGTGTCTATGCTGTGTGTATACAGTTCACTGTGTGTATACAGTTCACATGCAGTCTCTGTGTCTATGCTGTGTGTATACAGTTCACATGCAGTCTCTGTGTCTATGCTGTGTGTATACAGTTCACATGCAGTCTCTGTGTCTATGCTGTGTGTATACAGTTCACATGCAGTCTCTGTGTCTGTGCTGTGTGTATACAGTTCACATGCAGTCTCTGTGTCTGTGCTGTGTGTATACAGTTCACATGCAGTCTCTGTGTCTGTGCTGTGTGTATACAGTTCACATGCAGTTCGTGTCGTGCTGTGTGTATCAGTCATGAGTCTGTCTGGCTGTGTGTATACAGTTCACATGCAGTCTCTGTGTCTATGCTGTGTGTATACAGTTCACATGCAGTCTCTGTGTCTGTGCTGTGTGTATACAGTTCACATGTAGTCTCTGTGTCTATGCTGTGTATACAGTTCACATGCAGTCTCTGTGTCTATGCTGTGTGTATACAGTTCACATGCAGTTTCTGTGTCTATGCTGTGTGTATACAGTTCACATGCAGTCTCTGTGTCTGTGCTGTGTGTATACAGTTCACATGCAGTCTCTGTGTCTGTGCTGTGTGTATACAGTTCACATGCAGTCTCTGTGTCTATGCTGTGTGTATACAGTTCACATGCAGTCTCTGTGTCTATGCTGTGTGTATACAGTTCACATGCAGTCTCTGTGTCTGTGCTGTGTGTATACAGTTCACATGCAGTCTCTGTGTCTGTGCTGTGTGTATACAGTTCACATGCAGTCTCTGTGTCTATGCTGTGTGTATACAGTTCACATGCAGTCTCTGTGTCTGTGCTGTGTGTATACAGTTCACATGCAGTCTCTGTGTCTGTGCTGTGTGTATACAGTTCACATGCAGTCTCTGTGTCTATGCTGTGTGTATACAGTTCACATGCAGTCTCTGTGTCTATGCTGTGTGTATACAGTTCACATGCAGTCTCTGTGTCTGTGCTGTGTGTATACAGTTCACATGCAGTCTCTGTGTCTGTGCTGTGTGTATACAGTTCACATGCAGTCTCTGTGTCTGTGCTGTGTGTACACAGTTCACATGCAGTCTCTGTGTCTATGCTGTGTGTATACAGTTCACATGCAGTCTCTGTGTCTATGCTGTGTGTATACAGTTCACATGCAGTCTCTGTGTCTATGCTGTGTGTATACAGTTCACATGCAGTCTCTGTGTCTATGCTGTGTGTATACAGTTCACATGCAGTATCTGTGTCTGTGCTGTGTGTATACAGTTCACATGCAGTCTCTGTGTCTATGCTGTGTGTATACAGTTCACATGCAGTCTCTGTGTCTATGCTGTGTGTATGCTGTACATGCAGTCTCTGTGTCTATGCTGTGTGTATACAGTTCACATGCAGTCTCTGTGTCTGTGCTGTGTGTATACAGTTCACATGCAGTATCTGTGTCTGTGCTGTGTGTATACAGTTCACATGCAGTCTCTGTGTCTATGCTGTGTGTATACAGTTCACATGCAGTCTCTGTGTCTGTGCTGTGTGTATACAGTTCACATGCAGTCTCTGTGTCTGTGCTGTGTGTATACAGTTCACATGCAGTCTCTGTGTCTATGCTGTGTGTATACAGTTCACATGCAGTCTCTGTGTCTATGCTGTGTGTATACAGTTCACATGCAGTCTCTGTGTCTGTGCTGTGTGTATACAGTTCACATGCAGTCTCTGTGTCTATGCTGTGTGTACACAGTTCACATGCAGTCTCTGTGTCTATGCTGTGTGTATACAGTTCACATGCAGTCTCTGTGTCTATGCTGTGTGTATACAGTTCACATGCAGTCTCTGTGTCTGTGCTGTGTGTATACAGTTCACATGCAGTCTCTGTGTCTATGCTGTGTGTACACAGTTCACATGCAGTCTCTGTGTCTATGCTGTGTGTATACAGTTCACATGCAGTCTCTGTGTCTATGCTGTGTGTATACAGTTCACATGCAGTCTCTGTGTCTATGCTGTGTGTATACAGTTCACATGCAGTCTCTGTGTCTATGCTGTGTGTATACAGTTCACATGCAGTATCTGTGTCTGTGCTGTGTGTATACAGTTCACATGCAGTCTCTGTGTCTATGCTGTGTGTATACAGTTCACATGCAGTCTCTGTGTCTATGCTGTGTGTATGCTGTACATGCAGTCTCTGTGTCTATGCTGTGTATACAGTTCACATGCAGTCTCTGTGTCTGTGCTGTGTGTATACAGTTCACATGCAGTCTCTGTGTCTATGCTGTGTGTATACAGTTCACATGCAGTCTCTGTGTCTATGCTGTGTGTATACAGTTCACATGCAGTCTCTGTGTCTATGCTGTGTGTATACAGTTCACATGCAGTCTCTGTGTCTGTGCTGTGTGTATACAGTTCACATGCAGTCTCTGTGTCTATGCTGTGTGTATACAGTTCACATGCAGTCTCTGTGTCTGTGCTGTGTGTACACAGTTCACATGCAGTCTCTGTGTCTATGCTGTGTGTATACAGTTCACATGCAGTCTCTGTGTCTGTGCTGTGTGTATACAGTTCACATGCAGTCTCTGTGTCTATGCTGTGTGTATACAGTTCACATGCAGTCTCTGTGTCTGTGCTGTGTGTATACAGTTCACATGCAGTCTCTGTGTCTATGCTGTGTGTATACAGTTCACATGCAGTCTCTGTGTCTATGCTGTGTGTATACAGTTCACATGCAGTCTCCGTGTCTATGCTGTGTGTATACAGTTCACATGCAGTCTCTGTGTCTATGCTGTGTGTATGCTGTACATGCAGTCTCTGTGTCTATGCTGTGTGTATGCTGTACATGCAGTCTCTGTGTCTATGCTGTGTGTATACAGTTCACATGCAGTCTCTGTGTCTATGCTGTGTGTATGCTGTACATGCAGTCTCTGTGTCTATGCTGTGTGTATACGGTGTGTTTCTAGAACTGTCTGCGAATGTGAGTCCCGTAGTGGAGAGAGTCGGATTCCTGCTGGACGTGTGAGATGTTTGTGCAACCCAGGAGTCGAGATTACTGACAGTATAGACCGCATGTATATGGACATATTGTATATTATATCGATTGTACTGAACTATCTAGAGCAGCACATTAGTGTTTAGATTCCCAAAAGTATGAGGATTTTTATTGAATCCAGTGAAGAGGGTTCAGAGTGTAGACTAATTTATATTAATTTCGAAATGTTGGATTATACAATCTTATACTGTACTTGCAGTGTCCAGATTCTGGGATGCAAGTATAAATGTGATGGTACTTATATACTTAAATAAGGATAGTCTACATTGTAGTCAAGCGATAGTAAGATCATCTAGAAATTCTAGATTATAAACTTCGAATGATGAATGTTCTACAACAGATTAACGAATTTCAAGTGCTCTCGACACTACTGATGTAATACATCTACACAGCTTAAAGAACAATTAATTTCTACAAGTTACCACATTGCACTATGATGACCATATTAAGTTTAAATGCTAGTATTAGCGTTCTGTGAATATGCAATCGTAGCACAGCATTTAACCAGGTTGCATGTCTTACTGCACAGGTATATGTGTGTGTTTCTAAGTTTTCCTTTTGTTATTCGTGCACTCCACTTCCCCTACTGAAATCTAGGGAACACATTGTAAACGTGTATTTAAATAAACACCCCAAGGGGATGTGGTTGAGTGTGTACAATGTGTTTGACATCCAAGTTCTGACTCCTTCCACTAAAGGGCATCGACAAGTTACTGGGCAGTACCAATCGCATAAAAGCAATGCTCACCATGGCTTACAACGCTTTACATTCCAAACTCATCTAAGGGGCATTTAATGTAACTTAAGTTTAAGGTTAATGTTGAGTAATTATTTTGACTTTTGGTGGCGCCCGTAACGTGGCCACGTGAGTGGCTCACAGTTTTTATTACCATGTGTTAACTAATGGAAGCCAGATGACGTGTTTGTAATGCAAATGTTTCCATGTGAATCCAATCGTTGAGGTAACTCGTGTGGAATAAATTTCGATTTAAAGCTTTCGTGACTGCAGGGATTCATCTTCTTGGTTCTTTCTGTAAAGTCACGTAGAAGGGAAGTAATAAAATAATAAAACAAAATAAAACATAATAAAATAATTCTCACGACGTTTCGGCCACAACGCAAGCAGCCGTCCTCAGGTGAAGAATGAAACACCACCAAGCTTGGAGCGTTCATTTAAGCTGCTGGGTTGGAGGTGGGAAGAATAATTATTAATACTTAAAACTTGCTACCAGTGTACAGTGCTGTACTGTAGTTACATGTCGCCTGTCAAGACCGCCCAAGCCTCGTGCCTTGCGTTTAAGTTAAGGGCCACTGGGCAAGAAATACGAATCGATTGTTTACATTATTAAATTTGTTTTACCCTTTCTGGCAATACAACAGGTGTTAAGATGTACAAACACCAGATAGATAACATTTGCAAGGAATCAAGCCTGCATTAACCACACGTACTACTGAACATGCAAATAAACATGCTCTAAGAATATATTATGCCTTGTCTTCGAAACGCATTTGCCTACACCAGACATCATTCTTTACATTGTTTACATTCTTATTGCTATACGGCACGTTTATTTACTCTTGCACATGAAACTAAAGGGTTATCGATTGCGACTCGCTCCCCACGACTCGCTTACGCAACACCTGCGGCCATTGTCACGGGCACCGCAACATGTCGGATTGTTCAATCAGATCGAGTAAAAGCTCACAATTCAACTTTAACATTGTCTAGTTTAATATTGCCTCATTCATTCTATCGGAGCGTTATCCGATGAACATAAAATGCTAATTAAAATAAATCGTGTATCATAGAATCTCTATATCCGTTAACACCGAGGGCCTATATTTGTGCTGTAAAGGAGTCGTTGCATTTTTCTAAAGCAGTGAAGCAGTGACATAGAACGAATGTGTTGAAGATTGTCTTGCTATTGCTTATGAGAGTAAGAATCGACTAATTATTACATCGATAATGGACACTGGATAGTCTTAAAACAATCCCACGTCCATTCTAGATTGCGCTTGCACCGCGAGTGGTTGAATTGGAGGCACGGGCCTGCAGTCGACTTGTGAAACAATCAAAGAGCAATTAAATCGCCTGCCGCCTGCAGATCTCGCGACATCTTGGGCGGGTCTCGCGAGAACGGGATGGCGAAATGGCGAAATGGGGGAGGAAGCGGAGCGAAAAGGGCGGGGCTAAGGAATACAAAGGCGAAGCCAGAGCCCAGAGAGGCGGGGCTAGAGAAATAAAGGGCGGGGCTAGAGACAATAAAGGGCGGGGCTAGAGAGAATAAAGGGCGGGGCTAGAGAGAATAAAGGGCGGGGCTAGAGACAGTAAAAGGGCGGGGCTAGAGAGAATAAAAGGCGGAGCCAGAGCCCAGAGGGGCGGGGCTAGAGACAGTAAAGGGCGGGGCTAGAGAAAATAAAGGGCGGGGCTAGAGAGAATAAAAGGCGGGGCTAGAGACAATAAAGGGCGGGGCTAGAGAAAATTAAGGGCGGGGCTAGAGAGAATAAAGGGCGGGGCTAGAGACAATAAAGGGCGGGGCTAGAGACAATAAAGGGCGGGGCTAGAGAGAATAAAAGGCGGGGCTAGAGACAATAAAAGGGCGGGGCTAGAGAAAATAAAGGGCGGGGCTAGAGACAATAAAGGGCGGGGCTAGAGAAAATAAAGGGCGGGGCTAGAGAAAATAGAAGGGCGGGGCTAGAGACAATAAAAGGCGGGGCTAGAGAAAATAAAGGGCGGGGCTAGAGAAAATAAAAGGGCGGGGCTAGAGAAAATAAAGGGCGGGGCTAGAGAAAATAAAGGGCGGGGCTAGAGAAAATAAAAGGGCGGGGCTAGAGAAAATAAAAGGCGGGGCTAGAGACAATAAAGGGCGGGGCTAGAGAAAATAAAAGGCGGGGCTAGAGAAATAGAAGGGCGGGGCTAGAGAGAATAAAAGGCGGGGCTGAGCGAAGGAAGGGGCGGGGCTAGGGGAGAGAAAAGGCGGGGCGAGAAAGGGAGCTGGCCTTGCGCATGCGCAGCCGCGTTCTTGTCGACCGAGAGAGCGAGCGAGCGTCAGGGTGTTTGTAAGGTGCGTAAAAGCCGCGTTGCGTTTCCTCACGACAATGCATCGGTCGCGATTTTGTTGGGATTTAGCGCTGTTTTATTGAGCCGCGCGTGGCCCTTTTGACGTGATTTGTTAAACTGTAAAGTTTATTTTGTTTTATCTTTGATCGCGGCCCCGAGAGGCGTCGGGAGTCGGTTTCGTTGTTGCGCGCGAGGCGGTAAAATGGCGGCGGCGCGGGGACGAGAAGGCCGAGGCCTAACCGCCAGCCCCAGCCCCAGCCTCGGTGTGCACTCGCACGCCGAGGAGTCGTGTTAATGCTACAGAGTAGTAACAACACCGCGTGCGCCTCGAGTTGGTAATTCATTGCAAAGATTGAATACGCAAGGGACTGGATCCCGGCATAGTGCGAGATCGCGGCCTTGCGCGGCCATTTCCTAATTTGACTACGCTTAGGCCTTTTTCACCCCAAGGTTTCAAGTAAATCGGGATATTTGTGACGAATAATTAACTTAAGCGGGTCAATTAACGGGTTTCGTTAACTTGTTCTCTGCGTGCGGCGTCGTCTGTCGATAGTTTGTAAAGAGTGGGGAGGCAGGGAGCCCGAGGGGTCCTGGGCCCTGAGTGGCCACGCGTGCTGCCCCGCGCCGCCATCTCGGGAAGGTTTCGTGGGACCCGAATCCAACCTTTTTAAACGTCAAACGTTATAATTCGAGTGCACATTCAATTTGGTTTGGGTTATTTAGCGTTTATTTGAGTTCATCACGGAGTTGTGTCATGGGAGGGATACATTCCACGTGTCGTGTGGAGTTTGTCTTTTATATCGTTAAATCGCGTTTTCGGGTGAATAGACTGGATTATATGTCGTCGATGACAATTTCAGTGTCGAAGTTTGTCTGAACTCTGCCATCGACCATAATTGGATTGTCAGTGCTGTAATTGATATTCCACGTGTATTCGTATTGGGTTTAGTGAAAATTTGATTCCACATCCATGCGGTGTTCGATTTGGCTTTGTTATTGTGTTCGGCCCAGACCTGAGCTCGTTTTTAGTTTCGATTTACAGTTTTAATAATTGGTTTACCCTGCATTTAAATGTAACTTCGATTACATTTTGGATTTTTGTATTTTATATTCGAAGTTTGTTCAACCTACAATGTTTGTCTGGCACGTGTTTCAACTTGCGTTCCATGTCAGATGTATTGAATTCGGGTTTGCTTGTACATGTTTTCGGAAAGGTTCGATGTATGCCTCTAACCGAGCCTTTCCGCATTCAGACAATCGATTGCACCCACGAGGCGGTCGCGTGTAAATGAGCTTGCGTGGTCTCGTGCCAGTCTTTTCACCTCGTCCATTGTTTGCATTTCCCAGGAATTATCACAACACTTAACGTCATGGCTGATGAAGTGGTGGAAGGGTTCGTGGTGCGGCTGCGGGGCCTTCCCTGGTCTTGCTCATCCGAAGAGGTCATCAAGTTCCTCTCAGGTACAACCCGGGCGACTTGCGTCTAGCAAAATCATGTTTGCTAAGAAAGGGCGCCAAATGACGAGCAACAAGAGGCAAATTTGAAGGTGTAATAGATAATACTAATTCTTGAATTTAGCACGGTTATAAGAAAGAAACGATAGGGTATTCCAAAATTGATTAGTGCGAGGAAACAAGTTGCAAGAAGTGTTTTACCTACTTGGTTGAATAGTGTGAGACGAAAGAAATTTTTGTAGGAGTGGTGGCAATTTGTGCAATGTGAAACAGGTCATACGAGTTGCATTACTTACGTGAACTATGTATTTATATTATTCGTTTGGGAGACTAGAAATAAACCTCGCTTATAATTTATTGTTAATTATTGGTCAAGAAAGTAATTAAGTCATGTATTTTGCTTTTTTTTACTTGAGTCATCTTCAATAGATATCTTAAAGTGAATGATGGTCATTTTACCTGACAGATAGTTAATAGGTTTCGGTGTAAGTGAAGGCCAGCAATGCAATATCGTGCAGGCGCACTTGTGACGTTACCACTTTTACGTTGGGTAAAACTATGACGTGAGCACACAGCTTATTTTCTTATGAAAAGATGTCGTACAGCCCACAGCACCACAACTCTATAGCAGGGCAAATAGCCAGAGGGTAATTACTCATTTTGGACTTGATAACATTTGATGGCGAGGAACTTAAAAGAGGTTTTCATTCCATTGAATTGAATCTTTATAAAATTGTATCCTGAAAAATGTTGCCATAAGGAAAAAGGTGTGTAACACTGCAGTGATGATCTTGCGGTGCAGGATGTGCCATCGTGAATAGTGCCGACGGCGTACACTTCACCAACTCACGTGAAGGCCGACCCAGCGGGGAGGCTTTTGTGGAGCTGGAGTCGGAAGAGGACCTGGATAGGGCTTTGGAACGTGACCACAAGAACATGGGGCACCGCTACATTGAAGGCAAGTTAAAACTGTCACAGCTGCGATGGTGATTAATTCCCTGGGTGATCGGTACAGTATGATTCCTGGAACACAATAGTTAAGGGCCCTTGAGTTAACGGGTTACTTTTTAGGAAAGTTGTTCACTGCTAGGTCCACTCATTTGTACTGCCTGACTGCCAAATGTAAAATATCTTCTAACGTGTATGCTAGAACTCAATTCTGGTGACTTGATTTGAATATTACTTGCAGGCTTATACGTAATCTCATTTTCTTCCACCTCCGTTATTCCTGATTTTAAAAAGTGAAGCAGTTTACCAGTGCGAGAAGCCCCCCCCCCCCACCATGATATTTTAATGGTTGTTTATTATTGCCGTGCAGTGTTCCGATCGAAGTTGAGCGAGCTCAACTGGGTGCTGAACCAGCAGAACCCGGTGGCGCTGCCCGAGAGTGGGGAGGCTGAGGGCTGCGTGCGTTTGCGCGGCCTGCCCTTCTCCTGCAGCAAGGAGGAGATTGCGCAGTTCTTTACTGGTAAGTTGTCACCAAGAGAAGGGGAGAGGATCTCTTGACTTTTAAAGCCCAAGTCTAAACGGGCAGTGAAGGTGTAGACTAAAAATCATATCGCAGCATGTAACACATCTTTTGAGCCCTGAGCTGGAAATGTTAAATGGCATATACTGGCTAGAAATACGTAAGAGTTCATTTGAACTACATTTTAGCAACATTGTTAATTCATTTCAGATGTGGTGCATTTAGCTTTGGGTGTGTTGCTTGATTTCAGTGTGGCTGCCTGAGGAATTTTGTAACCATTATAGCCTCAATTTGTTTTGGTAAAGTTTGAATTGTGTTTTTTGGTTGGTTTATGGTTTGTATACTTTGTCTTGGGCATTTCCAAGGTTTACTTGTCAAGTGACCTTATTGTTGATTAAGCAGTAATTCTGCTTAGTTGAATTGCTTTATTGCTCACTCAATTTCAAGTTATTAATAAATAAAAAACTAATGGAAATTGGTAGAGCATAACAGGTGTTGTACCTCAGTACCTCATCATGCCAGATATTTTCATAGATGGCTTTGTTAACTTTTTATCTGGAAAAAAATGTAACCGGAAGGTAAGTCAAGTGGTTATGTTTGTTCATTGGAATACAAAATGTTTTTGCAATTGTATATATTCTCTGGTGAAGATTTATTGTGACGAATATAATTATCCCTTTGACAATCCACTGCTGGAAGGAAGCCTCTCAAACACCATGTTGGTCATGAGAATAGCTGGCTAATGTGTTCCTGGTTAGTCAAGTAAATTGTGTTTCAAAATTGCTGACCTGTAGCTATCACGTTGCTGTTTCATTTAACTTTTGTAAAATAAAGGCTTATGTTATTATAAGCGAAAGTAAGATATCTTGTAACCGTCTGGTGTTCATGAAATATTGAGTTTTACAGAGGAAAAGACTTTTAGTGTATGACTGTCATTTTCAGCTGAACTAACTAGGGTTTTCAACCTTGGTAAAAAATATAATTCATGATATAAGATAATATGCAGATTTCCTGATGTGTAGTAATGTGACTGAGAAGACTAGGGCTGAAAAAACCCCATTGTGCTACGTGTGTTAGCTGAAGCAGCAACTTGATTAATCGCATTTGGCCAGTTAAACATGCACAATTAAAAACTACACTTTAGTCAATCTGTTTTCTAAAATGGATTCATTCAACCATGCAGCACCGAACTTTACTCAATATACTGCAGGCTCTTAAATGTCGGTATCATATGGAGAGCCAGTTGTCCAAAATGTCTTGTCTTCTCTTGACAGTGTTTTCATATTTTATTGTAACATTGCATCGGCCACATCCTAGTACAATGCAGATAACAGTGCATTGTTTTGTGTCAAGTGCAAAATTATCAACCGTGTTCTGCATGATCTGCTGTTTCTAATTTGTTGGCAAATATGCCCTATTGCTGTTTTCAGGGTTGGGGTTCGGGTGGGTGGGGCGGGGAGGCCATGAGCATCTCTACACTGCCTTCACCCAGTGTTGCATTTCAAAAGCCAACTCTGTTCGGTCGTATTCATAACATTGTTGTTGTTTCAGGGATTGTTTTAGGCTGAGTATCGATGGGGACCTGGGGGGTGGGTGGGAGATGTTTCCAACCCAGCCCTTGTTTTTTTTTATTCCAGGGGTGGGGGGAAGAGACGCCCAAAGTTTCTGACCAAAACTGTTACAATTTCAGGGATGCCAGCAGGACATGGGTTGGGGTGGTCTGAATGAACACCTTAATCTCTTAAGTATATCAATGGCTTTTGCTGACGTTTCCACAGATTGCATTAAAACCGTTGCTTCTTCAGAGACTCCTCCGCTAAGTCGCTGGGGGACGGGCGAGGGAATGGCGGGCGCTTGATTTATTTAATCATCGCTTTTACACGCGATTCCATGACCCTGACACCTGTTTACCTGGAATGGAAGTGCTGACACGTCGCGGGCCTTGGGCTAGCGTTCCCTCGTCTAAGTGATGTTGGTTTTGGGTTTGTCTAATTGTAAGGGCTGGAAATCGTGCCGAACGGGATTACGCTGCCGGTGGACTACCAGGGGCGGAGCACTGGGGAGGCCTTCGTTCAGTTTGCCTCGCAAGAGGCAGCCGAGAAGGCTCTGGGCAAGCACAAGGAAAGGATAGGGCACAGGTGGGGAGACGGCAAGAGAGAGACTTCTTTTTCTCCCTGGCGGGGAGGGGGGAGGCTGCGTGGGACTGTGCATTGAGCTGGAAGGGGAGTGGGTGCTGGGCAAAGCATCCCCCCTTCCCCTGGGCCCTCTTTAGTGCGACTGGCCGGGGTAAGGTGGTATACGGATGTCCTGGGAATCGCGATTGCTTTGAACGGAGGTGGGAGGTGGGTGAAACATGGCAGGGCAAACAAGTGTCCGGTCTACAGTTCATACACAGGTGTATTGTTTGCTCCTTGTAAAGATCATTTGGTTAGCTTTCACATACTCCTTTCTTCAAACATTGAATACAATTTTCAACGTAAATTCCAGCGCAACGTTTACTTGTCTGTTTTGCAACTTTAAATAGTTTGGCTTTGCACACATTTTCAAAAAGTCAACTTGTTCAGAAGTTTGGTCTTTACACACCTGTGAAATTAAGTAACTGCAATTTTGAAATGTAGCATTTATGATAACTCGACTCGTGTTAGTGCACATGTTCACATTTTACTGTGACATTAAGCGTTGCGATGTGGCTTGTGCAAAGTCTCACTTTGAATTGTATCCGTTTCCCGCAGGTACATCGAGGTTTTCAAGAGTAACAGGGGTGAGGTACGCGCCTACTACGACCCACCAAAGCGGCTAATGATGGGAATGCAGAGGCCCGGGCCCTACGATCGGCCTATGGGAGGTGGCCGTGGGGGCCCTCCCATGCGTGGAGGCTTTGACCGCATGCGCCGAGGCGGTGGCTATGGAGGTGAAGCAACTGCAGCACGATGACCCCCCCTCTACCCCAATTCCTCTGCAATCCACATGCTAATCTGAATACTCCTTGGCTTCATGAGTGACCTTTGTGAGATTGACTGAAAAGAGAAAAGTGCTTTATGTATAGCCATGTGTGAATTCAGATTAACACACAATTTAAATATATTACTACCTTTTAAAGATGCAATGCTTTGTATCATTGTCTTCTACTGTATGACACGTAGACTTAATGGATTGCTTTAAACACTTTCAGTAAAACATTTCTATTTAAAACCCATGTTGATCACATCTCAAAGAAATCCAATCAAATATAGGGATTTTATGCAAAAAATATTTTGCATTCGATTGCGCCTGTGGTTAAGCGCTTCCTCGCTCATCAAAGTCTTCCGGTCTAAATAAAATAATCAGATTTTATGTCCAGGTTTAAGTTTGTGAACCATATGCCTGCTTTGGAATGTTGATTATATTCACACTTGTAAAGTGATTGTATAGACTGGAGTGTCGAATGTGTGGTGTGTCTCGTTTAAGGTTATGGTGGTGGATATGACGATGGCTTCAATGGCTACAATGACAACTATGGCTATGACCGTGGTTTTGACCAGGGTGGGAAGGGCATGATGGGTATGGGTATGGGGGGTGGCATGGGAGGTGGCGGCATGTCCCGAGGTGAGTTGATTTTCCTGTGTGGCTGGGATTTGACTCCCCCCCCCCCCCCATATACCCCTTGTGCTGTTCTGAAGATTGGGTGATTGATGGAGCTTTCCCAAACGTCTAAAGGTGGCTTTTGGGGGGTGGGGGGTTGAGATCTCTCCATTTAGATATCTCTACACTGACAATAAAACTTAAAGAACCATACTTGGCTATTTTAGAATGGTTATGCTATTTGCCTCAAGTTTATTACGTGTCAGACTTATTGTTTTCCTATTGCACATTAAATGTATGTATGAACTTATGCCCCATATCTAGCCAACAATGCTAATCAGAGGTGTGTACTCTGCTCAAGTAAACATCGGTTTGGCCACTGGAAATTGTGCTTTTTGGTTGGGTCTCTTTTGTAAGGAATTGGAATTAATGCACTTTTTTTCCTTTTGTAAAGTGAACGTTTGAGCTGAGTATTTCTGTATATGCCTGCTTTGGCAGGCATGTCTGGCCGTGGCTATGGAGGTGGAGGAGGAGGAGAATCCACCTACCAGAGTTCCTCTGGACACTTTGTGCACATGCGGGGCCTGCCCTTCAGAGCCACAGAGTTGGACATTAACAACGTAGGTTCAGATTCCTTCTGCTCCCAGCTCGCAGCTCAACCGCAGTTTGCAGCAGTAGTGAAAGTCAAAGAGCTGCATCCGTCCTCATAGTTTGTGTGCTTTGTGCTGCAGTTCTTCACGCCGCTGAACCCAGTTCGCGTGAACATCGAGTACGACGGGAGTGGGAGGCCCACGGGAGAGTGTGACGTCGAGTTTGCCTCTCACGAGGATGCCGTGACCGCCATGGCCAAGGACAAGGCTCACATGCGTAAGCTGCACACGCAGCTGTGGCATTTTGAAAGGCGGCGGGAACGTTTTTACAGAATTATTGATGAATCGTTCTACATACTCTATTGCTGGATTAAGGCCTGCCCAAATCGTTGCCATCTGTCACTGTCCTACATTGCAGCAATAGAACAATCTGCTTATCCATCCTTTTACTTGCCCCCACGAGGAAAATTAGGAGAACAACATTTTACATTCCAAGCCTGTCTCCCACTGATCCTAATGCACATTAAGTCTTTCCACATAAAGATATGGAGCCATCGCTCCATGTCTTGGGTATGTAGGTAGGTCAATATAAATTGGTGGGGGTTATAAATGGATCGCAGCATAGTTCCTAGTGATGAATCCTTTTTTTTGTTTGGCCCTAAAAAGGGGCCATTCTCATTGGTAATTGCGTTGAGACACTTCGAATCATCCAAACAAATGCCTAAATTAATCACGTCTGTAGTTTAGACGATTGTACGCAAGTCGGTGTTTATGGTTTCTACAGTCCATGCTGTTAAAGTGGACCTGTTAAGAGAAGCCTCGACATGTTGAAGCCACTTTAAATGTTTGTCAGTGCAGCAAAGGATTGTGACAAATGGCATCGCTTAACTGTGAAATGGATTTGTAAATGTACAACTGCATTGATGACAAGTGGTGTCTGTTTGCATGCAAGTTTGGCTATGTAATTCAAATGAGGTACTGCACAATAGTCAACTGGTTCACCCATGATGGTGATGCAAGCTTGTTGGGGATCATTTCATTATTAAGATGTATCAAGCTTAAATATGACATTTGGAGGTGCGTGTGAATTAAAGGAAGTTTGCAGATTCTGACTGGAGGTCGACTGCCAATGTACAGTGAAAAAGTTGAGTTTCAGCCGACCTGAAGCTGCGAAAAGCGGTAGTTAAAATAGGCCGGTTGAGCCCGTACGTGTGCTAAAATAACTCCCTTTGTTTCAATATTCTTGGGATTTGTACTGTTTGAGGCGCTTTGTTGGTTGACATGCTTGCCAGGCTGTGACATAACATTGTCCCGTCTTTCTGCTTCTCCACAGAACATCGCTACATCGAGCTCTTCCTCAACTCCTCTGCTTCAGCCAGCATGGGTGGGGGTAACTACGGTGGTGGCAACGGCATGGGTAGGTGCCCCACGCAATGGGGGAGGATGGCAGCTCCCACACTCCCAGGGTATAGGTCCCCTACAGGACCTATCCATTTCTTTGTCTTGATAGTTCTTTCAGCAGTGGTCACTAAAAACTATTTCTGCTTGCTGGGGGTAACCAAAAACAAGCAACCTACTGGTTGCATACAGAACCAAATGCAAGATAGTTTATCTAGCGCCCTTGGCAATTAAATGCATTAAATGTTAAATACAAAGCCTCTTCCTTTTAACAGTGTTGTCTTAGTGTAGTTTTTGTTGATGCATTGTCAAATAGGCTGGGTGCCAGAGCTAACTCGCATTCTACCAATCTCTTGGATTCCTCACCAAAAGCAACTTGGTGGATAGTCTTGGCTTTTATCCTAATTGGGAACTTAATGCTCGCCCCAAGCTCTTGAGGTTTCCCAATACTTGGTCGAGCTCCCACACCTCCGAGTTTGCACGGTTGACTTAAGTACGGTGCAAAAGTTCAAAAATGTATATATTATCATTTTTGAAATATCACAAGCAGTCTCTTGCTTTGCCAAAAAGCTTGTAGGGTTTAATTATCTGCGATTGAAATCTTAACTGCATCGTTTTTAAAGGAAGACAAGCCAAAAAACCAAATGGCTCATTGCTATGTGTTTACACACTTCACTTGTGTGCTTGGCTCTCCTGCAATATTTGACTAATTAATTTTGGTGTGCTATCATATAATTGTGTGATGCCGGTGAAGTGACATCTCTGCTTAAAAGTCCATTTACTCATGAGGCTTGAAACTCTTGTCAGACAACCCGGCGACAACACAGCCTTGGCACATGCGTGCAAAATTGAGTTATTTGTCTTTTGTGTTGCATCATTGTTTAAGACAAGTGTTAATATCCCCATAAGTTATATTCCCGTGTGTTTTTTTGTGTGTGCGTCTAGGTGGTGGTTATAATGGAGGCCGTTTTGCGGGTTTTTCAGGCTCTCAGTCAAGCTTCAGCACCGGTAACCAGGGCGGCTACAACACAACTGCCGCTGGCATGTCTGGCGGATATGGCAACAGCAACTTTAGCGCCGATGGCTATGGCGGTAACATGGGAGGAGGCTATGGTGAGTGAGGGCAGTGCAACAGTTTGAACCTTTCACCTGAAGTTACAAAAAACTAAATTCCCTTTTAGCTCTAGTAAAAAAAATGTGGTTGTGAAAATTGAAAGTAAAAGGATTCGTTAGGTTATATCAAATTAAATTCATCACTTGCATGCAGTTTACCCAAAAAATTGCACATTTTGTCAGGATGAGAAATGTGGCTGCCAGTTCATAAGAACAAATATCTGACTTTGTATATCATCTCAATTCTCGCTGTTTGTGTTGGTGAGTGTAAAGGTTGAAACGGGCGTATATATTTTTTCCCCACGTTGCTCTGAGCACGGGGGGGGGGGGGGGGGGGGAGGTTCAAGGAGGGGGAGGGGTCTTGGGAGGCACTCGCTGGTTGGCCAGTAATTAAAATTGCAAGTGGTATTTCACCTTACTTTGCCTTCCACTGGTCTTGGCCAGAGGAATTTAAATCCATTTTGTTTTCAACATCTTTGGGGGGGCTGACCGGGCTCCAACTGAAGCCACGCACTGCTGTAAAACTAAACATTTGTGACATTGGTTTGTCAAAGTATGGCCATAATTTTGTTCACCAGGAGGGGAGGAGACTAAATGCATAGTGGATATTATGCTGCCCTGTCCAATTGGTAAGCCATGATTAGATTCCTCAGAGTTAGCAGCTTTGATTGGCTTCTGTTCTTAGTGATGGCCACCCCATTATTTACTCTGGACTGATGCTGGCACCAAGCAATTTGCTAGCCTTGTAGCCAGGGGAAGTTTGGTGTGGGTGAGGTCAGCATGCCGAAGTGGGAAGTTTAGATCAACGCTCTTCTCATTGGTGCCATGGCAGCAAGGGCAAGCATGCTTTTGTGGGCAGGCATCAAACGGTCTCACGACTGTTCGCCGTTGGGCACTCGGATTCGTGCGAGTGTGCAATGAGCTATTGGTTGTTTAGCGGAGAGATGGGTTGGGGGGGATTAAGATTTGAGGGTGGGAGGGTGGCTGGGGAGTGAAATACATAGAGGGACACTGTGCATATGCTCAGTCCTAAATCTCTACCTTTCGTGTCACACCTTTTTCACACAGGAGGCACAGGCGGCATGGGGGCAGGGGGTGGCTTCTACAGCGGCAGTACGCAGAACAGCGGGATGGGAATGGGTGGTTCGGCCATGGGAAAAATGGGCAGGGGGAACTGGAACATGTGAATTCCAAACCGAGGCATAGTGAAAAGCTTGGTCTCTTTCTCGTTTGTAGCCAGGTCTTTGTGGATAGCCAGCCAGTTTGAGCTCTTTCTGAGACGCCCGTTTCTGAATCCTGTTGTGATAGGTGGAAGCGCCTCTGGTTGTGGTAATTCCAACCTTTTATGCTTATAACACCCTGTGTTGACAGTATGTATGGCAGAGACGTATATATACTGTTATTTTTTTGTTTATTGTATTAATTTTCCTTGAACAACTTCATACATTTTGGCAGTGCGTGTGAATAAATGTCTTTCATATTACAATGACATGTTGTGTGTATTTTCTCAACCCTGCATTTTCTCACTTTGGGCTGCAGGTGGTGGTAGTGCCCAATCTACAGTTTTAAAGCCCGTCTGACCATCCGCAGTGGTTTGTGGAACTGTTGCAGATACTCATGACTTTTTTTTACTGCCCGTTGCACAACCATTTATATAGAAACTGCAATTTTATACACATAAAGCTAATGGCTCCTTAATGGGGTTATAATTGTAAATCTCGGTGCTTCTAGAGTTTAATTTGAAAGCTGTTTGGTTGCATGGTGCTCCACCAAAATGTGTCCGACCAGTCGGTGGTGGTTCTGGGGTCCAGGAAGGTTTGGAAGCCACCACTTGAGCGCAGGCAGCAATTAACTTGTGTGGTCATTAACATGAAGCTGGGTGATGCACAAGTACTTTATGGGGCAAGCAGAGGCCACCAGGCCACTGGTTTATCACTGTGCCATTATTAAAAGGAAGCGACCTTTAAGCAAAATAAGGTGTTGCCTTCAAGGATTTGTACTCTCTGGGCATGATGAATGTCAACTGTAGTTGGCTGCTCCTAATTAAAATACAGCCATCGGCCTTTGGTTGCAATGGGAATCCAATTTATTGAGATGTTGGAATACCAGCATGACTGCTTAGAAATTGTATTATATACTCCAATATGCAGTACTTAAAATTGGGCTTTATACATTATTTAAATGCATGACCATCTCCAGATATCACAGCTCTCCTTGGAAGGAGTTTATGAATGCGGTGAGGCCAAGGTGCTGTGTGGCACCTTGATCAATAACACGAGTCGCGTCCAAATGTGTTTATTCTATGGGCTGGAACACATTAGTTGGGAGATGGTAAAACAAACTTTGTACCAATTTAATTGTCATATAAAGGTGAATTGTCATTCCGTCAGTGTATTCACTTGTGATCTGTAGTTATAGACCTTTTCAAAAACAAAGTTTTGCTATTGGGTACCGACAAGGAAACTCCACTCCGCTGCCCATGGTTTTTATAATGAACTGCCCAAGAATTATACAAGTGTCTATTTAATGGTGAAGATTACGTGTGGAAAGCTTTACATTTTGGCAAATAGGGTTATGAGTTTTGACATTTTAATGAGTGGATAGGTGAGACTTAGGCGGCACAGAAGCAAGGTGCTCGAATATAATGAAAGCTAACAAGTGTACTGTGGTGCGGACGATGGGAATTTGCATGTGAATTGCCCTGGTTGAGTGTGAACACTGAAGTATCCCCACCACTCTAAGAGGAGAAAAAAAGTCAAATCAAACGAGCCCTTTTGGATACACCTCGAGAACTGGGATGTGCCCTTAATGCATTTGAAGACTCGTGAGGGAAGGGGAGCTTTTCTGGAAGCACTAACACTTTGCAAGCTTTTTTCGAATGAACAAAGCCTTAGACTCGACACTTGGCAATAGTCCGCGAATACACGTGTGTGTGTGTGTGCAAGATGACAGATTTGCTTTTCGATTTGCATCTTTAAGAGGCTTGTTAATTTGATTCGCCAAAGTCTTCACACCACCTTTATCTTCACAAAGCACAGTATCGAGTTTCGGATCAAGGGCTACTCTGCCTTCTGTTGGGTGGGTAAACCCTTTGCATGGTGCCTTGAGGTGAACCTCGATGGCCATGGCTTTGTCGTTATATACCGTGCCGCTCCTAGACTGCAGTGGGGGCATAACTCGTCTCCACAGCAGAATGCGTACTGAATGTGGTGTGCTGCTCACGGATTTACTTTCGTCTTGCAGCCCTGTAAAATGAAGCCCTGGTCATGGTCAATGTCACTGCTCCCCGAGGCGTCAAATGAAAGCACCCGGCGAGAGGAAACTAAGCACTGCGCTTCTGCTGAAAGACTGGGACCCGTCGAAAAAATCGTGAATTAATAACGGGTGCCACTTGCGAAATCTTCCTAAAATAAAGAAAACTGGTTCTTTCAGTAAAGTCACGTAGAAAGAAAAATAATAGAATACGACGTTTCGATTGCAACACAAGCAACCATCAGGTACAAATGAATGAGAAAACCAACAGTAGACTTGGAAATATGCAATACCACATGTCAGCCAACAAAACAGTAAAGACCCACCTGGTTGATTACGTTCTTCCAAAGATTACTAACTTAGAGACAAAACACGAAAGCTTCGAATCGAGTTTGAAGATAACTATTTGTATAACACGGCATGCAGTTTCAAGTAACGATAATATTTTGGGCAGAGTTCAAACATCGTTTGCCCTTTACTTAGAAGGCTCATTGGTCAACGCTTTCTCGTGGTATATTATTTAATAATTTACAGTTCTTGGGCAATCCACTGCAGGACGAAGGCCCCGTCCAGCTGTCACCAGCTCTCAAGGTCCTACAAGGCACTCGCCCAACACCTGGATTCCATTGCCTCCATCTTCGCGGTGGGCATTAGCTGGGGTGCGATACCCCCTACCCCTTGGCTATAATTCCCCCCTGATCGTCCTCGTAGGAATGCTAAATTTCCAAAACTACTTGATACTGTCATAGAAATGCTGAATTTCCAGCACCGGCTCGGGACCGTGATGCATGTGCGTGCGTGAGTGTATCTTGCACGTGTGGGTGGTGGAGGACACGGCCTGGACGTTTATTGTGCCGAGTTGCTGAGTTACCGGCAGGGCCAAGGGGAGGTTGCGCAGTGACTCACGGTAAATTACTGCTCGTGTTCCATAAACAGCACTGCGCGTTTACACCGAGAGCGAAGGCTGCTGCGGGGAGGGCATCTCTCAAACGCAGCAATGAGGATCTTTGGAGCAGGAGCAAAGCTCGTGCCCCGTAGTGTGTCCATCCCCACACGAACCCCTGCGTGCCCTGCTCGCTCTCCTCCATTACCCCCCACCTCTGCACCCATGTCTCCAGTCAGCCATTTAGTGGGGGGTTGGAGACGACTGAACCCGCACCCTCCCCCCCCCACCGTAATATTTAACGCCTGTGATGACGAGCGATGGACGTCGCAGCCTCACAGACACGTGAAAAGTCACACTCGGGTTGTATGACATTGTGTTTTACGTTTGACATTGTGCTGTGTGCCCCCTGCCCCCTTGTTCCAGTTTATTAAACAAGGTCACTTTCCAGGGGTCACAGCGCTGGTGAAACGTTCCCTTGCCACGTGCCGAATATGACTTGCAAATACTCTACCGTTCGATGGGCCACATTAACACACTCAAACGCACCTCACTGCACTGGGCCTCTTGCAGTGACACTGTTGGAAACTTGTTGCCAGGTATAATCTATTCCTGGCTCTCGTGCTTTATTAGTGCAGCTACGTGGCCTGCAGTGGTGGATCATTGTTTGCTGGACCTTTTTTGGAGGAGGTAGATCTCTTGCGGCCGCGGGTCTTGCGAAATGAAGTCGCGGGCTGCGTACGGTCCACGGCCCGTGAGTTTCCCCCCCCCGCCCTCGCCGGTCTCCCCACCTCCCACGCCCTCCTATTGCTTCATTACCGCGCTGCCCGGCGGGTACCTTTGGGGATCAGAAAAGGGCCCCCTTCTTCATATGGATGACCTTTAAGGGGGCGCCAGTTTTCGGGCCCTCCCACGAGAATTCCTGATAATATAACAAGAACGAAAACGTCGGCTCGCATTGATTTGGAGCCTCCATCGGTCAGGATCCGGGGGAGGGGCTGCTTTGCCGGGAGGGATGGATGGAGCACGGGATATACTTTGGGGTTGCCACCTATCCTGGTTTTCCCAGGACGACCTATTTTTAAGGGAGCTGGTGGCCTGGACAATCCGGGACATTAAAATCCAGGTCGGTTGTGAGTTCCGCAGTAATGCCCCACTCAAGACGACGCGGCGACATGTGGATTCTCACCGTCTTTGGCGGGATTATGTTTATTCCCATGATGTGTCCTGGGATGTTGTAACAAAGAGGTGGCAACTCTGAGCCCACGTGCCTTTGGCAACGGCGATCCCAGCTCCACGTGCACATCCTGAGCCGGGCTTTTACAAACTTCCGTCGTCCTCGCTTCCCACCGCGTTTCGATTGTTGTTGCCTCTCCATACCGTGACGATCATGGGGGTTGTTTGACCATACTTCACCCCTGGTCACAATGCGGGTTGGTTCAGTCAAGTACAACAATGGGCGGCGGTGTTTTGTAAGCGGCTTTTGACAGCAGTGGCTGCTCGTGGATGATGAGCCACAGAAAAGGTGGACATTGCTCCAGAGTATTGATTGTGAAATACATTCTGTTGGGAAATCTCGGTTAGTAGGCTGCGAGCTGGTAAAACTCGTGGCTAATTGTGATGCTTTAAACAACTACAGGATGCATCCGCTTTGTCCCTCCGTCTGTAATGGGAGACCATTATATCTCCCGTAAATACGATTCAGGTTGAACCAAACTTTAGCACATAGTGATATGAAAAGGGGCATTTCCCAAAACGTTGTCTTTTATATGTTTATTTTTAAGGCCACACAGAGGGTTATTGGCACGTGTTGCGTTTTCATCATATGTATTATACCACTGACAACAGAGAGCATCGCCGAATAATGTGTTTAGTATAACATCGTGTTGCTGCGAGGGGTTTTACCCTGTGTTAAACCGGCCAAATTGAACCAATGTTTACCCCCAGACCTTGGAGAGACCAGCCTTCGTGCCTGTGCATTATTTTGTCCAACTTCTCTCGGTCATGAATCGGATCATCCAGCAGTCGATTGACACGTACCGACTGCTTGAGACCGTTGATATCAATTTGCAAACGAAAGTGAGCGCCTCGAAAGTGCAATTACACGCATTAGCGATCGCACCTGGCGAGGGGGCAACAACTGGACCCGATCCTCCCTCCCCCCGTGTCCCCCCACCCCCCAGCCCACAGCCAAGATGCAGCAGCTGGCGCCCTCATTAAACTCGTCCGGCTGCTAATTACTGACTCCACCGTCTCCCCGCCTTCTCCACCCCCAATCTCCAATCACCCCCCACGCCCCATCCAGCAGCAGCCCCCCCCACCACCACCTCCCCTGGAGGCCGAGGTTGGAG